GGAGAAAGACGTTGCTGATGAGCTATTCACGATTCCGAAATGTTTTCCGTTAAACCTCATCCTGTTACATCGAAAATAGTTTTCTTAAGTCAGTATTGCTTTGAGGAAAGAACTTTTCACCGTGTTAGCCGGCGCTTTTGCACTCAATAATAAGGCCTCCTGTGATTAGGATTATGTCAATAAAAACCCAGCCTTTTCTTGAGTGTAATTAATCTAAGCTGTCACTCGACCACAAAGAAAGTCTTTAGAGGGGCAGGTGTCTGTAATTTTTTCTTTGGACTAATCTAAGAAGCTCAAGGCTGAACCGAATTTGGCACAAATAAGACCAACTGGGAGACTGACGAAAGATTTCTTTACAGATTTGGATCGAATTTTTCTGAAACCACTGATCATAACTTTGACTTTATCACCAACTCTTTCCACTTTGCAACCTCCATGTTATTACTTTGAGAACAAAGTAATAACATGGAACCAACAGAATTCTTGACCTGGTGGACCATATCACTCTTGTATTAAACATCTTATGCAAACTTTACTTAACTGATATCTTTTGAACGAACCAAGAGACACACCCATAAAAATTGACTCCTCTTCCCCCTTCCCTACCAAACAAAAAACTGGATCAGTTATACCCTTATAAATTTTACAAGTTGTTTTGGTCTGTCGAGTTTGTTCACATCTTTTCGACAATATTCTATACTAAAGACACATTTCCTGTGTTTTGAAGCGGATGTATTAGGGGGCGCAGGATTGTTTGGAATCGGAAAAGCGTCTTGAGAGCAGAAGTAACCCACTAAAAAACTTCACAGCAAGTTCTTCCCAGGGAGTTTATCTTTGAAAAAACCGCATAAGTTAATCCTCTTTTTTTTAAACCTTTCGTTCACAGAATCTCTCTGTTTACCACAGTTTTTACGAAGATCTGTAAAGTTCCTAAATATTTCTTCTTTCCGATCTTCCCACATTTGGTTTCTTTTTCTCTACGAACAATTTTTTTCATTTATGTTGTAATCACACAAAAGGGATGGCGATCTTTCTAACTCATTCATCAAATTACCCTACTGCTGTTTATACACATTAAATCAACTGATGAAAATTTGATTGGAGCCTATAACAATTGAACTCCTTTGATCAATTTCAATGGCGATTTAATGATCAAGCTGTACGTAAGAATGAAATTGTAGATGTTAACAGCTGTTTAAGAAAATCCGCCCTATATATAATAAGATGTCTACATTTTCGAATGATTTCAGCTTAGCTTTAGAAAGGTTGGTTTATGTGAATAACTCAAACCCAATCGATTACTTCGGAAGATTTATTTTCACATTTAAAAAAGCAGTATCTTTTCAAAAGAAAATAATGTGCTATTTTTTCTCTCTTGTTTTCGTCTAATATCTAGTATGGAAAGATAAAAAGACACAATTACTTATTCAGATTATGTCCACAGCTTTGACATAAATTCATTTGGAAATAACTGGATTATTCTTCACTAAGCGCAACTATAGGGCGCTCTGAATTCGATTCCAACCCAGCTATCAAAACAAAACATCTTTCTGAACGTTCTCAGCTTGGTAAGAAAGGGCATTGTCTTTGAATTTGATCAGCTTTTCTTGATACGCAGAAAGTTGCCACACAACTTTCCCTTAAGAGGTGACAAACTGTATTGAGCGCAACGACTTTAAAAAATTGCCTTTCGGAAGAAAATCCTTCTCTTCCTTCTGGAAACAGGGAATTGAATGACGCACTTTAGGGGAGTGCCTTACGATTTGACCGCTCGGCTAAAACTCTTTTTTTTTAATCGCCTGGTATATTTTGGACTTCCTGTGGAAGCGGTGGCGTTTGCAAATTAAATGGCGAATAGAAATTGTACGAAAATTGCGACAAGAGATTCGAACCGCAATCCGTTAGTTTCGTGATAACTTTAGGTAATAACTATTTTCACTGGAAGAATGATCTCTGTCTGAAAAGCATGCTTTCGTGTCTACATATTTGATCTTGCGTCACCTCAAAACAAGAACCGTCTCAATTATGCTCAGGTGCTTTCTGTAAATATGTAATTTGTCTCCTATTGAAAGCAAAGTAAAGCAAAATTGTTGGAACCAATTGAAATATTTTAACGTGAATTCCTATCACAAGGTGTTTGTATTTATTTTTTTTGTTCAACTCCAGCATTTGGGACATGATTGCCTACTTCTGCTCGCCTATAAAGTACGGTCATGAAGAAAAGTATATTACTTTTTGCAAAATACGAGATCTTACGTAATAATGAAAAGTTATGACACGTCCAGACAAGACGGATTGAAGAGATTAACCTCGTAAGCTTTCTAGCAATCGCTAACAAACACGTCCCAAATAAATATCCAAAATAAGAGATGGAAAGTTATTTTTACGAGGAAATAGAGTATTGCTGTTGCAGCTCGTTGACAAAGCAAGTAAGAAGTTGCTAAATGAGGGCAACTAATACACATTTTTTAGGGAAAAAACTCGTTGGAATTAATATTGAGTGCCAACTTCCTGGAGGTGGAATTTTTTTAAAGAGTGACGTTCATAGCACTAAAGCAAATTTAGATAAATCATGTCTGTCCCACTTATTTTAAACAATTAGCTACTGGTTATCTTTGTTTGATCAAAGTGCCTTTGCAATTGTGTCTGTGTAGTATTAAGAATTTTACGGCCTACGCAATACGTGAGATTTTTTCTACGCGAACTTTGAACGTCCTAATTGCATTATCTTTCCTGGGTGGATCTCGGTTTTTTGGTCTCTAGAAACTTAACTTCGTGATAATCGTGATCAACTCTGGGAAGTTGATAATAAACGAGATTTGAAAGAATTTAAGTGGTTTATGTACATCTAAAGTATGTCAAGAGCATACTTAAGATTTCAATCCCACCGAATTTTAATATCAAGACCTGCTGTTAATTTATCAATCTGTATTTACCTTGCGTGGATTGATTATCTCTTCAGAAAAAAAAAACCGCAACGCTATATTTAGAACTGCATTCAACATCATAGTAGATTCAACTTCAAAGGGGTCTTTGGTTCAGTGTAGATTAGTACAACAAATGTCGTTTTAAGAAACAGATTAAGACAGAGCTCTGTGATGTTTGTAATAATTGGGTACATATCATCAGAATGAGTTGGAGAGAGGTTTATCTCCAAAAACACTTTTTTATTGAATCGAAAAGCGAAACAACATGGAAGAACTGGCATATACACATTGATTCCGCAGCGCAATCGGGCCATTCAAAAACACTCGATTTGAAGAAATCATAACATTCTTAACAGCTCAAATGATGGCAATATGCTACATTTAGAGAAGGATAAAGGATTTCGTGACTTTTCAAGAACAAATGCACGCAAGCTGGCTGTGAGGAAAGAGCATTAGCGAATTATCACGAAAACCCAAATTTCGCACCTCGTGTTTGTTAACTGATTTTTAATTAGGAACAAGTAAATATGGAAACTCCCCGTTGAGTTTTTCAGCTATTCTTGGCGTATTTAAAGCTTTTGATCTCAATGACGTACTTACAATAACTTCTTTGTTGTATAAAAACAACGCGAAGCTCTTAAGAAAGTAATAGAGAGCTTATCTAATTCATAACAGTACAAACTCGTAGCTGAATGAAATATTTGATCAGCGACCTCCCAGATTTCACTGCATGATCTGACACATTCAATCAGCCACACACGGTAAGATTTTTTATCTCAGCTCTTTCAACGAGAGACGGCTGTGTTACCTGAGGGCTCTGCAAATGCGGTCCCTCTGTAACTTTATGACTAATCTTTTTTCAGCTGGTCAAATGGCACTGGCAACTTTTCATCCGTATTACGTCGGGGTCTCTTCTAGACTCGGACAGACATATCCCCAAGAAGATTTATGGTCATCGAAAGACGCTCAGATATTTTCAGATTACCCTGAAGGGCATGCAGTAAAAATTCTTGCGCTCGATAAGTGGTTTAATTTGTTTCCAATTAACAGCTTCTTGAGGTCGTCCGAGGATCTCTCCCTGCATCTTTTACCCTGAAAGGATTCCTCTCAGCACGCTGCGTAAGATTTCAGTAGCCTTTCAACGCGCCATGTCATATTCAGAGGCCTCGAGAAACGAAATCCACACTGAAGTTCTTATCCTGATTTTATCTTTTGAATCTCTCGGTTCTTTTGTGACATCTGAGGAGTCGTTCCTATCCAAACTCTTAAACAAACGTCATTTTTTCTAAGACTGCACAGGTCGCCAATGTTTGGTCGTAGCGGGCTTTGCCAACAAACGGCGGGCATACCAGCAGCGCTGTTTCGCTTGGTCTCCGTTATTTTCAGGAAAGGGAAGCGGCGAGGAAAGGAAAGGAAAGGCGTTTTTCAATTGCTAACGCCGAGACGAAATCTCAGACGAAAGGCGATTTATTTCAATAACTTTGCCGGTTTTGCGTTTAGGAAGGAGTATTTAAGCACTCGGTGTAGGTGGCAAATTACGTACACGAGACATTGTTGTCATACTCTGCTTTAAGACGTAAGCTAGTTGGTAAAGTCACGGCTTCCCCGGCGGAAACCAGAGCGAATTAATAAAAGTAGTGCTGTTGAAAGCAGTTTAGAAACAGCCTCTGACACTCAGTCAGGGCGGGGCAGGTTGAGACGTGGATGCGTAGTTAATTGGGGGTGCACCTTTAGTTATAAATACTCAAGTGATCGAACTCAGTCGGATGAAACAACAGGCTCTCAACGAGCGCACTGCACGACCGAGTTGATTTTTTAAAATAATTGATCTCCTCTACAAGCCGTGTCATTCGGGTTTTTACCTCACCGCGAGCAGAATATTACCGCGTATGTGTTGGTCCACAAAAGCATTGATTATTTTTGACATTCCGCACGACATGGGTCATTCATGCGCCCGGGAGATGTAACCCAAGTCGGGTAGCCATCGGAGAAATTTTTTATCACTTGATATGAAATCTTCTGGTATTGATTAGCTTACGGCTTATTTAGAATCGCGTCTCTGTTGCTTGGCAGGTCTCAAGTTTGTTATTTGCGTGGACTGAACTGGCCCGTGACGGCAACAACAGCATGAACATTCTGTTTCGTATCGCAGCAGTATTGTTACTTCTAAGCATACTCGCAGAGAAGCTTCACGGAATACGCTGGTTGTAAGTATCATCAGTGAATTGCTCCTCCTGCACTCTTTGACCTCTGGATTTCGTCCATTAATTTTTCAATTGAGATGCATGTGCGAAGTACTGTGCCTTCTGTACGGAGTATGTTCAACTAACGCGGTCTATATTCCATTCGTGATTTCTCTGTTTTTATTGTTACACAGAGCCATAAAAATACCGTCAGATGTTGAATGGCAGAAAACGAATTGCAGCAAAGTACACGGCTTCATTGGCGAGCAGTATAAAATTTGTCGAAGAAGCTTGCCCATCATGAGATATGTCTCTGAGGCTGCGGAGATGACTAAGACAGAGTGCAAATCGCAGTTACAGAACAGAAGATGGAATTGCACAACCATCTCACAGGCTCCTTCGTTTTACAACGATCTCAAGAGAGGTAAGCTACAATTGAGGTTTTGTATTGTTTGTTTTTTGTCAGAATAATACCATTATACAAAAACTTAATGACTATCAGTTCATTCGAGCAGATACTGGAGCTAGATTGGGCATGGGGTAAAAAAATAATCATATTCAGGATAACACACAATTATTTGAAGGTAATTTTGTTAGTTAAACTATGGTTGCTTTACATGAAATCGCTTGGGGCTAGTAATTGAAACCCGACCATCTTCTTGAGTGCGGTTATCGTAAAATCTCGTATTCACAGTTATGAAGAAAGAATCGATGACAAAAACCAGGGGAAGCTTATGGATTGTGTTCGGGGAAATATCATCACAAAAGAGAACTTGAAATAATGGTGTTTCTCTCTAGTAAAATTCTTGTTTCTTCACGAAATATGCTTGAATTTCGTTCTAGAAAACAGTACAGACTGCCTCGTGTACGATCAATAATTTGGGTTTTGCTTCAAAACCTCGTTATCGGAAGTAGTAACTTTATTATTTCTTAGAACCAGACGGGTATTCAATAATTTGAGGGCACATAGTGATTTCAAAGTCATCAGTGTTGTACTTTATTCAATAGATTTAAATTGACTCAAACACTCAGAGCACGTCAAATCTAGCCTTCAATTACTCCAGCCACCTTGTCGCTTACAGACAAATCAGTTCTGAATGTTTCATCTCTTTAATTACTTTGACGTATCCAAAAAGATATTTGGGATATGCACTGAGAGCTCGGATGGATGAATCATTATCAAATACTGGTACAATTTTGCATTTGAATTGATTACGTCTTTTAAACATTTTCAACTAACAAATCCATTCACTCAAAGACGATTAATCTTAAAGCTATTTCGCAAACAGAATAGATATGTAGTGTTTTGAATAGCATTTCCGCAGTAATTCCTTAAACCTCAAATCGACCTCAAGGTTTTCACTCGGAAGTCAACAAATTGTAGAAGGCTGGTTTGACGGAAACGTTTTGGTTAACCACATGGTAAAAGGCGAAAATTTTGTTTAAAAAAATGCGACCTTCTTCCGCCTATAAACTGCGTGGTACGAGTAGTAATTTCTTAATAAAGCATTTCAGTTTCATCTGGAAAAACAATTTAACTTGTTTTTGAAAAGGTCGCTTCATATTCAAGACTAATATCTTCTCAAAGCAAATATTTACACTTCGGAAGGCGTAAATGGCTGCTATGTAAACAAATAAATAATAGAGAACACAGACTTTTACGATAACATGCCCATTTCATTACCTGCGCCGCGCTCAAAAAAATAGTATTTTAATCCCTTAATTTTTCAGGAACCAAAGAATCTGCGTTTGTGTACGCGTTATCTTCGGCCGCTGTAGTTTATAGCGTGACTCAAGCCTGTAGTATTGGACGATTGAAGGAACATTGTGGCTGTGGAAGAACGCCGAAGACGAAACTAGAAAATAAAGACTGGATTTGGGGCGGGTGCAGTGACAATATCGCGTACGGAGTGCGATTTAGCAAGAAGTTTACGGACGCCGTGGAGAAGAAAAGAATGGAAGGGCAAGAACCCTCAGCGACCAGCCGAGCCTTGATGAACATACAAAATAACGAAGCGGGAAGAACGGTAAGGAAGTCTTGATATTTTACTGTATTGACTTGCGCCAAAATCATCAGTGACATCTTTTACGTCATGAGATAAAAGTAATTAATCAGGTTTAGGAGGGTTATCGAAGGTTGAGTGACTCCAGCTTTGTCGTGAAGCTTCTTTTGTGGGCCTGTTTACAAGCCAGAAAATATGGTCGACATATGCCAAATATAACCATCTTTGTTACTGATTACCCTTGTCTTCTCCTGAAATGCGCTGATATGATGTGGCTAAATAGGTATTAGGATAGCAGAGTTTGATCATTTTGAAGAATGAACTCCCATTATGCGAGTAGATTTTAGGTTCAATGGTGCTAAATTATTTCGTTGACGATACCTGGTTTCACAGATTTAGTAGAATAGAGATGATTCAAGGCAAACCTTGTATCGCGACTAATATTCGACAATTACTAAGTGACGAAATGTTTAAATTATCGGTGTTGTTTTAGGCCCAAGGAAGATCAAATCTCGATTGCTTTGAATTAACTGCGTAATGTGGAAAACACATTTCTACGCTCAATTATACTGTGTTCATTTTGACAAAATACCTTGCTATAAGGTTTGACCTCGTCAGACACGTGTGTCATCATAGCTGTCCTAAAAATAGTGATTGATTTTAAGATAGCCTATCGACAAGACGACTGCGAGCATTTCATATCGAAATCTAGTGAGTTTGACAAGATGACAAAGCAACAAATGTGTGGTTGTGATTAGGCTCACTCACGTTGTAAGCGACTTCCGACGGTGTCTTTGGTTCGTAAACACAATCCCTTTGAACGTCTGAAGGCTGAATATACTTCAAAGTTATCAGAAACTGTTATTTATTAATATTTATGATTCTTAATTCAAACGGACGGGGTACGGTTTGAAATAATCAAGGCGTCTTTTTTTTTTTTTTTTTTTTTTAAGTTTTCTTTACCAAAATGAACTCTCAGATTATTGATACCCATTATTGAAAAGTGAGGCACCCCTGAGTGGTTATCAAGAAAAATATCAGAATACGGTCGAATGTGTCAGTTTATCCAAATAAATAATTCAGCGAGAAAAAGTGTTTGAAAAAAAGCGAGAAATTTGTTTGCGAAAATTGAAAACTAATAGATTTCTTCGTCAAAAAGCATTCAAAATATTATGGGTTCTTATCTATCACGTGCAAAATTACCTTCAAAGGAAGATAAACAAACTTAATCAGTTTTTTGGAATAGGAAAACCTCCCACGCAGTCCCTTTCTCCTAACAAGATCCATTGCGTGATTTGATTGGAAAAAATTCTGCGCATCTCGCTTTCCCTTCACGCGACGCGGTATATATAACAGTTACTCACCAAAGTGAAGGTGAATAGTACTTGCCTCGCGGACAGCTCTATTCACTTGTGAGGTATATACTAGAATATATACATATATAATTAAGATATATGATTTTCTGGGACGATTGCTATTGAATAGCGAAAAGCATTTTCCCGGAAATAAAAGGGAACGACTTAATGGTTAGGATAAAAAGAAAATTAAATTGAATGAAAATGCTAGCCGAAAATTCGGAATAACCGATCTTTCATTATGGATTAAAGGATCCGAAACGGGATGAACTGGTTCATGTGAATTCAACACTGATTTCCCCGTGGTTCTTAAGTAAGAAAATATTGGTTATCAAACTGATAATTGGACAGATCAGCTTAAAAGTTTTCGCATTCTTCGACTTGAAAGAAAATACTGATCCAGAACAATAAAAAGTCATTAGTGTTTGGATCAACTCTTAAGCTCTTGTTTGTTTCCTTTGTCCGGCGGGATCTGTTGCGGATTTCTTTCTGTTTGGGTTCGTGTGCTGAAATTTCACAACCCACGGTGTGCGCAGTGTTAATTAGTGGTAAACAATCCGTTAAATGTTTGCAGATCATCTGAACCCTGCGAAATTTAAGCTGAAAAATCCATGACCTCGCCAAGTAAAAACACGTTAGCACGTCAGAAAACAAGGATTATTGTTTGGTGATAAAATTTTGCCCACTGAAGTCAACCAGTTGCTTTAAATTAAAGACAAGTAAGTTCCCGGACACCGTTAGCATCTGCTCAATAAACTACTTAAAGAATTGCAGTCTCTTCTTAATTGAAAAAAAATACTTCCCATGCGACGATTAAGTCTAAAAGGCAGTTCTGTCGTGATATTTTGTTACGTTTGGTCAGATTTGGAATATTCTTTTTTAAAGGTAAAGGTAGTTTGAGCCCGCTTTCGTGTACAATCGAGCTTCGCCAGTAAGGGAGATCAATCGCAGTCAGGCTGTTACGCTTTTTATATTTACAATCCGAGTTAATCTCCTTCATCTCTACCCATCTTTGCACTCTTGTGAATTGTTCTTGCCGCTAGGGCTTTTCTTTACCCGTCTGAAACTGTTATTTTTTAAAACTTTCCTCTTCCGGTTTTTAAAGACTTTCAAAACAACTCAAATACACAGCGACTTTCTGTAGGCCTGTTCTATCCAATTCGTTGGCGAAAAATACGAGCTTTTGAGTAAACAGTTTGCTGAGTTACAGTGTAACCCAAGAGGTATTTCTTACCAGCACAAAGTGGCCATTCTGAGTAAGTGTCCATTGTAAACAACAAACTCTGAGAGTCTCTTGTTGATATAGCTTAAGAATCAGTCTTGATACCTGTTATCCTGTACGAATAATTCGATTAAGGAGGTCGCTTTACAGTTGTTTTTACATAATCTGTCTCAAAAAATTTTTAATTTTGTAAACATTGCAACATCGAGATCGACTAAAACAATGTTTTGCCTATGCTTGTGTATCAAGACGTACCAAAGTTTTCTTGTCCAAAAATCCGCCGAAATCTTTATCGTTACGTCAAAAGTGAACTTTCGATAATCTGATTTATTTTGTCCGTCATTATCCTTCAGACTCAAAGGTTGTTTCTGACGTCTTTGTGAAGATCCCGCCCCTTTACATGGGGCGTAAATTGATGTCTCTGGGGTATCTTTGTAAGAGCTTTAAATATCTTACTCTGTTCTGCGTGTTGTAAAAAAAAAAGAGCTTAGTTTACAATGACATGAGTTATTTGTATGTCAGTAGATAACTAAGCAAGTGATATTGGGGTTAATTTTGTAAGCATGACGTCTTTTTTTCTTAAAATTATGCAAAGAAATTTCATGTTAAAAGAACTATCTTGTGCAGTGTCCGGATTCATATCTGAATAACCTTTTAACCAACGTTTTGTTAAATGATGCATAAAGCTACAATGAGTACTTACTACTTATGTAAAGCGCTGAGTCTTTTTGTGCGTGTTCTTTGCTAGTGGTGCCTTTTTTTCTCTCGGCACGGACACTCCTTTGTCTCACACTTGTGACGAATGCCAAACCGTCTTTCCAACGTGTTTTTGTTAGACTTGTGACGAATGCCAAACCGTCTTTCCAACGTGTTTTTGTTAGACGCAACAGCGCAACAGAGAAAAGCCCAGAGACAGAGCATTGTTCACAATAATAAGTACAAAAATTGCGCATTCGGCTCCGCTTCAATGTCATCTGGAACTCCAAGATAACTGAAACCGCTCGGCCACTGAATAAACGGGGGTTTTCAGGCGAAACTGTACGTTCTAACGATTACACAGGATACGTTTTCCATGTCATTCCTTTCCAAAGGAACCCAAATTATTAAAGTTGAATACCGTGGCTACATTTTTTGCCGTCTCAAGTGCTTTGTTTTAAAATCCTGGACTGCTAATTATTTTCTTTTTTCTGTTATCTTGCTTGAAGTGGCTTTTCCCATGAAAAGTGCTGGTTTTATACAGTATTATACAGTACAGTATTTTTTATTTTTTTTTTATTTTTATTTTTTTAATTTTTTTTATTATTATTTTTTTTTATATAGCGCTATTTCTATCGCTATTCAATAGCGCTTTACATTTACTTCTATAGCGCCCTTTAACATTTATATGATCAAAGGCGCTTTACAATTAGTGTCTCTTCCACCCATCCCACCCCAGGGGAGGACATCCACCACACAGTAATCTCGTGCGTGGGAAATTAACGTCTCCTACCCCAACCCTGCAGGAGACGGGGCCTACGGTTTTACGTCCTATCCGAGAAGACGACATTATGGCATTGGCGATAGTACTTCATTTTTCTCTTGAATTACCATAATAATACTCTTGGAAAAGATGAATTGTGTTTGCTGCAATAACATACTGACAGCTGTATGTATTCTACGGAGGGGGCTATTGTTACTTTATTTGAAAAATGAACGATTTGGTTTCAGTCTTTTGCATTTGTTACAAAAGTATTAATCCATTAACTGCAATCTCCAGTTTTCTAAGTTCATCATCTCAAACATTCTGGCTTAAACCAGGGGTTTCGCGACAAAAGCCGATTAGCGGCCCGCCATTAGGAACTCTCATCGCTGTCTGTTCAACCTGCGACTATATCCAGGCTCTCATGTTTGGCTTTCGCCTCACGGCACAGCCACCTGTTACATCATCGGCGGCCACTCATGGGAAAAAGGTATGAAAACCCCTGCTTGAATGGAATTTACAGAAAGCAACGTTTTTTGCCAAAACTTACACGAATGATGTACCTTTGTTCAAATAATTTCCATGCGATAAATGTATACAATGCTAAAGTCGTCTTCGCCCGACGTCAGTCAGATCAAGTATTACTACAGCTTAAAGATGGCTAGCTGAGAACAAAAGAACATAGATTTCCTGTATAGGAATGGGTTTGGTTTGATGTTTTAATCCAAAGCAGGAGGAATAATTCTTTGTCTGGAAAAACGATTATACGGTCCAGAGTCTTAAGAGTCTTATTCTGGCACGTTACCTTAAAGCGTGAAAATTGCACACCTGTCGCTAGCTATATGACAGATGAAATTCTTGTTAATCGGTTTATAATTGGTTTGTTTTTCCATTTGATCTTGGTTAATGGAAATTTCTTCTGGCGTTTGTCCGTCGCATCTTTTGTGCAAATGAGTTTCGCCCAATTGTAACCTTCTGACTGGCTCCCACATTTGGTCAACATGTAACTTCTCCGTATAATTTCCACACATCATCCAGCAAGTAGGTAATGAGAATACTCAAAGTTATCAGGTAGAAGTTGTTATCTTGATCTAACTCTACATTCTCGTATCTAATTTACAAATAAATGTGTAGCAACTAGAAGGGAGAATTAATAATCAGATCTTGAGAGTTAAAGTGTTAGCTCCAGCCTCATTTTATCACCGCTGCGACGATAGAACAGCTCAAAACAATGCTTTTTGATATGCATTCAATTCAAGTTTCGGGTTCGTCGAGGTTTTTAAAACATATCTACGACCATAGTTGTTTTATCAACTTTAAAATATTCAGAGATGACAGTTAAATGAATGTATTGAAAAACTAGTAGTTAGGACGAGGTTAACTTTCCGGGCCGGTTGTTTACTCGAGGTCTAACCAAAACCGCGGTTGTACGCAAGCAGTGTACTCTCTATAAGAGAGTTATTTCATTAAATAAATGTCCCTCCCCTGATAGCTTTCGGCCCCCTTGACACTGATTACAAAAATAAATGTTTGGAAAAAAGATTCAGCTAAATTTAAGATAGGTTAGAACGCAGTTTTGTTAAACAACGGCTAAACTTTGTTTAAATAACCGGTCCTCTATGTTTTGAGATCTTCAATATGGCTCTTGACAGCAAGAACTCATCTTTGCTTTTGTGACTGAGCCTCACACCTCAGCACAGGGTCATACTTCTACAATTTTCGATGCGGAATCTGTCAAAGTGTCTTCGAGCCACTGGCATTTTATAAGATCATATTTACTAAGTACCACATATATGTCGTAAAAAGAATCCTTTGATACTCAATTGATTGTGTTGTACTCAAGTAGTAATGAATGGGGCCCCTCTCAGGTACACTTTCTAAATCTGAAACTGTTGGAAGCAGAGAGAGTTGAAACCATATAGGTCGTGCGTGAAAAATTATCGAAGAGATCTTCGTTCATAGTTCCACCTTGCTAATATTGCGGTGTATTGGATTGCGGTTGAAATAAGTAAGAAGATAGCCCATGTCAAGAAAGTAAGTTCATACACATATTTTCACCACAATAGCTACAAAAAAAGTGAAAACATTAGTGGTGATCAAGCACTTGTTTGAAATCTATCACAGAAGAAGGAATCGTGGCGTGTAAAATTGCCATTGATCAGAATAATGTTGTCTTGATGTAAAGTCAATACGGACCTTTAGCAAACCACGACGGTGACGGCGACGGCAACGAGGACGTGGCAAAACAAAAGATCTAATGAGCAGAACAATAGCTCAACTCGTGCGTTTTCAAACTGTGTACATTTCTTAGCCGTCCTCTGCAAAATAACAACGTGAAATCATCAAAATTGTGCGTGGTCCGAGAAAGGAAATCTCAACGGCAAATTATCTAAGTTTCCATTTGGAACTCAACGCCGCTCTCATAAGCTATGCTGAGGTTAACTTGCGGCGCCGTAAGGGATGGTAATCACATCCACTCATTCGCGAAATTCCAACCAAAAATATATATTCATTTTTAAATCGACGTCTTCTTTGGCGTTGCCGCCCTAAAGGCTAAAGGTCCCAAATGTTCAAGTGCTAACGGAAAAGAATGGAAATCATTTTTTAAAGCTGATTTGGAGGATTTCTGTCGAGGGTAAATCCTAGTAATTTTTGTAAACTTATTTGGATCTATGTTTTTTGGGATATTCAAACTACGTGCGCTGACGTCAAAGCAATCTGCAAAAGTTCTTCTCTGAGGGAATCTTTCATCGGGAATTTCAAGAAGTTAACCTTGTTCTCTATAAAATCAAGCTGATGATTTCAGGCATTTTTTCTGCAATTAGCGACGGTATCTGCCCAACAAGGCATGTTGTTTAATAATAATAGGAGGATGACATTTCCAAGGTACCCCGTTGTGAAATGGAGTTCCACAGCACACAGTTTCAACTTTTAAAACAAAGATCACCACACTGAGATAGAAAGCAACATCATGGTTTTATTCTATCAGGCAGGGGATTATTAATTTTTGTCAAAAATGTGTACATGATTTTGACGACAGCGAAGCTTATTCAGTCAAGTAAAGCCCTTTGAAACATAACTTTTCCCTAAAGTGGGCCAAAACTCTGTAAGCCCTTGAAGACGTGTTGACCTAAAGCTAATTATTTGTAAGTTAATGGTCATCGTATTGCCTACCTGGGAGCTTAACGCTCTAAACTTTCAAGTTCCTGTTGAAATACAGAAATTGATATTGCTCTATCCGGGTCGATTCAGTAATTTAAGACTCTTAGCTATCACATCGTCACTATTTCTTGAAACTTCTCTTCGATTTCAGGCTGTGAGAGATAAATTGGCGATTATCTGTAGATGCCATGGAGTGTCTGGCTCGTGCCAGAAGAAAACATGCTTCAGGCGGCTGAGTGAGTTCAAAGATGTTGCCACGCTTCTCAAGAAAAAGTACGATAACATTATTACTGTCGTTAGCAGGACCAGAGGCCGCCAGAATCATTACCTAAGAGCGAAGAGGGGGAAAAAATACAACAGCCGAGATCTTATTGCTTTGCACCCATCTCCTAATTACTGCCTCGCGTCCCGAGCCCGGGGGACTTATGGAACGGTCGGAAGAGAATGCAATCCCGCTACCACTGGGAAGGGAAGCTGCGCTTACATGTGTTGTGGGCGTGGTCATCGCACGTTTAAACGGGTGATTGAGGAGCGCTGTGAATGCGAGTACGTATGGTGCTGCTATGTAAGGTGCAATAAGTGCAAGAGAACTATTGTTGTCAGCACGTGTAAATGAGAAGACACTGAACAACTCAAGAGCTTAACCCTGTAAAAAAAAAAAACTGCAACAATTTAAAATTATGGAGTTTTTCATAGATCCCGAAAATATTTTAGAGGGATTTAGATTTAGAATTCCACAAGCAAGACAAGTGTAAAAAGAGTAGCCTAGATGAATTATAGAGAATTTGTTTGGTTCACGGAGATTTTATGGCACACGAGACCATATCTGTTAGCGAGTGTCTCATCTTCTAAATATGCAGGTGAAGAATGATTTCTTCACTGAGAGAACAGCAGCTTTGTCTCACAAGCTGCATTACCCGGAAGAAGGTCCACAGGCCCACCATCCACGATCCACCGGTATTTTGAACTCGAACCACAGGGATCCGTAGCGTCCGGGGTTTTTTTGTAAGCTGCATCACGAGTGATAATACACCTTAAGGAAAATAATTTAACCAAAGATTGTAAATGAAGAGTAAATACACAGATATACTTCGCAGATCGTGCTTCATGTAGATGATAAGCGATGGGTCCTAACCCAAAACGTGGGCTTCTTTGTTACTACGTAACATGCATAGTTTTCCGCGCTTTTTAAAGTCGATTCTTTACCTTTTAATTACGATTAGTAAGTGGCGTATTCTGGCCTTGCCAGTGATCCAACAGAGCTGCAGGTAGAGAGGTTAAATAAGCATTATGAGCGAATGTTATCCTTTATTATCATAAGGCAATAAGGTAAATGCGAGCGTCCTAATTGGCTCTTACTCGGTCGGTATGTTGACATACGCACCGGAAACGGTGCGTATGGCACGTATGGTGCGTAGGACGGTTTTGTTCGCGAAAGCCGGCAAATTCAAAGACTACATGTTTGGTCCGAGGCCATTTAAAAAAAGAATAATAATTACCTACCTCGCTTCCTCGAGCCCTACTTGTAAATATTGGCCCTCTGTCGTTTTTTTACGGACCTTTCATCGTTCAGTCCTTACTGTCACGACTTCGGGCCAATATTCCCCAGTATGGCCCTCACGCTCCGTTGGTAGTAAGTTACTAAAGCTCTCGTCATTATTTGTCCTTCGAAATCGCAATTCATTACAAATGATTCTCTGATTAAACAATGAATCATCTAGAAACAAGTTTGGTTCCATCAGGGAAAAGAAACATGAAGATTTCACTTTTACAACCAATAACTGGCACCGAAGTGTGATCATTCGAAGTTCAAACAATAAATATCAAGAAGAGAGTAATATTTCAGCTGCCACACATTGAATAAGGATGTAATGGACTGGATTATCATTTCTGGACTGTTCACTCTCGGTGTAATTTAGTCAGTTTCATTCTTCTATTAGCATTGTAGTGGCTCTTACTTAAATTTGCTTTAGCGTGATTGGTCAGGAAAAACTTGTGTCATTGACTTGACCAATCAACTGCTAAATCAGAACCAATCACAACCTGGTCACGTGGGTTTTCCCGCCGTGATGTACATAGACTTCCAAATTTCATTGGCTAGTTTTGTGCCTTGCTTTTTCAGTGATTGGTTCCGATTTGTGGAGTTCTTTTGAACACCTAATTACGAGCTCCGTGTTTGAAATAGCAAAGAGTAATTGTTAGCAATGTACGATGATATTAGTGAGAGACAAGTCTTGTTAGTATTAGCTCACTCAATTTTATTAAACTTATTTATTGAAAACCAGCTATTTACTGTACACGCTTATGATAGGCACAGGGTTACTTACTAGTAATAAAGATGATAAATAGTTTCTTCTGAAGTGTAACTTCGATGGATTCTTCCGGGGGGGGGGAGGTGGGGGATTTACATGGTTTCCAGGGAGAACGGAGGGAGGTCAATCGTCATTAAGAGAGAATAATTGTGGGACTTTACTTCGCTTTTATGAATTTCAAGATCCAAACGTGGAGCTGATTTTAAAGTAAATTGATACAAAATAGAATTTATCTCAGTCGTGAAACTATAGACCTAAAACTCATCAAATAAGATTTTCATTAACTCTACAAAACAGCACTGAGAAATTCCATGCCGTCGTTTAAAGGAGTGTTGAAATGTGACTGATTTTTGTTTGGGTTTTTGAAATAAAATATGAAGCGTTTTCATATAATTACGGCAAAGAAACTCTTCATTGGAGAACGATCCTCGTCAGATAATGTTGACACGTGGCCTTTTGTAATGTGCTTAGCTATCAAGACCGACCGCCATTCATCCTTTACTCCGTGAGACCAGTAGCCATATTCTCCATTCTGTTCTCTCAGGTGCTAACAAGGAGAATTTGTTGAACAATCAAGAGCTTCTATCGTTGGTCATTTCCTTTTTTTCTTGTGACCTTTATGTGTGATTTGGGGATGATATTGTAAGGAGAAATTAGATGTCAGTCACTCTTAAGGGTTGAAGGGTTAACCCTTCAACTCCCAAGATCTGATTGTTAATTCTCCCCTCCAACTGGTACACATTTCCTTTTTAATAAGTTTTGAGAGCTTGGTGTTAGATCAAGATAACAACTTCTTTCTGATAAGTCTGAGTATTCTCATTACCTGTTGGCCGGATAATGTAAGGATATTATAGGAAGAAGTTACAAGTAAGTTTAAGAGTAAAGGAACCAGTCATAAGTTATCCCGGGGGGAGGGGGTGGAAGGATTTTTGGGGGGACCACATGGTCTCAGGGGGGGAACGAAGGGGAGATCTATCGTCGCTAACAGAGTATAAACAGGGGAAAATGAAAAATTAGCTTCTAATGAGAGAGCCTTAAGGAGGAAGCAGGTGAATTCTTTTGTAAAACAGCCAAAAATCCTAAGATCCCCGAGGCGATAAATAATGGTCGGTCTATAATAGTCATATAATCTGAAATAATTACAATGTCGTCCTTTTGGAAAAATGTTTATTTATGATATTTCCCCTTGAATCTTTTATCTTTTCCAACACGTTTACCAGATTGTAGAAACATTATCCAGGGAAGGCAAAGATGCATTTTGCGTTCTTTTTTAAAAGAAAGACCTTAATCGAACTAAAGCAGATATATTACACGATTCTTTTTTCGCATTTCTTGATCTTCGAGTCACTTCAGAAAAAAAAGTTGAAAACTTGGGTAATTGTTCAGTGGCGTAGAGCAGACCAATATGCTATGGATATCACACAGAGTCGAACACACAAGAAAATATTTATCCACTCCAGGAAATTCAATCATTTTTCTGGGATAATAATGCACTATTAGGCGCAATAATGAATATTTAAGTGCAAATGATGTGTTATTCTCGCTTGAGGCAAGAGCTTAGCATCAATTTTAATTGAAATATGCAGAACGTCTGATTTACACGGCCCAGTTTTGTCATCCACATAAAGACTAATGACAAAGTAAATTGAACGCGCTCATTTGTTTACCTGCGACCATTTTGAGGTCGGGTCTATCTTGCTTAGCAAACGTCATTCGCACTTATTTCGATGTAAATTTCGTTTTAATTAATCATTGCGGACTCGGGAATATTTTCTTATGGTTTTATAGCAAATTGGAAATAATATTCCACAACTTCATCTTTGGTCGTTTCGCCTTAAAGATCTCAGTTCTAAAATGTAAGCTAATAGAGCTTGTTTCCGCGCCTTAAAGCGAAGTTTATGAAAAAGCACTCAGATGGATATGATACGATGCGTGATGCGCACGGTGTCTTATTTGCGTGATAAAAACCAATCGCAAACATCTGCATGTTATTTTTTCTAGATAAATTTAAAATGTTAGTCATGCGTTTCTTAATTCGGAGATGTCAGATCTCGGATATAAAGATAGATATGTTTACGCAAAAATCTGCTTTGTAACTGCAAACTTTTCAAGTTTGGACGTTTTGTGCACAAGTGAAGATCCTGTTTTTATACCTACTAAACGGAGGTAACCCTACGGCTTTTGTCTAAGAGAGAAATAACTGCTTAAGGCTTTTAACGTCTTATCAAAAGCGATCATCTTTAAACATCTTAAGCAAAAGGTGTTTGAGTTGTCAGTTTTTAAACTCAACATGAAATAACAAATACGAACAGACCAAGGTGTACGTTACTAATTTTCCTCCAGTAAAGTAGTGTCCGTAAAGAAATGAAGAGCGCAGAATTTACAAATGTATTTTGTTGACAGGTGTATTTTGTAACACAGCCTTCTTAACATGTTTGCCGCTCGAATGTTTTTCTTCTTTGAGAATAAAAACCAACAGCCCATCTCAGTTTTTAGAACTCTCCAAATGTATTCATGTTCCTATCAGATGGCGCTGGGTTAATAACCAAAGATAAATAAGCTTTGAAATTAGAAACAGCAAAAGGAAAAGAGATATATTAATATATGAAACAAAAAAACAATGAAATTATGCCGCCAAACAAAAAAACTGCATTTTGACGGCGAAACAAGACAATGTCAAATAAAAGCTGCGGAAATTCTTTGAAATTTGATTTTCCAGATATTTCGTATGAATACGCTTCTTTACAAAATTTTTTTCAATTTTATTTTTTTTTATCCGAATTGGTTTCATGCACACCACAACAGGAATAGGACGCCGCGCATACATTGTCAATCAAATTTGAACGAGTTTGACTCTCTTGGAAATATTAATTTATGCTGAGGATTGGAAAACTTGTTTTCATTTTTTGAAGCCTGTGTTCAAGACCGCATACGTCTACAACGCAGCAATCGTTAGTCTAAGGTATTTGTATAACGGTTAAATTCTCAGTTCTCTGACGGACAGAAAACAGATACCCCGCCAAGAAACCAGCCTTGCCTTTTTGATGTAATTGGACCATGTCAAGACCAGCTTCTGATTCTGCCTCGATAGGACGCCAGAGAAAATAATTGTTGTTAATGCGATAGCAAATGCAGTGCATCTGGAGTGTCGATCGTCGCCTCACGGTCATACCAAGCAACGAACACTAGCTGAACGATCGTCAACTGTCGCCGGAAAGTTAAAGCCGTCGTGATCGCCAAAAATCCGACCGGACACACGACGGCCATCTTGGTTGAAATTCTTCGGCTCGGGCGCGGTGTGTCCGTCGAAAAACGAAGATTTCCTTTTATTTAAGAATGGGTAAGAAGCAAAGTAAAAAGCTTGACCCTGAGGTCTTGGGCGACCTTTTGAAGAACACAAAGTTCGAAGAAAAAGAACTAAAGTCGTGGTACAAAGGCTTCTTGAAAGATTGTCCGAGTGGTTACTTAACGAAACAACAATTTATAGAAATGTACAAGAAAGTATTCGACAAAGGAGATGCCTCGAGGCTTGCTGCTTGTGTGTTTCGGCGATTTGATGTGAACGGCGACGGCAAAATTGGTAAGTTGAATTATTTGTAATATTCTCAAGGTGGTGTTTGGTTAATCTTTGAACTGAAGAAAGCAAAAAATTCCACGAAACATAACTTGATCCAGTTTCTTTTTTGCGCAAGTTATTTACACTTCCATAACAAGACGTGAACCGCCCGAAAGAAACTCTGATAATATTTAAACCGGCTAGTCAAATTAAAAACAGCGCATCATCCGCATCGATCGAAGCCATGGAGATTAGAACTGAAGCTCCAGATAGGAAAAATGACTTAAACGAATTTTATTGATTACAACCTCTAAATACTATCGCGGACATCATGCATTAATGTCCCTAAGAAAAGAAAACCACCATTTCGGAACACTTGATTTCAATATATCTGAAAGGTGACAAAAGTCTTCACGCGCTGGAACAATCGGGTGAAAAAAGACTTCCATTTACAATGTTTGACAAAGTGGCATGAATAATTTACCACTGGTAGGTAATTGGATTTCTGGGTCGGTTATTGAAAGAGACGGTTTTATTGGAGGGCCGTATGTTTCTCTGTGAAACGTGAATATTTTAAAATGATCTCACACGAAAAGGGAAACAACAACAGGGGTTGGAAATCGATTGAGAAAAGAATCATTACAGTCAAAATAAATGACAGAATTTGAATCAAAATAAATTTCTTCTTCAAAATACTATCACGGAAATAGCAAGGAACACTGCTATCCGGCCCCTGTAAAATCCCAGTGTTGGAAAAGTTATTGCTGTAACAAACGAACCGCCTTACCCGTAAACTGCTTAATTTTCATTAAGGAAAGTGTAAATATGCATTTTGCTGACATGAAAGCAGAAACCTAGAAATCTCTAGAGCCGCCTCTGTGTGAACTGAAAAACAGGTGCAAAATAATTTACGAGTTTTTTTCCTCATTTCAGAGTGATATTCCTCCGAAAGAGACAAATTGTCGTCTTCCGGCATAGAACACAAAGATTTTATTTCTTTTGCGTGAAATCTAGGAAGACTTTGTGATCAGAGTTGTGGTATATGATTTTTACACTTTATTTTGAGTGAAAATACTTCCACTGAAATTGCTATCGTACACGTATTTCACGCGAGTTATAATACTCCTTCGATTCACAATAACTCTGTTGTGTTACGGGCGGAATCAAAGTAACTTAATTCGATCCACGCCAACGCAGAATACGCTCTCTAAAACTGTTCACTGCATCAAAGGCATGAATTTACATAGACACTTCCATTTTCGCATGAAATATGCAAGACTTAGTCATAACACAAACAATGGAACATTACAGCTACATATAGTATTTTCCAATTTGTCGGTATTTCCTAAGATGTTTTCCACCGAAAACAGACACTTTTCTGTTTTTAGTAATTGACGCAAGTTCCCAAAAGTTATTTATGTAATTTCCATGCTGTCAATTCAGCCACAGGTCTTTTATGTTAGCGACGAATTAACTAATAATATTCTCTCTTTTCTGACTTAATCTTGTTGAATTCCAGGCCTTTTTATCCCATTTGTGTGTGTTTCAAGCGTTTGGTTCAAAGCAGTCCGCATATGTTAGCAAAAAAAGAGGAAAGCCTACTGAATTTTAATGCACGTTTTGAAATATTTGCCCGCTGTTTTCATTTCAATCGAAAAGTCATTTTAAATAAGTAATTCCAAATCGGCCCCGAGAAGAGACATCCATGCTGAGAGAACCAAGCTGTACATTTTTGTGTTGTTTGGTCGTTTGTTAGGCGAAATACTGGAAGATATGAATTTCAAACACTTTTTTTCGTAACGCCCAGGCGTAAGAAGTCGGCTTAGTTGACAGAGGTCAAAAACAGAGTCATGTTTGTAAGAATTCTGCCACCCCATTGACCTAACCCTCAAAGGTATGATTCGAATTTCTGAAAAGGGTACTTACAAAATATTCTCTGGTGTTAAAAATATAGAGCTTAAGCCAGCCAAAAGTTAATTTCGAGTGTGACAGTTTAAGCTTTCATTTAGAAACTCTGGTGTGCGCGGGAAATTTTTCCCAAAGGCCTTGTCAGAGTTAATCATGTTTTACATTTGGGATGTCTTTAACACAACTTCGCCTCGTCCACTTTGTGTCACCGTTAAACGAAACGAATAACGATAGCCTAAATGCAGTTTTTTCCTGCGATATTCGTCATCGGTTCAAACTTTGTTTTGATAACGAAAGACCAGAAATTGCTTGTAGATAAGGATTTATCGTATGGTTTGACGCAGAATTCTTGCGGGGAGCAGATTGATCACTGATTTTGTTGCTGAAAGAATCTTTTGATCTCTCATTGTCCTCATCCGATCTTTCCGCATCCTTCGCTCTACTGCCCCATACAGCGCAGCACTAATGCACTTTTTCGCCAAATTTTCCAAGTGTTTTCATTCGCAACAAACATTTAGTCCTTAGATTTTTGGTTACGCGAAAAAGTAAAGAAAGTTTATTTAATATTTAAAGACAGCAAAACCGGCTTGCTGTTATCAAAATATTAATTATAAAAATGCTCTTTCTGTAATTAACAAACAGCTAAAGAAATGATTGTCATGTTGATAGTCGATCCAAGAAACTTCGCGAGTAAGATCTGCAAATAAGGAAAGCGGTTAATTAAATACCAATTAGCAAGAAATATTTTAAGGTTCGTCATTCAATGTCAAAGGGGTTTCTGTCAGCTGAGAATTAAAACAGACTTCCGAATATTTTTGATCGCTCAGTTTTGGTTTTGTGGAGAGATTTTTATGCGTGAATTTACATTTGTAGAGGTGAAAGAAAAAGTAATATTTGTTTTCGTTAAATTGAAGAACAAAGCAATATTCCTCACAATTTTCTTTTCACGAAAAGCTCAATTTAAAAGGCTTTAGCCCTTTAACTCCCAGTGATTAACATGTAACTTCTCCCCATAACATTCATACATTATCTTGTAAACAGGGGATAAGAATATTCAAACTCATCAGGTAGAAGTTGCTATCTTGATCCAACACCAAATTCTCGTTACGAAGTTACAAGGAAATGTGTAGCAGCTAGAGGGGAGAATTTAGAAACAATCGTACTTGGGGGTTAAAGGGTTAAAATATTTTAAACGGGAAGGGAGACTTAAGTTTTAAGAGAATATGGAGCTTATCTCGATGTTAAGCTTATAAGTGGGGGGAGGGGGGGTGGGGGAAAGGGTGTTGGCTAAATAGAGAGAAGGGGTTTATTTGAGCGTTTAAAGTAAACACTGTTTTGTGTCATTGACTGTATTTTTCAAGTGACGCGTACCAATAATTTCTGTTCACAGACTTCCGTGAATTTATGTGCTCTCTTTCGGTGTCAACCCGAGGAACGATGGAACAAAAACTTCGTTGGGCGTTCAGTATTTACGACGTGAATGGAGATGGGTATATAACGAAACAGGAAATGTTCCGAATCGTGGACGCATTATACAAAACGATGGGTGATAATCCGGAAGAAACCGAAGGCATTCCGAACTGGGACGAACTTACTCCTGAAGAGCGCACACTTAAAGTTTTCCATAACTTTGATCAGAACAAAGACGGTGTTTTATCATTGTCGGAATTCATCGAGGGAGCCATGCGTGATAAAACCCTGGCGCTTATTTTGGAACAAGGAGCAGAGAAGACATGAGAGGGTGGCTGTTAAACAGATGTTTTTAAGAACAGGAGAAGCAACTCATTGCCTAACCCAGGTTGCTATCAGATACTCTGTCTAACATTATATTCGAATATGGTTAGTTTGAAGTGCGTGTTCATAGTTTAAAGAACCTACACGTAGTTTTTCATGTAGTTTGGCACCGAGGATTTAATATTTCCTTCTAAACCTTCCTCTTGGTGCCGGCCACTACGGCGCTCAACATTATGTGAGCCAGCGGTGATGTCTTTATGTCGGAGAGGAATTAATTGCTAATGAAGAGGGGATAGTCTTTTACGAGGGTGGCAAAGGGTTTTTAAGTGATTTGTGATTACGACCAAAGCTTTTTGACGCGTGAATTTTACCAAAAGGCGAGGGTGATTTGTGAATTTATGAATTAGAGTGAGGCGTGATTTGCTTACTAAAATATACGTGACCGGTGAATTATTTCTTTCGGTTCGTGTAAACCTCAGAAAAGATATTTAAATTTTTCCCTTTTAAATTCGCGACGCTAGTGTACGTGATGCGTTATAAAAAATTCGTGCGTGAAATGGGATCATGACCCCTCCTTTGCTTCCCCCTATCGTGGTTGATCTGTTATTTTTGTGTGAATTATTCACTTTGTGTCCAAAGCAAATTAAGCTCGAAATGGTCTGTCTTTGCAGTAAGAAAAAAAAAAAACTTTGTATTTAGTTTTGTACGATGCACCAATGATGTCAAATTTTACCATAGCTTGTGAGACTAACTTATCATAAACGTATTCAGCAAGGAGACTTTGCTTCTCCATCGAAGCTTTTCATCTAAAGAAGCATTATGTTCCAGGATATCTCTGCCATTGAACACTGAATGTAAAGTTTAAAAAACTGTCCTCGAACGTGCTTAAACTCACATTGTGCGGGCCGCCATTTTTATCTTGCATAGCAACCTGGCCGCTAACTTTTGAAGTAACAAAGCCTCACTGCTGCTCAAGTTATAAAAGACCGCATTATTTGAGTTCAATGACTTTTGTGTAGCTCCTATTTATCCGGATAGGCACCTTAAGAAAGAAAAGAGAAAGGAGAAAAATACAAAACCAAACAAACAAAACAAAACCAAAAAAAACAACAACAACAAAGAGAGAGGCACACAATTTTAAGGCCAGATTGCTAAGCGTAATCGTTAGACAGCTTTCGAAATCTGGGTTCACTTTTTGTAACTCGAAAAGTGTCATTTGTTAACTTATCTGAATTGTCGGAAATGACGAATAGGGAAGTGATCTCATCTCGTGTTCTGCTTTATATTTTTATCATTGAACTTCGAGTGCATTGCCTGTGTGTTGTCCAACCAAACCCTTAGCGACTACAATAACCAATCAGAACAAAGGTATGTGTCAAAGGGGGTCAATGGAGACTCGACATAAACCCAAGGAAACTGTAGCGGTTGATTTGCATATAATTGGTCAGGAAAATATCGCGACTTAACTAAGCCAATCACGGAGCGAGATATTGCAAAACGAATTCACTCCAAAATCTCTTCCGACACTCAATTTGAAATTCCTCTGACATTGACCAGTCTAATTCAAAACATAACTTCATTGTTAAATATAATTCCAAATGTTTGCGATGGTAATACAGTCGAATATTCCTCGCATGACTGTACGGTGAAAATGAGATCATGCAAAAAATTTAAATGTTTCAAAACGTTATTTCTCATGAAAAATATCCACTCTGAGATGCTAGTGCTGCAGTTTACGGAAAAGAGTTGTTGTTGTTAAGCACGTTGATGTCAAGTAGCATTCAATAATAACGTTATGTCTATTTTTCTTTTTTTTTTTGGCTGATCTTGACAGATTAAAGCTAGGTTTTGTTTAGGGGCTAACACCCATCAGGTTCTGGGCCAAGTCGCACAGTCCCACAGGCTTAGGTTATAAGGTTTCCTGAAGAGTGAAGATTAAGGGTACGAATCAAAAGGCCAAGTATGAATCAAATTTTTGAATTCGTGGCAAAAACACAAAAATTCAAATTGTCGAACATCTTTCTTTCGGGTTCACAAGTGAGAGTTTGATCACACACGTCCCACCTTCCATCCGCCATTCAGATGTATGTATCTCCTTTGAACTTTCGCCGATTTTTCCAATTTTGTTGCAACGACGCGAAAAAAAAGGGACTTCAAAATAGTGCATATCTATTTCCTGAGGTGTTATTCACCATAGTTAACAGTACTTCTGTTCACACAATGCAAGTTTCGTCTGCGGTGCCCATCACAGTTCTCCTTGAACATAATCATGGTACATACCAACATGTTCAAATTTGCCATGCCTTAAAATACCCATCAGGAGCAGACAGAGCGCTCTCTCTTCGATTAAGTGTCGTAAAACCAAAACCAAACTTATCAAAACGATCAATCAGAGGAAGGGAAAATACCTTTAATCGCCAAAGAGAACTCAAAGTGAAATCAACCTGACTGTATAAAGCGCGCGGGAAAAAGCGTTTTGCGTCTGATTGGTTGAGAGAGAGGCGCGAGTTTCCTGGAGCAATAACTAAGCGAAGTAAAGCAAAACCACAGCAATCTTGGATTACTTTTAGCATTCAATTGAAAATCGCACTAAAATATTAGGTTAAAACATAGAGCAGACTACAGAGTTACGGACACAAAGTAACAATATAATCAATTTTATTGAGATGGCTTATCTACAAAATTTTAAGGGAGGAGAGGAACAAAAGAATTTACAATGAAAGGCAAAAAGTACAAAAAAACAAACAAACAAAGAAATTAAAGGCAGAAAAGAGACAAATTTTCTTCAGAGGTAGTCATGAGGCTGGGTTGTCAATTTTTAAGTAACTTCACCAGTCACCGACTGGTTATGAAATTTAGTCGTATTTCAAAAAATTATTTGTAATTACAAAAACATTTAACAGCAATAGAGAAATGTCAAAGAGAAACATGGATAATAAAAATGCATGATTCAAGAATGTGGCATTTGGATATGTTAGCATCACTGTTAAAACCAAGGAATTGGGAACAACAGAAACATTTTTGTCACGTTGTAATGGTGATGAAAAGAAAAAGCCAGTTAGATGTGGAAAAAACTGCACTGTAAGCACCAAAAGTTGTATCATTTTAGGATTTCCTGGAATGCATACATTTCCTTATCTCTGGATTGATTTTCCTTGACAAAGTAGGTTGAACATTTAACAAGTTCCTAGTTTTTTTACCCTGACAGTGAAAAGTCATTCTTGGCCACCAGGTATCATATTTTCCGTCATGTGGCTATAAATTTTGCAAACAATATGATCTGACAGACTACTAACCCAAAGATGAAAAGATTTCCCGATAAAACATGACCTAACTAGCCCCTTGAAAATAAGAAGGAGAATAAATAAGAGGAGGAATGGGCAGAAGGCCAGAAATAGATTTCCAAAACAATTTGAAATACCATGCCTTGCATGAAAGCTATCCTTCCATTGGACAGCATACACTGGTACCATCTGCTACACCAAACCACCAATGTCATTTTCAAACCAAAAAAAAAGAAATGAAGTTGACTGCAGCACAGCGTGACTGGGATACCCTTTATCAGCTGGTGGTGTCCTTTATAAGGCTCCCTTTGGCTTGAATCCAAAAGCAAGTTTCTGCCTGTTGTTTCTGTTTTTGTTTAGAATTAGGTCTTGGGCAGCCTTTTCTTGCTTCTTGATCTCTCGTTCCAAAGACATTTTCTGTTCAGTTAATGTTCTTCTTTCTTCCACCATTTGTAAACGTTCTTCTGCCTGTTTGTCCAAGGGAAAAAAAAAATGCCAAAATAATCAGAAGGAGGTCACAAAATTAGGGAACTTACTCTTCTCTTACCTGCTTCATAAGGAAAGAAGATACTTTCCAAACAGGAGGAACTCAATCAAGATAGGAATTTGTTTTCTTGTCCCAGAGAAAAACTCTTTGTGAATTGCACTAATCATTACTTTTCACTAAAACAATGGAGATCTCCATGAAGACACCTTCATGTTTATGGTTGGGTCTTTCTTGCAACTTTCTTCATGTCCCAAATACTATGCAACAGAGACTGCACATGAACAACTATGGTGACTAGTGTTTAACAGGTATGATTCATTTTATTCAAGGTAACAAAACCCCCACTGGTATCAGCTTAACCACCTCTTTCCTAAGGAACTCTTTCAGAAAATTACAGGGATGTTTCTAACCCAGAAAGTTTATTCACCCCTATGCTGTTGGTCACCTCGATGCTGGAGCCATAGCCACAATCATGACTTGGCAAGAACATCTGTACCATGCAGCAAAGGGACAGACCATACTGAGGTAAAATCTGTCATGTTGAAAAAGAGTCCATGACCTATAATTTCAGTTAACTTTCCATAGTAGTTTTAGACATTCAAGTTTGTCAAAAAAAAAAAAAAGACTATGGGGTTGAATATTGGCATGTCTGCACCCTTTTCAAAATGACAGCTTTTACAGAAGAGGTTGAACACAGAGATCAGTAAAAAACAAACCAAACTTGACGACTGTTGCAAGATTAGTTCTTCCTGCAGTGTGATGAAATAGAAGTAAAATTTCTTTTAGTTTCTGGTGACTACTGACAGCTAAAGCAAACAAGACAGAACTGGTTTAATACTTGTAACGAATTCACCTCACATTACATGAAGGTAATCACATTTAAAACCCCATTGTTATGACATAAATCTTTGGAAAAAAGACATGTGTGTAAGGAGAGATCTAAAGATGGTTGAAGCTCTCAAGTAGACATACAGTGGAAATTAACACAAACCAAAACTATCCCTTCCATGCCCTACCATGCTATATGTAAACAGGAAAAGGATAGTACAAGTTACCCACCAAAAAAAATCCTTCAACACTGGCATCAGTGTAGTGAATCATAAAAAAAGTATACATACCAACTTTTGATTCGCTTCAGTTAGTCTTAATTGGAGTTCATCAACTTTGCTCTCTAGCAGAGTAATTTTACGACGTTCCTCCTCCTAAAAAAAAATGCAGTTCACTGTCAACAATTGGTTTGCATAAATATCTTTTCTTTTATCGATAACATTGTACCAAAATGAACCAAATACACTGTACATACCCCAGAATCTTAGGTTATAAATTGTGAATGAACAATGTTAACATGAACAAGAAATGGCACCAAAAATCAAGAAGTCAACCCTTCATGCCCCAACATCGGTATTGATATCTTTAAAATTCCTATGGTACAAACAGAGAGACTTTGTGTAACAATCAGGAGCTTCTTCACTTCTTAAATTTATGATCATTTCCTTTATTCTCATGACCTTAACTTTTGATTCAAGGGTGATATTGTAAAGAGAAATTAGAAGCCAATCACTGCTTGGGGTTGAAGGGTTAGACTTGCAAAGGAAGGGAAAACTGATTAGCATGGAATATAGAAATACTTCCCCACTAGAAGAAGTGCTCCAAGATATAACATTTAAGGCCACAACCAGAGAGGAAAAAAGGCAGATAAGCACAATTTTTGGTACCTTTCCTTCCTCTTACAGCTACACCCTAATACTATAAACAAGTATACAACACATGTATCATATACATGAACAGAAATCTTTTGATCAGAGGAAAATGCACAGCTCATTTTGTTTAAACACAAATAGTAACAAACCTTGTATGTATGTGAACTTAGAAACTTATGCTTAAAACTGCTTTGTGAATCACATGAATGGCCGTTTTGTACCATTTATACATACACATATCCGCCTAACAATTCCTATGAAATGCTCCAAGCAAAGTCTCCTTGAGGAAATCCTTCACAGTCTGCAAAGACTTGAACTCTCCCAGAAAAAGTTTCAAATTAGTGCTGGCACAAAGTGGAATGTTCCTTCAAGAAGTGCCCTAAATAATTTTTTTCCACTAGGCAAAAGTTTCTAGGCAAACAGCAATTTTAAAAATTGCGCAGTTCTTGAGTAATTGCAGTCTTTTGTGAATGTCTAGATTGAATGTCATGTTCAAGGATAGAACGGCACAAGAGAAGGGTAGGATTAGATCCAAATGCTTGAAAAGACTGACTGCTAGCTCTTGATAATGTTTTCCTGTTCAACTGATCCGTCAAAGGTATCTGTGGAAACAATCTAAGTGTTTGCAGAAAAACCACACAGTTTTACAAGCAATGATGAGAATTCTGGACAACAACATGTAACCCTGGAAGGATACAACTGGAGCTTGTCCTAGAAACAAGAAAGACCACTTGCATGTTTTCTTAGTTTTTAACCCTCTTCCCTCAATTTAGAAACATGATACCTCTACACAATAAATTATAGGGTATTTAATACTGTACCTCTTTCACTTGTTGTTCTTCGATTTGCTCCTGACGCCTTTTTTCAAATTCTTCCACCATCTGCTTCTCCATCACTCTTTTAGCTTCCTCTACTCTCTTCATGACTTCAGCATCAATTTCATCTTTTCTTTTTGCAAGTTCTTCCTCCACTCTCTTAGCAACAAGATCTTCAACTCGTTTTTGAGTTTCTTCCTCAATCATCATCTTTTCTTTCTCAGTGGCTCGACTACAAAATAATAATTAAAAAAACAGCTCTTCCTTTAGCATCATGATGTACATTTTCATCTTAGGTGAAACTGATTTAAATAATGACAATAATCCTACAAATTAGTTCTCTTTACCCCTTTTACTCTCAAGATCTAATAAGTAATTCTCTGTACTGTCTACTATTGATTCTGGTGGCATAAATTTAGAGAATTTGGTATTGGATCAACTAAAAATTTCCTAATTGATACTTCTCTTTATTCTCATCACTTGTCTTTTTTATTTGTATTAATATTGTAGGGATAAATACTGTCTTGGTTACTCAAGGGAGTTAAAAGGTTACCTAAAGGTGCAAATTTTAAATTTGTCAAAATTACTGGCTTTTATTTCATACTTGAGTAACATTTAATCCTTCAACTCATGTGAATGATGCAAACTTCATAACTTATTAATTCTTGGAGGGGGAGAAGATAGAAAAGGAGAGAAAATAAAGGTTAGTTTTTCATATATTGTGCGTTAATATTTAAATATGAAGTTGAACACCTTACACATTGCATCTTCTTTTCTTTGGAAAATAATAAAAACAAGACACTTCCAAAAACATAGGCTTCATATGCTACGTCAACTCTTATGTTACAATGTGTAAGCTTAAATGTAAAATGATGCTGGAGATCAAAGAAGGCCTGAGAAACAAAGACCGGAGGAAATTACATAATTTATACAACAAGTTTGTTTTACAAAATGCATTTCCATAATTCGTCACCTACAGCACTAATCCTTGGAGAGCTGACAAATGAAGAGAACCAGTTGGATTGGACATCACACACATGAAACTAAGATCTATAATAACAAGATCTAGAAACTTACATTTTTCTCTGTCGTTCCATCTCCTGTAATCGTTCTTCTTCCTCTTTTCGTTTCGAGCCAGGATCGTCCTCTTTTCTTTTCACTATAGAACGGCCAAATCGATCAACACTGGGAGAGCGAGATCTACTTCTCGAATATCTCTTCTTCCTGCGTGGTGATCGAGAGCGGCGCCGAGGTGATCGATCCCGACTTTTTCTCTTGGTTGATGATGGCGTCGCGCTGGGAGAACGACTTCTCGTTCGCCGGCGATAACTGCGCTCTTTCTTGTGTTTCCGGCGCGGGCTGCCACTCTTACTTCTTGAACGTGATCTAGACTCACTCTTGGGCATTTTAAAGGTATTAAAAATATATCCAGGTGCTAATATGGCCTCTTTAGGAACTCATTGCAAAAACCCTTCAACTTCACAAAGATGAGTAATTTACATGCTTTACCAAGCCCCTGCCTTTAGGGCAGGGTCCCCCCCTCATTGACCATCGAGGAGCGCAGTAATTTTACTTCACTCTGACCATAAAATGAAATTTTTTTAAAGTCAAAACTGAATTACATTACAATCACTTGTGAAATTCCTATTGTTTTGTAATACAACGCACGCGATTTTCAAAATTGTTTGATGAAAAATGTCCTATTTTCTTTGTTTTCCTCGTAAGTCCCGATGTTTTTGGTCAGCGAAAAGACCAACCATAGTTTCTGTGGTATAACAGACATATATTTCCCAAAGTTTTTAATCTAAGAGGGGTGGGGAGGAGAGGCTTAGTCAACACATAAACGAGGCAATTGTTGCCACAATGGTTGCTATGACAATGATTAGACGAAAATGGCGGACTCCTTCATGAAAATACTCAAGTAATCTCTATCACAAAAGACGTATAAAGACCATTTTTTTTTGCCTGATACGGTCTACGCATTAAAAATTCCTCAACTTTATTATTCGAGGAAAGCCTTGCAAAGATCCTTAACCAATGCAGGCCGTATTGTGAGGAGTTGAAAAAGTTTTTCAGCTGTGATTTTGTACATGTAGACTAGTGGTCAAAATTTTTGTACGTAAACAAATGGATTTGGACCGCGAAGATGCATCCAGTTTAAAGGGTGGCGCTTCTGATGTTACATCTGAAGCAGCTGGAGCAGTGATATTGGCGGAATCCTCATTAACGGTACCAGACGAGAACAAAAATGGAGAGTCAAATTCTTCATCTGAAAGTGGTTTGGAGGTTGATCGAGGCTCTGTCGGCAACGGTAGCAGAGGATCAGAGGGCGAAAGAGAGTTTGATCCTGCTGAAATGGTGAGAAGAATATCTCAGAAAACCTTGTTGTCCACAAGTAAATCAATTGCAATAGTTTTCCGAGGTGCATGAGCTCAATTTTAGACGCGCACACGTGTACAATTTGCAAAAAATTGCATCTAAGACGTATATGTTATTGAATTAGATCCCCATGCAAGCTATGTTATTTTACCTATCCAACGGTATATTTTTACAGCCTGCTGAATGCATTCGTGTTTCTGCTCGATAATACGTAATAGCTGGAGCAAGTTAGAAAATAAATGATCCATATCTATTTTTATTTCAAAATGTTTACTTACTCCAGATGCCAAATGTCTTATTTGCAGGTCCCTCTCATTAAGGAAAGAGTCACTTTAAGTGCACTTAAATCCGACATGTGGAATGCAGAACATGATTCTACCATCATTAAATTCCTAAAAGACACTTCTGTTAGACTGCTGGTGGTTTATATTGACAAGCTGTTAGGATTACAAGTTGGTTTGTCTGTTCCACCTCATCCAGTGGAAGAAATGACTTTCATGATTAGGTTTGAAAATGCCACTCTTAACCCTGATAATATTGAACGAAAATTGCAGTTTGGTACAATCAGAGCCAACCACATTGAAAGTCTTTTGAGGACAATGACCAATGTGTATGCTCCTCTGTTTTTTGGAAACAAATCCTGGCCAGACAGTATCCTTTTAAAAATATCGTTATCTCTTCTCTATGTTTTAATTGAGCATTTAATTAGAGCTTCAGGTGGTTTTTGGAAAGTAGTCATAGCTGTTACAGATCTTTAACTATAGGTTAGGTATCAAAAATGACTTCTCTGCACAGCTGCACAAATTCATGGCTAATCTCACAGACACACGCTATAAGATGCAAGGCAAGACAGTGTTATATGTCCCAAATGAGGGAACAAAACTGCCTGTGGAGGATGCTTCCAAGAGTAAAGAATTTGTTCAGCGTTTAGAAAGTAAGAAATATTAATCAAAGTATGTGTTTACTTAATATTGTTAGTTAAATTTAAGTATCTATCCCAGCTTGTTCAGCAATGCAGTGAGGTAAAATATTCTTAGTGTTAATTCTTTTCAATTACTTCCTTTTAACCCCTCAACTCTCAAAAGTGATTAACAAGTTATTTTCCTTATTATATCCATACATTATCCCACAAACATGTAATGATAAATCTCAAACTTACCAGATAAAGTTGTCTTGATCTAACACCAGTTTCTCATAACTAATTCACAAGGAAATGTGTAGCAGCTAGAGGGGAGAATTAACAATCAGATCTTGAGTGTAACATGGTTACATAAAGTATGCCCAAAAGATTGTTATTTAAGGCCTGATTGCATATGTTCCAATTAAAAAAAGTATATTACATCATGTTGATTTGATTTGATTTGGAAACATTGAAATTAAGTAATTACTGTTAAGGCTAATTTTAAATGTGAAGATTTAAATTAAATTTTAAATCCCATTTGACCAAAGTTCAAGCTTGTAATAAAGATAATTCTATCTGAATTACCTCAGAAGATGTTTATATGCATTAATTTTGTAGCCTCTATTATGTCTACATGTATCTTAGTTTATAAAAGTTCCACAAAAGAAGCAAGCAAATCATGGTGGAGTCTGCAACAGAGATTTTCTAGTTTTATTTTCTATCATAATGATGAAACAAAGACTTGTTTCAGAAATAAAATGTATGGAGCTAGTTTGTTAACCCTTCACTCGCATGAGTGACCAAGACAGAATTTCTCCTCACAATATCAATAAAATGTCAAACAGACAAGTGATGAGAATAAAGAAATTATCAACAAGGGGATTATTACTGGTGGTTGATCCAACACCAGATTCTCCAAATTAACATCATTAGAAATGTATGGTAGACAGTAAGGAGATTTACCTTTGAGATCTAGGAATGAAAGGGTTAAATGGACCTTTTACTGTCAGTGACTCCCTTGTCTAGTGTGATTGTACTAAAATACATATTTGCTTTTTTGCCATTTATTTTTAGCTGCCATGATCCACTGGACAAGACAAATAAAAGAGGTGCTTAGTAGTCAAGACACATTTGAAGCAGCAGAAAATTCAGGACCACTAGAAGAGATTGAGTTCTGGCGCAGTCGCTGTGCTGATCTGTCAGGAATCAGTGACCAGCTGGACAAGCCAGGAGTGAAGAGAATACAGTCAATTTTGGAGCACTCTAAGAGTTCTTATGTTGCTCCATTTCTTAAGCTCTCAAAGTTGATTCAGGTCAGTCAGCCTGTTGGACTATCTGTCGGTCCAGAGTTGTTAGTATAAGAGCAAGTAAAAGGTGAAAACCATGATTGGCTAGTCTGTCATCTTTAGCCTGCTACTTTTACCTCATTTATCACCATAATTGCTGGTAAAAAAATTTACAGCGATGGAAAGGAAATTTGCAGAGTAGCCATTTGCCTGCTCTAGGTGGAATTCATAATTTGCCAATAACAGATTTCAAAGTGTGAGTCAATCCCATGTGTAGAAATTATTTGAGGGCTCATGTGAGCTGCTTGCCACTAGGACATTTCTTTATTGAATAGCTCTCACTGTTGCCTCTATGACAACCTCTCTGCTCACAGCTTTTTAGTTTCCTTCCCCTCTCAAACTTATTGACAGTCCTTTCTGTCTTTCTGTTTGTCTGCAATTCAGTTTGTCAGTCAGTTAGTCTGTCTCAGGTTTGTTGGTGGCTCACAGTAACAGACTGATTTCAGTCACCAACAATATGCAAAGTTAAGTATGGTATGTAAATAGCTAGAATATTATAAATTATTGTATATCTTTTATGTAGTGTAACATTTTGATTTTGTCCAAAAGGATGGTTCTGCCCAAGCCCAGAGTAATCTTAAGTTCCTGTCCACACTGAAGGGACCATGTGAAGATCTTGCTCAGGCCCAACCTAAGGACATTCCAGGGATGTTGCCAAAGATCCTCAACATAATTCGCATTATATGGATGAACTCTGAACATTACAAGAGTAGAGAAAGACTCACTGGTTTACTGAGAAAGGTAGGAATCAGTGGTAGAGTGTGAGTAAATAGCAAACAGTGTACAGCTGAGGGATGAAACTTAATAGAGAGTAAATGTATATAGAGATAAAAAAATACTAGGCTTGATGTCAAGTGTATGAATGTGTTTTAGTCATTTCATCCCTTGAATGTCTGTATGGTAAAGGTCAAGGTCAAGTTTGTACTCAAGCCAAGTAGCTCACCCAGTAGGAGCTTATCCTGGTTTTCTTAGCATGAAGAAACTTGAAGTATCACTACTTCCCCCTGGATTGGGGGCCAGTCCATTGCAAGGTTACCCCCTATATTATTTCATCAGACTTCCCTGACAATTTGCTGGTACTCATTTGGGAAAGGTATTCTGTATTGTAGTGTTCCACTATTGCATAGCTTTCCTGTTGTTGTGTCAGGGAAATGGGATAAAATGGTGGGGGTGACTTGCAGTGGATTAGTGGATTAGCATCCTGTCCAGGGGGGAGTAGCAAATTACTCCTGGTTGCTTTATGCTACAGAAACTGGGATGAACTCTGCCTGGATGGGCCATGTGGATTGATAGCTGACTTCACCTAGATTACTTTTCACAATATTCTGACAATGTATGAGAAAAACGAGCTCACATAACAACAGTGATGTGAGGTGCATTCTTCATTATTTTGATTCTTTTGCTGGGCTGTTAATGCTCTTGGTATATTAAATTAATGTTTTGATCTTTCACTGGTTGAGAATTGACCAATACTACTTGTTTGCCTTCTCAGGTTAGTAATGAGATCATCAAAAGGTGTAGTACCAAAATCTCACTTGATGATATCTTTGAGGGTAGGATCAAGACAAGTATGCAGGGACTACAGGAGAGCATTGAGTGTTGTGAGTCATGGAAACACACCTACAGTAAGGTAAAGTTACTGTCAGTGGTATAATTAAAGTAGAGAGATATGAATGATGAAATGAAGTTATTTTTAACTACACCAGTTTGCAGAGTATGGCAAATGAGATCTTGTATGTGTAGAGCCATTTTTAGCTTTGTGCATTGCATTGAGTACAACCAAGAGTCCAGAACTCACATATGTACGTGATGTAGATGCTGGGAAATTGATAGTTTTAAAAAGAATTTGTGCCATTTGATACTCTGCAGACTGGTAAATGGAAATTTATCAATAATTATTAGTCCTGTAGATGATTTAGAAGATAAACATGATGCTCAAAGCTTTATTCAATTGATAGAAACAGTAAAAAACAAGGTACTGCATTTCCTCTAAAAAGCACCTATGTTCTAATAAGCACCCACCCTTAAGGCCATAATGTCAAGTAAGTGCCCCTTTGAATAAACAAGGGCTTCCCCTCCTCAGTTTTTTTAAATTGAAGGGATGCAACCTGTTCTTATTGCAACTTTCTTTGTAACTGTTTGAGCTTCAACTATAGCTGAATCAATACAGGAGAATGATAAGTGCCCTCCTTCAAATGAGGGCCCCTCCTTTTTAGCTGAAATATTAAATAAGCACACAGGTGCTGATCAATGAATTTGAATGTAAGCCTGCAAGATACCATTTTGGGGCTACTATCTGAGCTGAGAAGTCATGTGTTGGAAGCAACATGGGTTTCCTATCTACAAGAGCAGGACAAAAATTATTGCTAGCCATAATTGTTATAACAGAAGAGAAGACTTTTTTTAACTTTTTGGTCTGCTAATTGTTTTAGCATTTAACTTTAATTGCTTACAGATCAGTAGAATGCATTCCAAGTTGTCAAGTGAGAAATGGATTCTTGACCAGAGTAGCATTTTTGCCCAAGTGGATGCTTTTGTGCAGAGGTGTAAAGATCTCTTGGAGGTATTGTGGTGTGCATTGTCAGTTGCAATTCATTGAGCAAAATTAATATGAATTGAAAGTAATAGATTAGTGTAGGAAGGAGTATAAAAAGCTCTTAGAATTAATCTCCACTGACAGTAGGATTAGGGAACAGAAAAAAAATCGTGGTATTCAATAGATACAACACCAGTAAAAAACAATTAATTAAACTGAGGAAAAATTTGAACCAAAACGTATTAATGTCATACTTAGAGTACAATACTAAATGTTATAAGCAGTTTGTTAATTCCTTCAGTGCAAATGACTAATCTTGTACAATAAAAACTACTCATCTTGAAATTCTCAATAAATGTGTGAATTCTGTAGGTATGTGAAGGGCAAATCCACTTTGCAAGAATGTATGATGGCGAAAAAAGTCCCCTACCTTGCTTCCATGGTGTACGAGGACCTGAGGTGGTCAGAAGCTTATTGGAGATTGAGGCAACATTTGAGAAGAATCTGCAAATCCTTAAAGATGTCAAGAAAACTATTTTAGATGTTAAGGTAGGAACAAAATAACACAATGTTTGATTTGACATTTGTGATCCTTGCAGTATGTGAGTCTGGTATAGCATGTGAATTCTGGGGTGGGTACCAGGGTCTTCCAGATTTTTTGCTGCATATGTGCTGCTGGCTTCTCAGAATCCCAACCCTAGTATAGCTATTTGTTGGCCTATTATAGACAATCTTTGACACTTTTTTGGTTATACAGGGACAACCTTTCAACTGCAAATCATCCATGTTTAAATCCCTACAAACCAAAATTTCTCACCTCCAAAATCCTGAAAATGTAAGCCTCCATTCAAGCAACTCTTGACAGTGCAACCCTGTTGTAGTCAATCCAGTCATGAAAATGTGACCCCATCCAATGGCACATCCCTATTGGCCTGTAATTGTGAAGAACCCTCCTTACCCCTCAGGACATGAACCAACTTATAGAAAAACTTACAGCAAGTTCTCTGTCACTCAGAGGTAGAGTGTCAGATAATGAAACCCAAAGGTCTAACCTGAGATTTCTCATTTGAGACTCAGATTTTTTCTAGGTCTTATGCTCAAAGTGAATGAATACCATCATAACATTATTTGCACTGTTACATGAGACAATTTTGTTTCTGCATCTAAGACAGTTTGTAGAAAAGCCTTCTGTAGGTCTTACACATCTGTGTTGAGGTACATAGGTGTCATAAGGTTGCTAATTTTTATGTCCCTCCGTTAATTAAATTAATTTAATTTAATTCTTTCTTATCAGGCAACAACTTGGCATGATGATTACAACAGATTCCGTGCTGGTGTAAAAGATTTGGAAGTGATGGTTCAGAATTTGATGTCCTCTGCATTTGAAACAATAACAACTGTCCAAGAAGGTGTAGAAATTTTGGACATATTCCAACATTTGTCATCGAGAGAGGTAAAATCATCATTTCTGCATTCATTGCATTATCAATTGAAGACACTAATTTACTTCAAATATATCTTTCTTGCCACAAAGGCTTTAAAAAGCCCCCCTGAAGGGAGGTTTTAAAAAGGGGGAGGCATAATAGAGAGGTTGGCTGATTACAGCAGAGGTCTTATATAAAGTGTTCTCTGTATGTTGTTCTTCAGGCCATCAGACGTACAATTGACAAGAAAACAGTGGAAGTGTACCAGCTTTTCAATGAAGAACTAAACCTTGTCAAGAAAGAGTTCAATACCAAGACAGTGGACTTGCCGCCTATGTATCCAATTTATGCAGGATCGGCAGCCTGGGCAAGAATGCTTAAAAGGAGGATAGATCGACCAATGAATGTAAGCTCCTTGTCTCCAACATGAAACTTTTGTTTTATATGGGGAGGGGTTAATAAGTGGATGGGATTCTAGTACATCACGGATAAACTGTGTCAAGATCTCCAATTTTCTTGCCAAGATCTTTGGTTTTCTTGCTAAGATCTTCAAAGATCTTTTGCTTTCTTGCCAAGATCTTCAAGGATTTTCAAAATTCTTGTTAAGATCTTTAAAGACATTCAAAGATCTTGGAAAGAAAATGAAAGGTACTTGAAGATCTTGGCAGGAAAATGAAAGATCCTTGAAGATTCTGGCAAGAAAATGAAAGATCCTGGAATATCTTAACAAGAATTTTGAAGATATTTATTCCAAAGATTTTTCAAAGATCTTCATGAAGATCCTTATCAGGATCCTGAAAGGTCCTCATGAAGATCTCCTAGGATCTTAAAACATCTTTCAAATACTTTCACCAGGGTAGTCTGCTTTGAGCCTAGCTTCCCCACTGCAAATATCTTCAAGGGTCTTTGTTTTCTTGCCAAGATCTTTAAGAATCTTTTGTTATCTTGCTAACATCTTTAAGGATCTTTTGTCAAGATCTTGTATCAGATCAGAATCTTGGAAGATCCTTGAAGATCATGGCTAGAAAATAAAAGAACCTTGATGATCTAAACAAGAACTTTGAAGATTCTCAAAATTTTTTAAAGAGCTTTACTAAGATCCTCAATAGGATCCCCAAAGGTCCTCATAAAGAACTTTTAATATCCTAAAAGATCCTTCAAAGATTTTCACCAGGGTTACCCATCTATTAAGGGAGTGGTCACCAGGTGACATAGCCAAACAATATGACAATATGAAAATAGGAAATATCTTTATTTCAAGTACTAAATTCAATTTACAATGGAATCTATAATTCTATATTTTTTTACATTCGTTAATAGCAATAAAATTTTAAATGTAAATACATTACTAATATGTTTGCTAAGAAAAAACATAAAATATGTTCAAAAATATGTTGACTTTGATTGAAATAGGTAAGATTTATTTAGGCTGAAATATAGCAATAAAGAATTAAAGGCTGATATTGAGAAAAATGTTAAAATTGGCAATAAAAAGATCAAGGAGATGGCTCCTTCAATAGCGTCAATATCAATATCCATAGGAAATTATCTTTTCTACTGTCAGAGTAGAAGCCATCATCTGATACAAATGATTCTGCTGTTTACTTCTGCCCAAAAGTATACTGTCAAGATGTCAGTCATCATCTTTGACAACAGTCCTTTCATGACTACTCCTACTTGGATGAATGTGCTGTATAATAAAGTGCTACTATTAGGCTCAAAGTATTCACTGAATCTTATTAAGTTTTTTGATTAATGTCTCTTTCTCCCCACAAGGAGTTGAAGCAACTGTTTTTTTGTTGGTAATTTGCCTTTTTCTCACAGGTATTGAACAAGTCATTCTTCTTGCCACTGATCGGGACTGGAGAGGAAATCAGATCACAATACCAACAACTTGCTCAGGTACAGTAGTTTAAAGCAGTACTGTACTTATGACTGAGTGGGAGGGCCAGATGGTTAAAAAACCATCTGTGTGTGACATAACTAGGAGTCAAATATTTTCCTGTGTTGCTCAACCTTTTTCAGTCAATAAGTTTTTTATCACTTGACTGCTACTCTCTCTCTTCCTTCTTTTTGTTGTCCTTACTTTTAGTCTACTTTTAGCTGTTAGAGCGAGTTGCAATCGCCTTAATTCTCATTGCTTTTAATTTTTTGTTTATTGTGATGAAGGCTATATTTGAAAGCTGCCTCTGGATATCGTGACTTAATCACATGAAGGAGCTTATTTTGACACCACAAGTATTATGATAAACCTGCTCAATTCTTTGACTTTGTGTAAAGTAAATGTTCTTCCTAACCCTTTAACTCCCAGGTGAAATTTGTAATTCTCCTTATTATCAACCATACAATTCCTATAATTTTAGTTTAGAGAAGTTAGCATTGGATCAACTAATTATTCCCAAATTGATATTTTTCTATATTCTCGTCACTTATCTGCTTGATGTTGTATTGATATTGTAAGGAGAAATTCTATCTTGTTAACAGATAAACAGTTTAAACACACTCATCACCATTTGTCTTCCGCCCATGTAGGCTCTTGACGAATTTGTTAGAAAGACTTTTAATGAATGGACTTCCACCGTTGACAAGGAGGCTACTAGACTGTTAGAGATTCCTCTCATGAGACGTAGCTCGGACAGATCTGGGACACTTGACCTTAATTTTGACAGGTTAGTAAATTGCTCATTAAAAGAGTGACTGGAGGAAGGTTTTATTTGACTTTCAATACAAAATAAAATTGGTGCGATTCATCATGAAATACGTGATAATTTGGAGGGATAGTTAAATCAGGAGTATGTCAGTCACCTTGGATCCTTTTTTTCCATCCATCTTTCAATCGATGGAGTGAAGAGGAAAACATCTTTTTAGAAAAAGTTCCTTTTCCATTCTTATGCTTCCAGCGTCAGATCTCTTCTTCGAATAAGTGCTACATTATAGCAATTTTCAATTGGGTGTATAGAGAAATCTGGAATTACTTTTGTTTTGCGTCACTTTGACCTTTGATTGGTCTAGAAAACTTGTGCCATCCTCTCAAGTAATTAGATGTAAACCTAAAAATAATCATGGCTTGGTAGCTCGCGTTTTTCCGCGCATAAGACAGTTTGGTCAGTTTAACTTTGAGTTCTCTCTGGGTTTAAAGGGTGTTATAACATAGCTAGTAAATTTGTCTAATCAAATTCAATTGCGCGAGCGTGCTTCATATTCCTATTGTGCACGCTCATGACGTCAGCAAACAAATCCCTCGAGAGAAAAAATTTTTCCTACGAAAGATGCGTAAGAGTTGCTCGAGGCGTAGCCGAGAGCAACTCTAGCTTCTTGAGTGCTCTCCAAACTTTCCGCATGCTTCATATCTCGATGAACGCACAGCTGACGTATGAACCAATTGTTAATTTTTCTTTTCTTCTGAATGGCTGTTGTGATTACTTTGGTTTTAGTTTTACAACAGTCAATCTGAAAGCCCTTTATTTTATATCTGTCTTTTAATTTCTAATAATGTCATATGTTGTTATTTGCAGGAACCTTCTGAAGTTGTTCAACGAAATCCATTACTGGGAGAAATTGATGTTTGAGACTCCTCACTATGTCTCTGAGCTTTACATGAAGAAGGAAGATCTACGTATTCTTAGGGAAAATGTCTTGCTTGTTGTCCGTGACTACAACAGGTTTGTGCTAATGATGAATAGTATGGCCAACATCGGTTTTGGTATTAAATGCCTTACAGTATTACAGTAACTGATCCTCTGGCATGAGATATTAGCTTGTCTCATTGCGAGGTACAGTAATGTTTAGAGTTCAAATTTGGTACATAAGTGCTTGTTACCTCAATGTACTCCTAAGTAGATGCATCTTATGTTCAAAAGTATTTGTGTCAAAGAAATTGTCGAAAGCCCCCCTGAAGAAGAAGTGTTATGGGAATTTTCTCTCTATCGTCCTTATCATTTGCTGGTGGCTGCGATATTTCTATTTCATGTCAGAAAATTGTTGTTTATACTTTACTTGAACTTGGCATTGTCGCTTGTTTGGCAGGATCATAGCAGTTTTGTCCTCTGAAGAACGTGGTTTGTTCAGAGAGAGAATCAGATCACTGGACAAAAAGATTCACCCTGGTCTTACCAAGTTAACGTGGGCTTCAAAGGGAATCTCAGATTACTTCATTGGAGAGTGCAGGAATAACTGCAGCAAGGTACATGTACTCTTGATTTACAATACCAATCTTTGTTAGAAGCAAGCTGCAAACGGTGCTATAAAACATGGTTTCAATCGTTACTTAAGCAAAGATTGACAAGAGATAAGAGCGATTTTCAACTGAGTGACAAGGAGTCCAGGATTTTATTGTTTGTGTTTTACTCTTCCCAATTATTGGTTGGATGACTTGCTTTGTTAAAACAGAAATTCACCAGTTTTTTTCCCAATTTGTCTCCAACCATCCTAGATGATCAGGGATGTCTAATTCGTTGTTTGAAGAAGCTTGTGAATGAGATTATTTTAAAAAAAGTCTAGTTTGTATATTTCCTTGACAGACTAAAGCTATGTATTCGGAAAACGGAAAATTGACGTTGATTTTTTCTTTGTGTTTTAACATCAGTATCTACAATTTAGAGTTACACAAGTATGCTAATTATGGAATGGTTGAGGAACAGTAGGATATGCCCTTGAGGTTTTATCCAACAAAGACATCTGTTCATAAAGGCAGTAAATGTTACTTAAGTTATTAAATGTGCATTTGCATTTTGTAGGTTCAAGATATAGTGGATGACTACAAGAATGCCAACCTAACCATCTCCAAGAACTGCAAGAAGATCAGTGAGATGTTACTTGTCAAAATTGATGGCAAAAGAGTGTATGACAATCTGGAATTTGAAGAAGAACAGGTAAACCACGAGAAGATTCTGGATATGATAAGGAGACTGCTTAGCTCTCTCAGTTTGTGGGTTTTTTAGCCGGTTCGTTGGGGCAGTAAGTCTATCGGTCAGTCCATAGTTAGCTGGTCCATCCTTCCGCTAGTTGTTAGACTGTCAGTCCATCAGTCATTCTCTCAGTCAGTCCATCAGTCAGTTGGCCCAACCTTCCGTTGGTTGGTAGACTTTCAGTTCATCAGTCCATCTGACTGTCCCACTTGCTCATCTGTCAGTCGGTCAAATGCAAGTGATGAAACAATCAATCAGTCAAACAATCGATTAGTCAAGATAACTAGGCTAAGTAATAGGTACGGTGCCTTTAGCGATTAGGTTAATGCTGGTGACTAGAAACAGCGGAAGAGCTTAAATAGACTAGTTCTAGATACAACCACTGATCTTTCTTCGATTCCTTTCCAGAAAAAACACCGAAGCATTGTGCAGACAAGACTGCAGGTCACTCATGTAGAGATTGTGAGCATCATGAAACAGACGTATGAGGTTTTCAAGCATGATGGCCAAGAGGTATTATGGATTGTCGTATTAGATGTGAAATGTAAAGACTTTTATCATTGGAAAAAGTTGAAAGGTCTTAGCTGAGATTCCCAAACAACTGTTTGGTAAAGGTAACGCGGGCTTATTTGTATTTTCTATATTGTTTGGCAGGTGCAAGCCCATTGGTTGCGCTACACTGAGAAAATGGATCGTATGGCTGAAGAGGCATTCAGATTGAATGTAAAATGGTCATTGCAGGAACTGTCCAGAGCCATTAATGGAGATGGAAAGAGTGCTCCAAACCCGCTGCTCAGGGTCAAAGTTGTACTGGAAGGAGATAAGGTTTGAAGCGTAATTATTGAGGTGTTAAGGTTTACAGCGTTCTTTTGATTGGGGATTGGACCAGACGCTAATCATTTTGAGAGCACATTTCGATTGAGCTTCGCAAACTAATATAAAAGTAATTACAACAGCCAATCAGAAAAAAGGTGAATATCACAACAAACCAAGGAGAATTCAAAGTTAAACGAGCAAACTGTCAGAAGTGCGTGAAAACGCGAGTGACCTAATCACGATTGGTTTCAGTTTTGAATCTGATTGGTCGAGGAAGTGGCACGACCAATCACAGTGCAAAGTAATTCAAAACCAAAACAATCCCAAACTACTTTCGACACTCAAATGAAAAGTGTCCCGTCATTATCTTAAATATTCTTTAAATCTGCTTTTTTGTAACAATCAGGTGGAATTCTCACCAACACTGAAGAAGCTTGCTAGCATGATGGACAACATTGCAGTTCAGTTGACATCTTGTCTGTCAGTTTTCCAACGGCTCCCGGATATTCTTACCAAGAAACGTTCTGTTAAAGATGTAAGTGCAACAAGGTTTCTGAAAGACATAAATCACACAGTCACCAAAAATTTTATATTTTGTTTCAAACTACCTGCATAAATATAAATTAATAATATTTATACTTCAAAAAGTGGCTAACGGACCTTCAAGTTGGCAGCTAGTTAACTTTTGTGTGTCGTTTGCTTTGTTGCAGCGTGTCTGTGAGATAATTGAAAGGGACGAAGAGACAAAGAAAATCCAAGCCAGCATCAAAGCTGGAATGTCAGCAAACGCCTCACATCTGCAGTCATACCTCAGCACATGGGATAGGTATGAATCATTAGAGCGATTTTAATTGGTCCAGAAAATTAGGGTCACGACGACACACGATTGCCAGTTAATCAAGTTAATCAGAATCAGTTCATCAAAACTAAGCCAAAATTTATCGTCGTGCATAAGTGCTAGTGCAAGCATGATGCGCACACTGTTCTATTACTGCTCAAATCGATATGTCAATAGCCATCATGTTCGAAAATTTTGTTACAGTTCTAATTAAGGGGAAAAGAGGACATAAACCAAAGGGAAATTCTTTGAAATAACGCAATTTTATAGTAGAACCTCCACTCTTGAGCAGAAGTGCCCCTAAAATGAAGGCAACAGATGGCAAGGCTTTATGGGCATTTTTCTCATTCATGCTTCTTAAACTCGAGGGAAATTCCTTTGTTTTCTTGTTTCGAGTGTCTCGAAACTCGACTCGAGCCTGGATCCTCAATCCTCGAGGTTTTTCGAAAATTGAGGATCATGAATTGGGGAACGAGGATCGAGTTTCGAGGGACTGTCAACTTACTTTTGAGCGGCACTGTTCATCATCATCGTCACCCACCAAAGTTGTACTTGACGCTTCGTGACGTATAGTGAATCAGTAATTGCCATGTTAAACGACTGATTGAAGCCCATTGATGTTTAGTTACCGAGAAATCTGGGAGATTCAGAAGGATGCCTTCATTAGGAGATACCAAAGGCTGAACCCACCGGTCTCCTCGTTTGATGCTGACATCTACAGGTTTGTGAGTCTATAATCGCTACTGGGACTCTTCTAGTCTAAACTTTAACCCTTTACTCCCAAATATCTGAATGCACATTCTCCATACTGTTCTTTAAGCACCTCCCAAGGTGCCGGTAAGGAGAATTTGTTTAACGTTCAAGAGTTTCTATTGTTAGTGATCATTTCCCATGACCTTTATGTTTGATTCAGGAGTTATATTGTAAGAAGAAATATGATGCTCGTCACTCTTAGGTGTTAAAGGGTTTAAGTGCTATTTCTTCACTCAAACTACTCGACAATGTTAATAAGACTGTTGTTTTAGTAAAACTAGCTGTAATCCGATTTGATCTTGTTAAGTTGTTGGTCATCCATGCTCCATGCTAGCTCTACTATGTTTCCTTCATTTTCTACGCTTTTAACCGTTTTCTTGTTATTTAAGCGAATTCTATAGCCATAACAGCCTGGAGTTGCCTGACATATTCCTTTTGAACATGAGCAGTTAATCAATTTTTTTGAAACTCACTAGGTACACAGAAATTGCCAATAACTTCCAGAAAGAGGAGACAGTGCTCAATATTGATTTTGTGCTCCTGGACAACTCGCCGCTGAAGTTCGCTCTTTTGAGCCATTGCAATGAATGGCAGAACAAGTTTACTACTCTTCTGCGTGAAATGGGAAGCCAAAAACTGCTGGAACTGCACAACTTCTTAAAGGACAATGCCAAAAAGTAAGTATTGAGCACCATAAATGTTTTGATTCCATGCAGTTTAAGGTGGTTGTTTGTGTAAAAAAAAAAGGTGGGGTATAAATATTATAAGACACCTGTGTATACTCAAAATAAACCAGAAAACTAGTGAAAGTCAGTTATGGGGTCGGAATTGGTTCTAGCTTTCTATTTTCTCCGTTGGGAGGATTGCAAGAGTTTTTGACCCCTTAAAGAGAAGACTGGCGAATGAATAATAATATTTTGAAACTTTGACGCTTAACTGACAACTACTCTTTGATTATTACTTACTTGTGGTGCATTTTATATCATCTTAACAGGCTCAGTGCTCCTCCAGAAACCTTAGATCAGTTGGGTGATAGTCTGGCTCTGCTGGAACAACTCCAACAAGATTTGCCAAACATCGAGGCCAAGTTTCCGCCTTTACATCAACAATTTGCCATTCTTGAGAAGTACGAAGTTGCTATTCCAGAGGAGGTACGATAATTTCATCACCTGTTTAAAAGTCAAACCCTGCTTTGATTTCTTTGATGTTTTCTTTCTTTTAAACAAGGAATAAACGCGTTGTATTTGTAACGAGCGAAAGGTTCTGGGTAATCACTGTATAATTAAAACTTCTGTGCAGTACTATTTATTTACGCTGTAGAAAATGGTTCTAATTTTTGGTTGGATGGATCAAAGACTGTGCAACCTCTCGAATGAAAGCCTCTGAGCATTTCGTTCATTTTAGTTTCTTTCATCACAATCCAGTTAATGTGTAGGCTGTTTCTCTGAAATGTGACCATGTTGTTTATAATCTCTTAACCATCGTTTCCTTTGCGTAAGATGTTTTTTCGTCTTGTAACAAGCATGGAAAATAAACATATTTTGAATCCGCATGAGGAGTCAAACTCAGACCATCGGATTTCGGGCTCCGCCGATGCTTTGCCATTGAGCTACAGAGACTCTATGGAGAGCAAGGCTATTGCTCAGTTCATATCATGAGACACGTGTCCAGCATAGTGCTAGGATTAGCAACGTCAAAACGTTTTGTTTTAATGTACATGTATAGGAAAAATGTAATTTAACTTTAAGGGCGACTAAATAGCTAACTATATTATGCCCTTCTCCATTTTCTTCCCTCTTTGTAATCACTATAAAAAAGTTTGTCTTTGTTGAAATAGAGGGAAAAAAGGAACAAATAAAACAGAATAAGAAAGATGGTAATTGTTCCTCTCTTTCCCCCTTTTTCCTTCTTTGCAAAACAGTTGCCTCTTCCTCATACAAGAACTGAACTTTCATGCTTTTATTTGTTGGCTTTCCCGCAGGTACAACAGATGCTCGATCAGCTGAGTGGCGAGTGGGTGTCCTTCCAGCAGTGCTTGATCGACAGTGATGCTATGCTGAAGAAAAGCAAGGAGAAGTTCAAAACAGGGCTGATTCATTCTTCAGAAGACTTTAAGAAAACTGTCTCAACGCTGTTTGATGATTTCCAGAACAAAGGTCCATTCAGCAGCTCTACCTCTGTAAAAGAGGTTCGTATGTGTGTAGCGTTTGTTTAGCTGTGAAGGAAGATCTTTAAATCATCACCACTTAACATAAATTAACGGGCCTTAAGCCATATTTTAAAATCAAAAGTTAAAGATTAGGGGAGCAGGTCCATAAGTTTTCTTTCCTTAGCTTGTAGTTTTATTGTATAATTTTCAAAACTTTTGAAATCCTGATCTTGAATGAAAGCCGAAGAGCTTTACTGCTAGACCTCTATTTTGTGTTTTCTTGCCGCAATTGTCCTTCTGCAGGAGGTTCTGTGATTATTGATTAGACTCCATTTATTATCAGACCTGAAGCAGTCCTTCTTTCCAAATAGTGTTTACCGCACGATTAAAAAAGTCTGCGAAAACAAAACAAAACCTAGTGCCTGAAAAATCTCTGCCCTTTTCCGTTTAACCGTGTGACTATAGTGTAGTGAATTGAGGCAGAAAATACCATGACCATTGTATTTTTATAGTCATGCCGCATGGTCATAACTTCAGTGCGCGTATAATGAATGCAATATTTTTGTCTTAGGCTTTGGAGGAGGTCAAAATGTACCACGAACAAGTCACTAACTTAAAGACACAAGAAAACAAACTGAGACGAGGATTAAACATCTTCAAGATTGAGCAGCCTCCGTCGAAGGATCTGCAAGGGCTGGAGAAAGATCTGGAATACTTGGAGCAGGTTTGGACCATCACAAAGGAATGGGAAGATCTGTGGGATGCTTGGAAAGTTGGCAAATTCGAAGAGCTGGTCACCACCGATATGGAGACTACGTCGCAGTTGTTGTTCAAGAGGTTGAACAAGCTGGTTCGAGAAGTAAAGGTAAGGATAATTTGAATTCGCTCACATGCGATTGGTCTCGATGCATCATGTGACCCGTTATGTCCCCGTTAAAGCTAGGGAATATTTAGTGATATTCCCCAACTCGAAGCCTTTTCCCTAAGTTTTCCCTAAGCTCCGCTCTCTGGAACTCGCGGTGCAGGTAATCTTAGGGGACAAATATCCGAGAATATTTTCGTGCCAATTGGAGGCTATTGTTAAGTAATATATGTAATCTTAATTTGTGGTTTTGGGAGCAGATAGGAGCTGTGCTGAGAGATAAATCTGTGGAAAAATCGGGATTGGACACTTCATAATAACAGATTATACATGATGAAAATGTGACCTATAACTGCTATTTCTCTCGTCTACTCCTCAAATGTATCGTGATTTTTCCCTACAGGACAAAAACTGGGACATTTGTGACTCCATCAAGTCTCGTATCGAGCAGTTCAAGCGCACCATGCCATTGATCCAAGATTTGAAGAACCCAGCTATGAGAGACAGACACTGGGCACAAATCAAGTCTGAGGTTCAAAAGCCTTTTGATCAGAATGGTAAGTTAATTAATCTTATTACCTACTTTTTCTTCTCATCGCCTAGGAATGGAACAATTTTGAATCGAGTGTCGAAAGTTATCCGGAATTGCTTTGGTTTTGACTTAATTTTGCTCTGTGATTGGTCAATCAAATGAAAAGCTAGAAACGATAGCAACTTGGTCTTGCGCGTTTTCCCGCGCTTCAAGTAGTTTTCTTGTTTTCACTTTGAGTTCTCTTTGGCTAATGAGAATGTAAAGCTTTGTTCTGATTGGTCGCTGGGATTACCTTGGTTTTGGTTTTTCGACACTCAATAGAAAAATTAAAACTTTGATGGTTTTTTTAGTATGGGTTGAAGCCCTTGATTTGTCAAGGTTTCTCTCTTGGCGCGCGCGCGCTGGATGCGTGACGTGTAGTTTCACTGTGACAAGAATTACGTGAGCAATAGAAACACGCAGAGTCCGTTAGAGTAAGAAGCAAAAATGATCGAAAACTATCCGAGATTACATTGGGTTTGCTTTAATTAATGCGCACTGTGATTGATCTAGAACACTTGCACCGCCTTCTCAACAGACGAAGTGCAAATCAAAAACCAATCGCGATTTTTGTCATTGCGATTTTCCAGCGCTTTAGGCAGTTTGGTTTCACTTCAAGTTCTCATTTGCTTCATTGTAAATTATATTTGGTCTGACTGAGTACTTGGTTTTTTTTTTTACGTCACTCGGTCGCAAAGCGCTGTAGCTTCAACTTATGTTAAAACTCCAGGTAGCCTGATATCCGTGTTGTTTTGTTTTTCAGCTGATGATTTTACTCTTGAGAAGATCATTGAACTTGGATTGGATCAGTTTGCTGAGCAGATCAGTGAAGTCTCCGCTGCTGCAAGCAAGGAGTTGTCCATAGAACAAGTATGAATTTCTTTCTATGTGTTGGGAATGTTTATGTGTCGCCACCGTGTGGTAATGTGGTGGAAGTCCATGTGTCCTAAACGGTTGTATAACGGGAATTATAATACGTTGCATTATTTCACTTTTGAGCTTTTGATAACCAAAGGTATATTCTACATGCTTAGGAGCGCCTTCCTATGTTAACGTTTCTGCGACAATTACTTTTTTTTGTCAGGCTATTACAGGCATTGCCGAGAGCTGGGAGCAAATTACCTTGGATATTGGACCGTACAAGGATCGCGGTCATTTCAGACTCAAGTACGAATTTACGATAACTTTAGATAGAAAATAAACGAAAATGAATTAAAAAGTGTTTCGTTTATCAGCACATTTTTGTGTAGGATGAACTTCGTGATAGCTCTATCCTATCAACAGTTGAGATTTTTTAATTCTGTTAGTAAATGTCATCTGTTTTGGTTGAAATTTTGTTTCGTCAACTAGGATCTGTTGTTATGGTTATATTCATACCACTGATCGAGGGTTACTCGACCTATTTTTATACTAATTGCGGTTTTATTTTCAACAAAATTCTAAGTTTTTTCCTCTGGTCTTCAGGGCAACAGACGAAGTCTTTCAACAGCTGGAAGATAACCAAGTTACTCTGTCCACCATGAAGGCTTCGCGATATGTCAAGGCTTTTGAAGTAGAGGTAAGATATATGAAAGTTCGAGTAGTTTTAACAGGATTGTTGGCTGGGAAAGCTGGTTATTGAATGATAGTTCTCCTACAGGATACTCAATGGCTCCGAACTGAAAGTTTCCGGTTCAAGTCCTCGTGGAGGTCATTGTGTTGTGTCTCTCGCGGGGGGGGGGGGGGGGGAGTTAGGGGATAACCGGCGATGGACCAGTACTACGGGATAGTTTTGGTTTTGCTTTACTTTGCTCTGTGATTAGTTCAGAAAACTCAATCGCACCCCTGTCACCCGCTTCTTCCACGCTTCAATTAATGTGCTTGTTTTTACTTTGAGTTCTTATTAGTTTGTGATATTTCCCTTTGTTCTGATTGGTTACTGTAATTCATTTGGTTTTTGTTTTACAACACTGAATCAAAATGCGTTCTAGATACATGCTTGGTTGAGGTCATAGAACATCCCGTAGAAGTTTGTCTTTAATTGGCTGCTCCGAAGCTTTGCGTTGTATTGGAAGTGAATCTAAGGGTCGTATTGGTGATTTCGTTCATTTGTGATCAGAAGTGAACCTTGATATGGTTCTATCGCTTTTTCTAATTAACAGGTGGACAAATGGGAAAGAACTCTGTCTCTCATTCTGGAAGTCACGGAAATGATACTCACCGTCCAACGACAGTGGATGTACTTAGAGGTATGGAAGCAGTCAGTTCGGAGTATTTATAAGTTTACTAAGATGTCAGTGAAATGTTAGCCCCTGACACCATCACCGGAGGACAATGTTTCTATAATTCTGCGAGACCGAGTGAAGTAAACTCGGAATCAGTTGGACTACAAGATCGTTTAAAAAGTCTAAAACCTCTTTTCATATCGAAGATAAATGACAGAATGTGTTAGGACTGCATTACATGCTATTTTACCACACACCATTGTTAAATTGGTATAAGGCTACTTTTGTTAACGTTTTCTTTAATGCATCCAACGATAATAAGGCTATTTATTTGTGAATGGAAAGGAAAATCGAAGTGATCTCGTATTTCTCACCACGTTGCACTTGTTCTAGAAATCTGTTGATGAACACCGTACCTCATTAAAGCCCAGACAGATGAATTTAAGGGCTTGAATCTATTCTTCAATTCTCTGACCTCTTTTGGCTTTAAATCCAAAGTGACAACTCTTTCACTAAATACATTTAATGGATCACTGTCATTATCTGAGCAACTGCCCACATACCCCTCCCCTAACCAAAAAAATTCAATTGATAACAAATTAGGGTTCATGTAGGGTTAGGGGACGGGTAAGTGCGCTGTTGCTAAGGTACTGACATTGATCCCTTTAATTTTTACGCAGTTCATTCTGGTAGTTTGCAGAATGCCTGCGTAACTTTTACCAACATTCTCTTTTTTTACGCAGAACATTTTCCTTGGCGAGGACATCCGTAAACAACTTCCTAGAGAGTCAGCAGAATTTGATGATGTGAACGCGAACTGGAAGGTTTGGCCATTTGATAAATATTGGTGTCGCAAAAAGGGGGGGGGGGTTGTTTAATACTGGGGCTTAACAAGGGGGTCCCAAGGATGAAAGTAACTGCTCCTAATAATCTACAATATACAAATCATAGACCTCCAAGTATTAAAGAAAAATGCTAATCCGTGGAGTCTAAATGACCTGGGATATTTCAATGCTAGATTCTCCATTAGCTGTTTTTTTCGCCGTCTGAATACGAGCCCACTGATACGAAAGGTAGAGCAACGGCATAAGCTAATTCACGCGGCAGGCGTGCGGCAATTTAGTTCGTAACTGTGACCCCACTTCTTTGGTTATAAGTGTTACGAATGCCTGCCAGTTGAGAGAAGTCTTGATATTTTTTTCTTTTTCAAAAAGGTGATCATGCAAAGACTGAACAAGGATAATAATGCGTTGAGAGGCACTCACCATCCAGGTAAAGTGCACTGTTTCCAAAATAAACTTTTCTACCCGACTCATTTCAAAGGACGTTATTGTGAGGCTCTTGGCTTCATGCCGACTAACCTTCGCTTTGTTTCTCATTAAAGGTTTTCATTTACTTTACAGGCTTGCTCGATACACTAAACGACATGAATCTGAAACTAGAAGAGATTCAGAAGTCACTGGATATGTACTTGGAGACGAAAAGGCAGATTTTCCCTCGCTTCTATTTCTTGTCTAATGACGATCTTCTGGAGATACTGGGACAGTCTAAAAACCCTGAAGCTGTGAGTAGCATCGTTGAGATATAAACTGAGTCGATTTATTGTGCTTGCCCTAATTTGCATTTCACAATCTTCCATTTTATTTTGCAGGTTCAACCTCACTTGAAAAAATGTTTCGACAACATCAAGTCACTAAAGATGGCAAAGGTGAAAAAAAAACGAATTGAGATCTTGTTTTTTGTTATTATTTACGATCGAGGCCGATTGATTGAAAGAACCATGGTGAGCCGCTTTGTGACCCTCTTGACTTTGTTTGCGTGATTGCTTCAACAGATGGGTATCACACAGAAGACAGAGGCAGTTGGAATGTTCTCTGCAGAAGGTGAATTTGTGGAGTTTGGACATTCTGTTCTGCTGGAAGGACCAGTTGAGGTGTGAACTGAACTTATACTTGTAGCAACTCCGATAATTTCACCTATCACGGGACACTTTGCGCTATTCACAAGGGTGTCACTTTTCAGGGAAACCTTGCTGAAGATGGCCCTGAGCATTTCAGGTCATCGACATAGATACATTCATTCTGGGCATTTTTTTGAAGAAGTTTGTCACAATGGTTTTTTTCATTAATACTGCTAAGGAAAGCTTTTTCAAGGAAAAACTGCCAAAGAGTACTTGTTGACCTGGTATTGAAAGATCCATATTTTCTCTACACACATGCCACTAGAATGGTGTTGAAGCTTTGAGTTGTTAGTGTCCAGCCTTTATCAGCAAGATTAAAAACTGGTAGTCAGTTTTTGTTGACCCGCATAAAGCAACATTTTGAATCATCAGGATGCACTTAGTCTACGTCGCTTCTATTATGGAGTGCAGCATTAAGATGCGGACAAAATCACGGGAGGGTACCCCTTAATCTAGAGGGAACAGCGGTGTATTTTCTTATACATATAAAACTGGCGGGGTTCAAGTCTTTGAATTATTTATTTAATGTTTACTTCGTCCTTTTCAGGCGTGGCTGTGCGACGTGGAACGAAGCATGCGCTGGACTCTAAAGGAACTGCTGAAGCAGTGCAGGCTCGCCTTGAAGAAGAACACCAGTAAGCGTGACAAATGGGTGAAAGAATGGGCAGGGCAGGTAAATAGATCTTGTTGCAAGTACGTTGATTACAGATTTGTTGACGCTTTTATATATTTACATGTAAGAACAGTAAGATCAAAGAGACACAGTGCCTTATTGTGTTCAAGTCTCAGGGAAGGCAGCTTAATCTCATAATTCCTCTCCCTCCCATGAACGTGAAAGAAATGTTTCGAACGTTGATAATGAGGTTCCTTTGAAATTTGTCACAGTTGACCATAACTTCAAGTCAGATGCAATGGACAAGTGATTGCACGAAAGCGTTGGCCAGCACTAAAGAAAGAGGAGACAAGAAAGCTTTGAAGAGTTTGAAAAAGAAGCAGGTGAGAATTTCGTATTGTTATTTCGAGTTCCTTTATTGCGTCTTCCGTGCTTCAAACTGTTTGTTTGTGTTTACTTTTATTCTCCTTTTTTTTTTCTTTGTGATTACTTCGGTTTTTATCACTCAGTCGAAATGCAATGCAATCGAGGAGAATATGCCGCTTTTCCAATGACATCTCCGAAAGATCAGATGTCAAAGTCCTATCGATTAAGGACAACGACAACAATCGTAGGCCTCGGCGTCGTCAGGAAAATACTAGCGACATTTATTCCTCACATTCTTAATCACTTGCATCCCACTTCCCCCCCAACCCCGGATTTATCCGAATCATGACTGACATCAACCTTTTCTCACAGATCTCTATGCTGAACAAATTCTCTGAGATGATTCGCGGCAATTTGACAAAGATCCAGCGGCAGAAGATTGTTGCTCTCGTCACAATTGAGGTTCATGCCAGGGATGTGATTGAGAAGATGATCAAATCAGGGTGTGGTGACGTGACGGCCTTTGAGTGGCTCAGTCAGCTGAGGCTGTATTGGGACAAGGTTTGTAAGAAACTATATGACACCGACTGTTTCATTTCTAACTGATTTTCCTTGTGGTCTTTGTAACTTTGACACAGTCAGAAGCTCTCTATATAACACCAGCTTCTGTCCATCGTTAAAAAAAAAAACCTTTTTCCTGGAGTTCAAGCTCCTTTAATTAAGATGTAATGAATGTATTCAGTTACTCACAAAATGTAGCTATAAATAAAGCCTTTGAAAGGTCCCAAACGCCAGACACAAAGAAATGACGGCAATGATTCATTAACTGGGCGACTATGCAGGCCGTCACTACTTTAAATTTAATATTTCATTTCTGTTTTGTTTTTCGATTTAGGACATTGATGACTGCGTTGTGCGGCAAACGAACACTCAATTTCAATATGGTTATGAATATTTGGGAAATTCTGGACGGCTTGTGATCACACCCCTCACGGACAGGTTAGATTAAAGAAGAACAGAGTATTTGTAGCGCTACAGCGAGAAAGGAACAACGTGAAAGACTTAATTAATCCCTCTTAAAGCCTGTGCTCTAATGATAGAACAATTTTCAAGTGCCCTGTGGTTGCTCTAGAAAAATCGCGCCATCCTCTAAGCCATCCTCTAAGCCAATCAGATTCAGCACGAGAACCAATTGCTACGTAGTAACTCGTGCTTTTCCGAACTTCAGACAGTTAGCTTGTTTTAACTTTGCGTCTTTTAACTCCCCACAGATGTTATATGACTCTGACAACAGCTCTCCATCTTCACCGTGGTGGTAGTCCCAAGGGCCCTGCGGGTACAGGCAAGACCGAGACCGTCAAGGATCTTGGAAAAGCTCTTGGAAATTACGTCATCGTCGTCAATTGTTCAGAGGGTCTGGACTACAAGTCAATGGGGCGCATGTACAGTGGACTGGCTCAGGTACGGTTTTATAAATTGGATAAAGACGCGCTTCTGATATCGAAAAACCTCGTAACTAAGCGACGCTGCGTGAAGTCGAGCCTGCGTTCCAAATGCCTTTGCCATTCATTAACATTTGGTCAAATGAGGCAAACTACTTAACTGTCAGATTTAATTACTTTGTAACCAACTTCACCTTTATATTTCGTATGTAGACTGGAGCATGGGGCTGCTTTGACGAGTTCAACCGCATCAACATTGAAGTATTGTCTGTAGTGGCGCAGCAGATTCTGTCCATTCTGTCTGCTCTGTCGGCTGGTGCTACACGATTTGTGTTTGAGGGACGTGAGATTAACCTGGTCTGGTCGTGTGGAATCTTCATCACTATGAATCCTGGTAAAATAAAATTTCTCCTATAACGCTAGAATCTTCATCCACTATGATATCTCTGTGACTTTCATGCCTTTGCTCGGTACATTCTAACGCCTTTCTTTGGCATTTTCATGGTGATTCGGTCTCCAAAATTTGACTTTTGGGTTTCTGTTTATGGCGAGATTGTGTAGACTCGTTTTTCGGCTACAGAAAGCGAAGAGGAGACGAATGTATTTGTTTTTGCTCATACAGGCTATGCTGGTCGAACTGAGCTTCCAGACAACTTGAAAAGTATGTTCAGACCAATATCAATGGTCGTACCGGATTCAGCCATGATTGCAGAAATTATCCTGTTTGCTGAGGGTTTTAACAACACAAAGGTCAGTTTTATGGCATTGAAGATATTTCTTTTCAAAAAGAACCCTCAATTTAGCTTGTTAATTGCGTTCAGCGTAAATAGGCTCGTTTCTTTTTTCTAGAGTCACTCGCTGAAGATACGCCTGACGCTTCAGCTGACAGTTTCGTGTTCGAACGAAAAAAAGTGATAAAAGAACATAGGATTGCGTTCTGTTTACTTTGCAGAACTATTACGCCTGGCAGATTATCCTGATCTCAAAAATACGTTTTTCCAAGCAATACTCTTTTGGGTCTGCTTTCGTCCGAGAGTTTTTTTCTTTCGATTTATGTTGGGTTATATGAGTTTGGGTGGAAAAATTAGATTCAAGGGAAGATTAAATGAAGATTAAAGTTTATGTAAAACACCGAGTCAAAAATGAAGTTTGTGGTACAAAAGCCACCAATTATATTTTGTCTCGGTCTTGAAAAAAGGATGCAGAGGAAATTTATCAATTTTCCTTTTTAACAGGTGCTTGCTAGGAAGGTTCACACGCTCTATTCCTTGGCGGTACAGCAGCTGTCCAAACAAGATCATTATGACTTTGGTCTGAGGGCTCTGACATCCGTGTTGAGATATGCTGGTAAAAAGAAGAGAGCGAACCCTGACATGTCTGATGAAGAGGTAACTAGATATTCGCTATTCAGAGCACACGTTTTGAAGGTGCTGCAGTGAAGGATATTATTGTAGTTCTTTGTAGAGACTAATATATTCTCCGGCTTTTCGTGGTTGGTAACATGATGGTCAAACATTTGTTTCTTATGTTTTCCTTTGAAATTTTGCTCAGAAAATGGGCGCACGGCCAGTAAAAATTGATCCCGGTGCAAGTTCTTTGCGTTTAACCGCCTCTTCGGGGATGTAGTACGATTGTAACATACCTCTCCGTGACCCACCAGGTTGCCACCACTTCTATACCGTCACCAGTCCCTTTTCATCTGCACCCTTCTCCTGATACACTTATCCCTGCGTTTTTCCATTTTTCCTCTTTGCCAATTCTTTGTTTAGGCGGAATGGCAGCAAAGCAATGAAACCGTAGGTGAAAACTTGTGGAATTGAATTGGAATGAAAATTGAGAAAATCTATGAATTGAAAGTACTTCAGCCGGGCTACGTTGTTCAAAGCACGATTAAGCTAACCGAGGGTTAGCGAACAATTTTTGGCGTAGTTTTGAAGCCTTTCAAAAGGTTTTAATTATTTACATTTTCCCTTCAGTTTCGTCTAACGCTTAGGTAAAACCCCTCTAAACGTAAGCCCTATTATATGCTTTATTTCAAAAGAAATTTAGAACAAGTTAAAATTTTAACCCTGGATTATCGCTTGCGCCTTTTGAACATCCGAGCCCCGTAGATTCTCAAATTAACTTCTGGACTACCTGCCCTTTAGTGACAACCCCGCGGAAAAAATTCATTTTTCACTTATCGCTGTTTTGACTTTCATCAGATTCTCCTTCTGTCCATGAAAGACATGAATGTAGCCAAACTGACGTCACAGGATCTGCCTCTGTTCAATGGAATCGTGTCTGATCTGTTTCCTGGAGTCGAGACGCCCACGATTGACTATGGCAAGGTAACTCGTTGTAAAAGTCTTAAACCCAACCTTTCCTTTTTTTTTTCGTAATAACTTATCATCTACAGGTGACGAAAATTGTTGATAATAACTCGTTGAATTTTCAATTATTACCCAGTTACGCACTGCTATTGAAAAAGATGTCAAAGAGGCAGGCCTCAAACCACACCCGTCAACCATTCTGAAGGTGATTCAGCTATACGAGACAAAGAACTCCAGGTGTGTTGCATGCAGTGTATAGACCACTGTTATCACTACTTGACGTAGCTGGCTTGTTTCCGTGTTAAATTTCTCGTTCGCAATCTCAGGGGTTTCACTAACTTTTAGCTTTTTTGGAACCCCTGAATCTGCATACAGAGTCTACTTCATTTTTACCTTACCTTGCTTTTGTGGACCTATCACCATCTATATGTTAGTTTTCTTTCTTGGCAAACAGGATCATCTTTATAGTTAGTTCAGGGTTTAAATATTCTGACGTTACATTGAAGCTTCTGATCTGTACGATACTGCATTAGTGCTAACGTTACAGAATTTTAAAGAAGTGAATACAAATTTAGGGCCTGCTTTTTCACTGTTAGTTTTTAGTTAGTTAGTTAGTTTTTTTTAGCATGTAACACGGGTTTTTTTCCTCTTTAAGACATTCTACCATGTTAGTCGGCCAGACAGGCTCGGGAAAAAGTGTTTGTTGGAAGATTTTGCAAGCAGCTATGACACGATTGAAGAGAGATGGTGACTCAAACTTTAACATTGTCAGGGTTAGTTAACCTTATTTATCGTTGTGTACAGTGGAGTCACGACATATAAAGGGTATAAAATGGCCACGCGTGGATATCTTCGAGTGTGGATGATATGTCTCATTATTATTTACTAAAACAGTGCATCGAAAGGTTATACTTTATGGTAGAATGCCTTTCAATAGTTATCTCTTTTTTTCGTTTTCATTTAAACTTACATATTTTTTAATTTTTCAGGAATTTCCCATTAACCCCAAAGCCTTGTCCCTTGGTGAACTTTACGGAGAGTTTGATCTCAACACTAACGAGTGGACCGACGGAGTGCTCTCCAGTGTGATGAGACTCACGTGCTCAGGTAAGTATTGGCTGTCACCTCCCAATTGTTTCACACGAACAACGAAGCTTTCTTTTCTTTAATGTATTTTCTCTCAGTGTTTCTCTTCTACCATCGTAAATCGCTGTCGTGCAAAATAAGCGAAAGAGAATTGATTCCTTCGTAGAAATCTGCAAAAGGAATCAAAACTAGGGAAAAGGAAAACTGTAGACTTTTCGAACACAAATCTTATTCAAGTACGGGTATCCTGTTGATTTATCATTCTGTTTTGAGCTTTAACATAGAAGTTGTGCGCTTCCAAAACACCGTTAGTTACTGGCTTGTGCAGTTGTTTGTAACTCGTGCGCGACAACTTGATTGTGAAAGCCTGAAAACACGTCACCTAGTTATTACAACGTTTACCCATGCGCAGACGTTTGACTGCTGTGATCAATCCATGTGGGCTTTTTTCTTTTGAATTTTCTGACGTCATATGCGCGAGTGTGAATCGTTTGATTATGACGCAAGCCAACACTCATCGGTTATTGGAAACAATTTGACGCATGCAAAATGTCGAAGATAGGAAACTTGTTCTACAAGATAGCTTATTCAAGAGCAAGGAAACTTAAAACATAATTTAGAAATGCGCTAAAAACGTAGAGCAGGGCAAACGAATTTTACTTTTATTTCTATCGGAACAGGGAAAAAAAGTATCACCTCCTAGGAACCCATTTTTTTCTTAAGTGATCTTTAAATCTTCGTTGCATAAGTTCAAATACATAAAAAGGGACACTCGCAAAAGAGTCGTAATAAGCCAAGAAAGAATAAGAATGGTTTTGAATTCTCTTCTCGCATTTTGTGTTTTCAGATGAGAGGCCAGATGAAAAGTGGATTCTGTTCGACGCTCCCGTGGATACGTTGTGGATTGAGTCCATGAATTCTGTTATGGACGACAACAAAGTGCTTACTCTTATTAATGGTGAACGTATAGCCATGCCTGATCAGGTTAGATGCCTTGCCAACTCGAGTAGGTCTTTCTGTGTGTGCACTCTGGAAAGCTTAGAGTAATTTTCAGCGGAGAGTCGAGAGAAGTCTAGGATTGCATTAGTTTTACTTCCCCTCGCCTCTGTGTAATGGGTCCTGAAAACTTGCGCCACTCCTTTAACTAATCAGATGCTAAACCAAAAATAGTCGTATTTATTGTGAGTTTTTAATTATTCTTACCAACATATTTCTCAGCTATCGTTAGCCGTTGTGATTACTTGACACCGCACTTTCTTCAGCCAATCTAATGCAGAGCTGAAACCCTTCGCAAATCAATCTGCACGCTTTTCGTAGCCCTTGATGACAACCATGAATATTTTATAAAGTGTATTGGACGTTAATAGTCTTTACATAGGAAAACTCAATAAAAACTGCTAAACATGGGAAGACCTTTGTATAATTGTGGCAGATTATACATGTCAAGGGATTTTGATTTTTCATCGATGGCTTGGTTTTTTTTCTTTCAGGTTTCCTTACTATTCGAGGTGGAAGACCTTGCTGTAGCATCTCCTGCCACAGTCAGTCGATGTGGTATGGTATTTTCCGATTACAAAGATCTTGGATGGCAGCCCTACGTTGACTGCTGGCTGGACAAGAGAACGGATAAGGTACATACTTTGTGTAGAGGGAGACTTTATTAATCTATCGTTTGTCCTCGACATCTCAAACATAAAACCAGTGGTTCCATAAGCGAAATACCAACGAAAATTGTAGGCTCGACTAAGACTAATTTGTAGTTATCTTCAGTTACTTATTCGCAAGAAACTATTTTAATTTTTATTTTTAACAGCAATCCGTGGAGCACCTTCAGAGGTTGTTTGAGAAGTTTGTTCCTAAAGTGTTGGATTTTCGAAGACACCACTGCAAGGAACTCGTTCCCACCTCCGAATTAAACTCTGTTGCGTCATTGTGTGTTTTGTTTGACGCACTAGCCACGGAGGAGAACGGGGTTAGTATTCATAGTTCATACCAGCTCAGAGACGGAGTCAGATTATTATGATGTCAGTTGGAAATTGTAACTTTTACTATTAACGAACAAATTTATAATTAACAAACGGGAAGCTGACCCTTTTCTCACCAACATTGGTACATAAGCTTATCACTAGCACACTTGACTACTGTCATGACCTATTGTATAGTTCAGCGAAGTATCCACTGTACAAAGTGCAACCTGTCCCGAATGCTAGTGCCCGCCGAGTTTACTGTCTCTCGAAATCATGTCACATCATACCTTTGCTTTGCGAGTTGCAATGGCTACTTGTTTACAATCGCATAAGATATAAAATAATCCTCATATTTAAAATATTGCATGGCATGGTGCCTGAGTATTTGAGTAATTCAATATTCATATCACCTCAGATAATCAAAGACGCAAGTTTTAGCAATTTTCAATTGGGTGTCGGAAGTTGTGTTGTTTTGCTTCACTTTGCTCAGTGATTGATGGCGGGACTTGAAACTCGCGAAACTTTAATTTACATGCTCATGCTTTTTCTTTTTTCCTTATTTTTAGGTTCATCCACATGAAGACAGCTACCCTCGCATGATCGAGCTGTGGTTCTTGTTCTCATTGATTTGGTCTATTTGCGCGTCTGTAGACGAAGACAGCAGAAAGAAAATGGACAATTTCCTTCGAGAAATCGAAGGTCAATTTCCCGCAAAGGTATGTAGTTTGAACAGGATGGAGAACTTATTTATTCAACAAAAATTATTGGGGGGAGGGGGAGAGGAAAGATTAAAAGGAAAACGATAAATTGTGGTCCGTATTGTCGTAAAAGACTTCGCAAATTTCAGAACATGAAAAAGAAAATTCCTCTTTTCTTTAGACTTTGACGATAAAATGTTAGGAAAGGAAGAAGGAAGACATCGTTGCATGGAAATTGTATATGTTTGATGATTGGCACACTTGGCACCAATGCACCAAGTTTATATATTGGCAAATATTGCATCCTTGCTCATAACAAACCTCCTTGTGGAAGACTGAATGACTGTAATGCACTCTGTTTTTTTTATAGGATACAGTGTATGAGTATCATGTGGATACGAAACAGAAGGCTTGGGCTCTGTGGGAGGACAAACTCAGGACAGGTTGGCGATACACGCCCAAGTATGTGGAAAAGTCATTTGTATTGTTTTCCATAATTTTTTTAAGGAAATAAATTTTATTTAACCTGCGGGTGAAAATTGTGTAAAGCAACGATCCTTGTATATACTTGGAACCCACGTCTCCCAAATACTAGGCGGGCGCTACTAACAACTGAGTTACGAAGCCACACTTTGGGACTGGGGCATATTTTAGAGGGTTCTTCTTTCTCGTGGAGGAATCTGATCATAAATTTTGATGAAATCAATTTCATTCATTTACTATTGCTATGTAACGCATTACTCTGCTTACATAAAGCTGTTGTTCAGTTAGGAGATACCCACTACTCCGTTTGAGAGTGACGGTTCATCACAGATATTAGATGATGTTTGGTTCCTTTGAGTAAAATTAGTGTAACTGCCTACCACGAGTCTCCCATAGCTAAGCGATTGGAGCCTCCGAAGTACTTAGCAAAAGATCGTAGGTTGGACTCCTATTGGGAGCACCTCGGGGTTCTTTTTCTCCGAGTATGTCTGTTTCATTCACTGAACAACATCTTGCAGCTGGAAACCTGTTGGTTCAAAAATCTGCTCTACCTTTAATACTAAAGTTTGAAAAGAAACCATTCTGCCATTATTTTGAACTTTATTCATTTTTTTTATGTATTTTCCTAGCATGCCATTTTATAAGATCATGGTCCCGACAGTTGACACAGTGCGGTACGACTTTTTGGTGTACAGTTTACTGCAGGCTAAGCGGCCTGTCCTTCTAACGGGACCCGTAGGAACTGGAAAGACTTCATTAGCACAGAAAGTGTTGCAGAGACTGGATCCCAAGACCTACAGTCTTTTGGTTATAAATATGTCTGCACAGGTACAGTGTACGATGAAGTTGAAAGTTAAGTTTCAGGATTAATAATATGCATGCAAAAATTACGCGCGTCTGATTGGCTGGAAACGAGTGAAATTTTCATGTAACACGGGTGCAAAGTTGTGACACGGTGCAAATTACAAATAGCTCTCGCCTTACGGGCTCGTGTAATTTTGTTGCCTTTAAAAAATTTACTTGTGCTTATTAACACCAAATTGCACTCGAAATCATATTGTTACCAATACTTAGTTTTACCGTGTTTTCATTTGAATTCTCTTGTTATTTGGGTATCTTGGAGATCATACAGTGACCAGTACAGTGCGGCTTTTTCCGTGGAGGTGTTGTTTTCATTGACTGTATTCTTTTCCTTAGACTTCCTCGAACAACGTTCAAGAGATCATCGAGAGCAAAGTTGAGAAAAGAACAAAAGGTATGTCATATTTTTTATCAAACAAATTCTCCCAACTCTTCCTTATGTTTAATGGGGTGCATGCCAGGAGAATTTCATATTTAGTAATTCTAATTTGAAAAAGCAGCGTTTCCTGTGTGCTTAAAATGGGAGGGGGGTTTTTTAAATTGACGCTTTGAGCTTGGCGGGGTTGGGGTCAGGGTTATTTTTGGTTACAAGACAATAATTAACAGATTGCTTGTTGTTCAGGCATTAATTTTGTTTTAATTGCTGACTCATCTCTTTGTTCATTTTTCTCTGAGACTTTTTTTTTTCTCTGAGATTTTTTTTCGATTTTCGAATCATTGTATGTTATTGTGTGTTTATCAAGGTGTCTACGTGCCTGTTGGTGGCAAACAGCTGATCAACTTCATGGATGACTTCAACATGCCTGCTAAAGACACATTTGGTTCGCAGCCACCCCTTGAGCTTATCAGGCTGTGGTTAGATTATGGCTTTTGGTATGATCGACTTAAGCAGACCGTGAAGTACATAAAGGTAAGTGTAATAATTGCACTCTCTACTTAGAAATGTAATACTCCGTTGCATGAATGACAGACTAGGCCAAGATACAAAAACACGTTTGTTTCACTGTAGCTGTGTCTTTTTCGATTTTCCTCTTTGGTTGTGATTCGAAATTGCAGACCCGAACCACACTGTGTTTCGTTTTCACTCTAAAGGATTGAAACAATGTTTTGATTGAGTGTCGAAAGTCCAGTCCAGTATTTCATTGTTGTTGCTTTTCCCCACTGTGTGATTGGTCTATAAAACTTGCATCGTTTACATCCGTCCTCTCCCCTGTTTAATAGGGCATGCATTTGTTGGCTTCCATGGTCTATAAAACTTGCACCACTTATAATATTCGTGCCACCTTCCAAACGAATCATTGTATTGTTTTTTCTTTTCCCCGCTTTTATATTGGTCTAGAAATTTTGTGCCATCCTCCTAGCCAATTGTTGAATTGTTGTTGCTTTTCCACGCTGTGAGCTCTTTTACTTAGACTTAATCGACGGAACCTTGTGATATCTTCATTGGTTCAGACTGGCTTTTATGTATACTTTGGTGTTGACACTTTATGTATACTTTGGTGTTGACACTCAATTGAGATGCGCTCAATAGAAAGATTTACTTGTAAACCATTGTAGCTCGTTTACATCCGTCCTCTCACTGTTATTTAACAGGGTATGCATTTGTTGGCTTCCATGGGTCCTCCGGGCGGTGGCAGGATGGTGATCTCCAAGAGACTGCAGAGCAGGTTTAACCTGATCAACATGACTTTCCCTCAGGTAGATAAATATGCGTTATTGACCAACCGTGAGGTCAAGATGGCTGGGAACTGGCCGAGTTCTGTTTTTCGCGAGACGAAGTCGAGGTCCATGAAGTCGCAAATGAAGAACGAAGTTAATATACAGCCATCTTGACCAAACAGGCCCGGTCAATAAAGGATTTATTACAACGCATAAAGATTTCGCTTCAACAAGAATCTTGAATGACATGTTTATTTTCGAGCGCTTGCAAAGAAAGCCAACTTTGATGGCGTGTGCTTGTTTATGTTTTCTTTGTTTTGACTGTCTTCTGACACTTCTTGTGATTCCATTTCCAGCATTGTCCAGAAATTACGAACTTTGAAAGTCCGCTCCATGCATCTTTCCCACAGGCGCTACCAGCTATATGATAATAGGAAATATCTCACCATAGCGGGTTTTTGCGCCCATCAATTGTATGCCACCTTCTAAAGTAGCTTAAATTAGGGTTTAATGAGAAAACTATGAACCTGGTAGTCGTTCCCGGCGCTCTGCGCAGGATCTATGGAAATAGCCTGTTGTGTTCTTAAACAGGAATAGATTTGCTCACCTGTCAGTACTCCGCTGTATCAGGCATGGCTGCAAGATTTGTGTAGGAGTTATTATCTTAACAGTTCAGTTTGTCACTTATTACTCGCTGTTTTCAGGAAAGTCAAATCAAGCGTATTTTTGGCACCATGATCAACCAGAAGCTGCAGGACTTTGAAGAAGACGTCAAGGCTCTTGGTGATCTCATGACCCAGGTGATTGACTTCGCCCATAATTATACTGGGTTGGCGCTTGGTTATTTATGATTCCACAAAAATTGGAGAATTACTGAGATTGTTTACATTTTTGTGTTTCTTTTTAGGCAACCATTGATATCTACAACGCCATCGTTGCCAGAATGCTTCCGACCCCTACCAAGATACATTACCTTTTTAACCTAAGAGACATTTCAAGGGTATTTACTAATTATTGTTAAAGTATCTGAAATCTAGAAAGTACTGTCTCAACTCAGCGGTGAAGCAAACGTCGGGCATGCACAAGGGTATAATTTTGGCTGCCCGCGCGCCAATTTCCCGAGCAAAATTATAAATGATTATAAACACCGTGAGTACTGGTTTGTAAGGTTGTTTGTAACTCGTGTGAGACAACTTGGTTGTGAAAGCCTGAAAGCACGCCACCTAGTTATTGCACATGCGCAACGTTTGACCGCTGTGTTAAATCCACGTGGGCTTTTCTCTTTTGAATATTCTGACGTCATAAGCGCGAGCGCTAATCGTTTTATTATGACGCAAGCCAAAACCTTGGAATATTAGAGATGGCTTAACGCATGCAATAGGAAACTTATTCAACAAGAAAGCTTATACAAGAACAGGGAAACTTTGAACATAATTTAGAAATGCTCCAAAAACGTTGACATTTGACCGCGTTTTTCTCGTCTCAAGCTCATGTTTCTTTTGAACTTTGTTTTCGTTTCCTTATCTTGCATACGTACGTGATATTTTCTCTTTCTTTACTAAAGGTATTTCAAGGCTTACTCCGCGCTAACAAAGACTTCCATGACACTAAGACAGCAATGTCCAGACTCTGGGTTCATGAGTGCTTCAGGTGAAAAAATGTTTGGTTCTGATAATCATAAAATGATTGAGAAAGGGGTGACTTGTGCAAGTTTTTACGTGCTTTCACTCATGAAGATCTGGGTCAGTTAAAACACTCTCCATTACATAGTTCATGGTACTTTGCCACTTTGGTGAGTCGTTTTGCGTCAACTTTACAAGTTTCGAGTAGACAGAATTCAAAATATTTTGTGTTGTTTATAACATTTCAAGACGTGTGTCGCAAAATGTTCAAAATACATTGTCTAAGATGTTTTTAGTTTGAGAGGAGGGCTGTCTTGTTCTCCTTTGTCTTCAGTTGATCCACATAGTAAATCAGTGGAGCAAAAACAGCATCCTCGATAAACGTGCATTCGGAGTATGTTTTCGTTATCTTATGTGATTATTTTTTTTTTCAGAGTATTCTCTGATCGTCTTGTTGATGCAGGGGACCACGAAGCCTTTGTGGCACTTTTAAGTGATAAGCTTGGAACGATGTTCGACCTGACTTTCCACAACCTCTGCCCTAACAAACAACCGCCAATTTTCGGTAAGTCACTTTCCTTAACGAGAGGATTTTTGACAGAATTCTTTACGACCATAGGAACATCACACTCTGTTGTCGAAACACAAAAAGTATTTGTTGTAAGACAATTTTTAGTTGAAATCGAAAGGCGTCAAAGGTTTCATTGTTTTTGTTTCTTGTGATAAATCCACAAAACTAGCACCATAATGTAAATTGAGAAAACCCTGCGAATATTTTTTTAGAGTAGTTTTCATTACTCGTGTCGAGAAAGGCAGCCAGTTTCCACTAGAATTTTAAAGCAAAATTTCATATCGTGCTTTTGAAAGTGTTTCGACAAACGTAGTAGCAACTTTCGTTCTGTTTGGAATTAAATTTTCTTTATCACGTTAAACACTTCGGTAACATTGACAAAATGCGAGGCAGCCACTTTTGAAATTCGAGGCCTTTCTCTGCTCACCCAGTGCGAGGTAATTATTGCAAAATATGACGCAATCCTCGACCAATCAGAGCTGGAGAATCTCTACGAGTATACTGAAACGACTTAGCCACTCACGTAGTTCCGCGCACCACCCAGTTTTCATATTTTTTAGCTATCATTGGCTGATCATATAGGCTTGAGCTTTTAGACCAGACAGCGTAGCAAAGTGTAACCAACGCGATTCTTTATTGATGATGCGATTTGATTAAAACCTGCCTCTTTAGAAAGTTCTTATGCTCGTCTGAGACATTGTGTGGATGTAGCGGTCTTTTGCAATGATGCTTACACTGAGTGCACTCTACAGGTGACTTCATGAAGGATGGCGCTGTGTATGAAGACATGATGGACTTCAAGGCGCTCAAGAAATACATGGAAGATCAGCTGGAGGATTACAACATGGAACCAGGGGTGATTTCCATGGATCTTGTGCTCTTCAGGGACGCTATTGAACATGGTAAGAAGTTGTGGTGGTATATCTGTATCAGTGTCAGTATCTGAGAAACTGTGCACCAACCCCTCCCCTAACCTAGCATGAACCGTAACTTGTTATCAGTTGACTGTTATTGGGTTAAGGGAGGGGAAGGTACACCATCAGTTGATTGTTATTGGGTTAGGAGATGGGAAGGTACGCTATCAGTTGACTGTTATTGGGTTAAGGGAGGGGAAGGTACGCTATCAGTTGACTGTTATTGGGTTAGGGGAGGGGAAGGTACGCCATCAGTTGACTGTTATTGGGTTAGGGGAGGGGAAGGTACGCCATCAGTTGACTGTTATTGGGTTAGGGGAGGGGAAGGTACGCTATCAGTCGATTTTTATTGGGTTAGGGGAGGGGAGGGGAAGGTACGCTATCAGTTGCTCAGATACTGGCATTGATCCGCGCAACTATGTGGCTTCTTCATTGCTAAGACAGGTGACATGATAAACCTAATATCTGAGAAAAAAAGTGAAAGAAGTAAAACGGAATGGCCGTTTTTGCGGATTGTTCGTGTTCTTGGGTCATACTATTAGCTCTCACATTGCCTCTAAGCAATCAGGCCTAGGTTGTTTAAAGGGTGGATATCGCCATCCATTGGATGCCAAGGAGGAGGGCTTGTTATGGACTCCCATTCAGGGGGAGTTACAATACTTTTAGTCTGACGAAATGCTGGGGGGGCATACTTTGAACTAGCATCACGTCCAGGGGGAGTAGCAAGACTTTAAGTCTGACGAAATACCGGGGGCTTGCTATGAACTAAAATCCCATTCTGGAGGAGTAGCGATACTTTTCGCGTGACGAAATGCCGGGGAGCATGCTATGGACTTAATTGAAATACAAGGGGATTAGCAAGACTCTAAGCCTGACGAAATACCGGGGAAGGGGGCATACTATGAACTAACATCCCATTCAGGAGGAGTCGCACCACTCTTAGTATGACAAAATACGGGGGAGGGGGGGGGGCATGCTGTGGACTTAGCTTCCCATCCACGGGGAGTAGCGAAACTCTCAGTCGTTTCTTGTACAGAAACCTGTATGGGCCCCGGGATCTACGCAAGTCAATATTAAATGCCGACTTTACTTCAATGATCGATTTGAGAAACATACTCATTTCTTTCGGCACAGTGACCCGCATAATCCGTGTTATTGCCCAGCCTCGTGGCAACATGCTGCTGATTGGAATTGGAGGCAGCGGGCGGCAGAGTCTCAGTCGTCTGTCGGCCTACATCATCGGCTTCAAGGTGTTCCAGATAGAAGTCACTAAGCACTACAGGAAGATCGAGTTCAGGGAGGGTGAGTAACATTGCAGTGATAGCGGAATTCTGAATGTAGTTTCTAAAGGAATCTTCGATTGCTTTGGGCTTGGCATTGTGATTAATTTTGGATCTCTTGCTGGCCAGCCACACATCCAACTAGGAGCAAACGTAAAACCAGAAATGGTCTATCCCTCGCTCATTCCCAGTTGTAGATTTGTTCGATAAATTGAGTTAGTTCCCTTTGTTCAAATCGGTCGTTGCTTTGGTTTGGGTTTTATGAGACTTCATAGAGAACTGCTCTAACTAGATGTCTTGATACCTCAGATTTAAAGCGCTTGTATTACCTCACTGGTGTGGACAACAAACCTACAGTATTCTTGTTCAACGACACCCAAGCGCTGGAAGAATCTTTCCTTGAAGACATCAGTAACATCCTCAGCAGCGGAGAAGTACCAAATCTGTACAAACCTGAGGAGTTTGAGGAGGTAAGCCTGACTCGTGTTCATTTGTTTTCACGTCAATGGAAGACCCCTTTGTGTTTCATATGAATGGCTTGTTTGGTCGCTTTTTGATTTGATTTGTGGTCCTTAAGCTGTTTTATAATGAGCTACAGTTATGACACATTAGAAGCTTGATTGCGGTCAGTTGTGGAGCGACTGTAGACGGAACATAGCGGTCAAACCTCTGCGCATTTGCGAACGTTGTAATTGCAAGGTAACGCGCTTTCAGGCTGTAAGAACCAAGTTATCTCCCTCGAGTAACAAACATTCGGACACGCCAGCAAGTCACGAAGAAGAAGAAGAGTGTAAAATTGTTGGTAAAGTTCAAAACTGGTAAATCAACAGGATATCAGTTAGTGAATAAGCTTTATGTTCGAAAAGTCTGGAGTTTTCCTTCCCTCTTCGTTTATTTCCTTTTACAGCTCTTTATAAATGCTTCAATTTTCTTTCTTTTATTTTTTCTGTTGTGTTTGTGTAAAGTATTATGTTGGGATTCCCTATGCTAAGATTATTGTTTTCGTTTTCCGGCTTCTTTGTCGTCGTGGAAGTCCGGTATGTTCGTCAGAGGCAAACAGAGCCGCTGATACCCTCATGTCCTTGACGGTATGCACTTACGGCTCATTTAGAGATAACATTCAAGGTTAAGAAGACAGAAACAGAACGCTTTAAATATTGATAACTATAACAACGTCAAATTCTAGAACCTATCAACAAAAACCTCTCTCTTAAAGTGAAGTTAACCATAATCCCTGATTTAAACTGCACCACACTAACTAACAGTGACAATGTTATGATGTCTCTACAGGTTCGCACTGCTTTAGCAGAAGATGCTCGTAAAGAAGGCATTCTCGACATGCCAGAGACAATGTTTAATTACTTTATTGAGAGAGTCAGGAGTAACCTACACATCATTCTGTGCATGAGTCCAGTGGGTGATATCTTCAGGTAGGCTGGTGTAAATCACGTGGTTTTTTCTGTGTAATTTTGTTGTATTTGATCAGAGCTTAGTAATAATTTGTGCATCTTGAAAAATGAGCTAAGATTTTGGTTGAACCCCATTTGATCTTCTCCATCCTCTGCTTTCCTTTTCATTTTTTGTTTTTCTATCCAACTGAACTTGTACATGCATTACGACGAAGCTCCCTCTATAATGCGTCTTTTCCGGTTGGTACATCTTCTCCACTTTTTGCGCGCTTGCCGCTCACTTTCCGCCCATTTTCTGCACATTATCTGGGTATTATTCTCCTCTGTTTTTTTTTTCTTTCCTCTTTTCATTATTTTACCTCCGAAGTGGTCGTCTACTTAATTTTAATGAATTTTTTTACTTGATTTTTTTGGAGGAAATTTTGGATGTCAAATCAAAGGATTTAAAAAGCCGTGACATGCTTTCTTTCAACCCCCGCTTTTTTTCCTCGTGAGTGCAGTTGTAAGGCTTCCGCATGGAGAAAAGAAATAATCATTTACACGCAAATCTTCCCATTTTTAAATCCCTACTTACCAGATTTTGTTACCCCAAAAATCCCGAAAACTTGCCGACATAATCAATCCAGTCGTGAAAGTGCGACTTCATCCAGTGGTACTTCCCCATCAGCCTATTACTAGGAAGTACTCCCCCTTCAGGCTTATATTCTGAATTTTCAGGAACCGTATTCGGATGTACCCAGCTTTTGTAAACTGTACCACGATCGACTGGTTCAGCGAGTGGCCTCACGACGCTCTTTTGGAGGTGGCTGAGAAGTATTTAGAAAGTATGGACCTGAGCGACGACGAGGTACCTGAAAATGCACCATGCTTAGACTTGCAGTAGCTTAAACATAGCACAAAACGATCAGTTTAAATTTAACTCGAGCTATGTGTTCAAAGTCTTCTTGTACATCTGGAAGAATGAGGATGTATTTTCTGTATTACGATCTATGGAACAAAGGGGACACTAAGATGCTTATATCTGGGTAGAGCATGCGTAAATGCAACTGTACCGTAGAAAGGGCCCCTTGAAATTGCGGACCATGTTAAATTTTTGTTGAAGAAATGTAATGTAGATCCGCTATTTTGTTCGGTTGTCGCCTGAACATTCTTCTAACCTTCACTTTCTTTACTCCATTCAATCACTGAGTTTCATGTTTGTCTTCCTCTTTTTGTGGGTGGAAGGGATACTGAAATACTGAGCAAATCGTTTAACAAATTAAAAGGAATATCGCTGAATATGTACCGCATTTTGGGGTATTGTTCAGATCCTATTTGTTGGACGTCCCACTTGTTTGTCTCAGAAAATTGATGGAAAAGAAATTGAAAATGATTACAATGGCGTAATCGTTGGGTACACCTCTATTAGGAGCCATCTTCGTTCAAGAAAAACAGACTTAAAGTCCAAACGAAATAGCTGGATCAATGTTAGTATCTGAGAAACTGCTCACCTACCCCTCCCCTAACCTAACAAAACCTTCCCCTCCCCTAACCCAACAAGAGTCAACTGATAATAAATTGGGGTTAATGTTATGTTAGGGGAGGGCTAGGTTTGTATTATTGTATTCATCTAAGGGTCACCTTTTCCATGGGACACCTTTTATAGTCTCGAAGGAGTCCTCTTGAATAAATATTAGTACGGCTCCATGAATATCTCTTCCTTTTTCATGATTTAGACTAAAGGGAACGTGGCGCAGATATTTGTCACAGTCCATAGATCAGTTGTGGAGACCAGTAAACGGATGTTGATTGAAGTGAAACGTCATAACTACGTCACACCTACCAATTACTTGGAGCTTGTGTCTGGATATAAAACGTAAGAAGTTGCAGGATGCGACTTATGATCTCCCACGCATGTTTAACTTGTAGCTTCAATATATATGTAGATGTATCTTATCAGACGTTTTGCTGTGTGTAATATCGCTGAGTATTTTTACGAGTTGTGTCGTATTTTGAGGAGGCTGTTTGAATAGGTCGAATCTGTATTTAGAGGCACCGTATCAAGCGGTCACCTTGTATTAATCGGTTAGTGGTCAAAGTCCTGAATTTGTTTTCCCTTGATCACCGTTATATTCACCTCTATGAAGCGGTCACATCTATAAAGCGGTCGCGGTCACCCTTTACTAAGTCCCAACAGCCTGTTTTTATTGTTTTCCACCTGTAACGAACGGTCGCTGAAAGAATAATCATTCAAATGATTTTTAGTCCTTGTTTGTCTCCCAAAATCAAAGCAAGTAGTATTTTTGAGCGAGGTTCTTTACGTTTAGTGGTCAATTACGGCATTGTATATCGTTTTTTGTGACACCCCTAATCTTTGGAACCTGTACACTATTCACCGTGGGTGACCGCTTAAAACAGGTTCGACTGTACAAACAACGAGTAAAATCCTGTCCCAACTATCCTGTTACACCATCCCACCAGCCCTTCACGAGACTGCAGTTTTTAAATGGCTGTACACTTTTGGTGTTTGTTTTCACGTCCAGGTTGCTTTATGAGAAGAGAAAAGAACTTGGTGACGCAGCCAGTAAGCTGAGAAATGGTTTGGACAAAATTGACGATACCAGAGCCAAGGTGCACGATTTGTCGCTTTGAGCGACTAACTTTTAGGAAGATTTTTGTAGAATATTTTTTATAATGACTTGAACATGGTTCCTCTTCTAAACTGTCATTTGCCTTGTGCTACAATCATTCTTCTTGTCACTCTTCTTGAGGAGTACAAAGGGAAGAAATGCGTAACATTCGGTAAATAGCAAAACGAATGTTGAGACGATGAAAGGCGCTTGGTTCTTTGCAGCGAAGATCGTGTATGACTAATAAAGAGGGTATCATCATAGCATCTTTCTGGCGTTTAGTTGTAAGGAAGATTAGCGGAATAAAAAAGAAAAAGATAGTCATCGTCTAGAAATTTAAGCGAGATGTTTCTTTCCCCCAGGTGGAGTCCATGTCGATCGAGCTGGAGGAAGCCAAGACTAAAGTTGCTCAGTTTCAGAAACAGTGCGAGGAATACCTTGTGGTGATTGTTCAGCAGAAGAGAGATGCTGATGAACAGCAGAAGGTATCGTCTGTTCCTGGCATTCTTATCAAAATAATCGTAAATCTTGGCCGTTTAGCCTTATCGGATTAGAATGCTCCTGCCAAGGGTTGTTGTTGGTAACGTGGACTGAAGCTTTGTCTATCCGAGTGGAATTCCTTGTTTTTGAAACGACACTTTCACCCACAGCAGTTCTTTTCAGGACTACTCTCCCTGGCACGATCATGCTACACGATCACAATTACCTTTGGGTAACAACGACGTACTCTAATCGTATATATCGCTGCCTGCTTTAGGGAAGTAAGTAGGATGTTCCAGTAAATGGTTCCTGCAATAGATTCTATCTAGCGTTTGAGAGCAGGCCAGCTGTCGCTTGTTGAATAAGAATTTGATATTTTTATTTGACAAAGATGGGGTCACATGCACCCATTGCCCCTCTCTGCCCAACCCTTTAGTACAGTTGTTACACAAACGAAAACAAGTGTGGTTTTCACCTTTTTGTTAATATCGCCATCCATTTTCGAGAAGTCGAATTCGTTTTTCTAAAAGTGACATACCTTCAAAATCAGTTTTCAATTGGTTGTTAGCAGTAAGAACGATCTCTAGTCCAGCACCTGTATACATTTTTCTTAAGTGAATGGTTAGATAAACTGGTTTGATTTGATTTTTGAAAAAATGTTCACTTTCTTTAATTACAGATCGTGCAAGCCAGAAGCGAGAAGATCGCAGAGGAGGAAGACAAATGCCGAGTAATGGCAGAAAATGCCCAGCACGACTTGGACGAAGCTCTGCCAGCCCTCGCCGAGGCCACTAAGGCCTTAGAATCACTGAACAAGAAGGACATGACGGAAATCAAATCATACGGCCGCCCACCTGCCTTGGTGGAGAAAGTGATGGAGGCTGTCATGATCCTGAGGGGAGGCGAGCCTACCTGGGCTGAAGCCAAGAGACAGCTTGGTGGGTGCTGCTTCCTTTTTCTCTTCTTTCATCTTCCTCGGCTCCCTGACAAGTTAAGGGCGCTTACAGTTAGTTAGAAGTGATTGGCAAGTCCAGTCCAGTTATAAATAGAATTCATTCATTAACAAGAACCGTTCTCCCTTCCACTATTTTGACGAAGTGTTTGTAATGGATTAAAGAACATTGAAGAGAAAGTGTTAGTAGAAATTAGATGCAAGTCACTCTAGCTCACCTCCTGAAAACGACTCCTCAAAAAATAACTAAAGAAATTTTTTCAAAACTCAAATCTTTACAGGTGACCAGAACTTCATCAAACAATTGGTCAACTACGACAAGGACAATATGACAGACCGAATCCTGAAAAAAATCGGCACGTATTGCGCTCAACCAGATTTTCAACCAGAGATCATTGGACGCGTGTCGCTGGCAGCTAAGTCACTCTGTATGTGGGTAAGAGCCATGGAGGTGTATGGACGAATCTACAGAGTGGTGGAGCCTAAAAAACAGAGGCTGGCGCAGGCAACATCTCAGCTGCAAGAGAAACAGGCTGTGTTAGCTGATGCCAAGGCCAAGCTGAAAGAGGTAGGTCAGAAATGTTTAAAACTGCAAGGATACAATTTTGGCGGTTGTCGTGGAACACACTCGACCATTTGAATCTGTAATCAGCGATTAACTGCTGTACCCCTTAAATGGGAGATGGTTGACGGGGGTATGTTCGGGCCCTCAGATAGACTCCCACCCTCGCCCCTCTATCATAGCTTGCAAACTTTCCGCAACCCACATTAATTGCTACCAGTCGCTCAGGACTGAAAGACAAAGGATTCAAAAACTTCTGTCGAATGCTAAGATCCCACGCTATTTCCTGCTTAGGTGGCAAGTACTCAACAGTGATTAATTCAGCAGTTTAAAAAGTCACGGCTAAGTTTGTTGCACTGTCGAATAAATCAAAATTAGTCGTAAAATTGTGTTTGAAAAGTACATTTAATGTTCAAAAGGACGCTACCCTATTTATAATACTTCAAATTATCTATCTCACAACTAAATGTCAGCAATCTCTTGGTACCGCACGGCTTGTTGCTTCTATTACGGCAGTCGCTTAAAATATTTTTTGACCTTTAAGATACTAAGATCAAACTCGTATTTCTTCCCTCGTTTATGTAGACGTTTTCTCGAGAATTTGGCGTTTTTTAAATGTACCACCCTATTATAAGTTAGGCTATTCTCACGTTGATCACTTTTGTACAGGTTACGGATCGGATGGAAGAGCTTAAGAGACAATATGACGAGAAATCCGCCCAGAAGGAGGAACTGAGGAAGAAAGCAGAGATCACTGAGTTGAAACTTGAACGTGCTGGTAAACTGGTGTCAGGTCTGGCTGGAGAGAGGGATCGTTGGGAAGCTAGTGTCAAGGTATGAAATGACTGCTTTGGAGCAAAAGCTGATAGGGTTATTTTCAACTGACTGTCGAAAGTAATCCAAAGTTGCTTTGGTTTGGATTTGCTTTGCTCTGTGATTGCTCCAGATACCTTTTTATAAATTTATTCCATACTCCAAAGAGTGGGGGCAGAGTGGTAAGGGCGCTGGTCTTGTTGTCTTTCGGTCCCGGGTTCTAACCCTTCTCCCAGCGTCTCACTGGATTTTTTTTTCCCTTGGCTGCTCTTTGTATATAGCCAACTGGTCTTCCTTCTGCCAGTTGGGGTTCTTAAACACTGTGTTTATGTTTATTTGCTATGTTTACTTCTCTTTCTGTTTAAATTAATTTCTAAATTTGTAAACGCATTGAGACTTGAAAAGTGCGTTCAAAGAACTGTTATTATTGTCATTATTAACTGTCATATTCCTTTCACACAGATTTTGGAGGAAAATATTGGTTATCTGGTAGGAGACTGTTTGATTGCTGCAGCCTTCTTGTCTTACGCTGGACCATTCCTGTCCAACTACAGAGACGAGCTTGTAGAGAAAACTTGGCTTGCGCAGGTACTTACGTAGCAAAATAAATAAAAACACATAAGCAGTCAAGATTGTGGACATATGAAAATCGAGAACCAATTATAGTGGAACCTCATATAATCTTTGTATCCGTTACCTCTGTTAAAGAGACACCCCTTCTTAAGTGAAAGGGACACTTTTTCTGGGTCCCGAAGCCCGTTTGTAACCGCCATTCAGAGGAACACCTCAACCATTCAAAACGTGGCTGACCCCAAAGATTTGTACGTGTGCATTACAATGATGACTGCTTTCACAACATGACCTTTTTATTACCGTATATTATTTGATGACAGATGTAAATTGTTTGCCAAAGGTTAAAAACTCAGTTGATATAATTTTTGCGGGGTGGTTTACTATTAACAAACCCCAATCCATCTTATTTCTAAGAGGCACTTGCCCTGGTCACGAGGTTGTCTCCTGAATGGAGGTTCCACTGTACTAAGAACCGAGAAATAACTTTCGTAATCTTAACTACACTGCAATAGTTTTGCACCTTGTAAAGGTTGACGCTAAAGATAACTGTGTAGCTTCATTGTAGATTCTAAACAATTTTTGTGCGGTTGGATTACAACGTAATTGCCTTGACCGAGCTAGAATGATACCAACTGTTTTATTTAGTTGCAAAACCAACCACCCGCTTGCCTGTTTCCGTGTTAGGTTCGCCAGTTGAATGTGGCGTGCAATCCAAACTTCTCCTTCTCCAATTTTCTGGCCAAGCCAACTACCGTCAGAGAGTGGAACATTCAGGTATGAGTATTTTTAACGATCTTTTTTCACTAATAGCCCTTTCAAAACAATCAGGTATTAAGTCGACTCCGTCGGCGGAGTTGTGTTACGAGATAATTTGGATTTATCAACTGAGTTGACAATGAGCGTTAGTCTATTAATAGAGCTAATAGAAAATAGAAGGAGCCCTTCATTTCATCACTCTGACGAAAGGCTGACGCTCGAAACATTAGCTTTAGAAACTCTTTAGGTTGGCCAATAAGTTATGTACTCAATTGACAAAGTCAATTAACCATGTATCAAGCTTGCTGAAATGACCCAAGATCGTTTTCATGGTAGCAGCTACTCTATTTCTCTACAAATTAAATCTTTGAACTCACTGAACTCTTCTTAAGATTTAACTATGCATTTTTTTGTCCAAAAGGGTTTGCCGTCGGACTCCTTTTCAACCGAGAATGGTGTGATGGTGACAAGAGGAAGCAGGTAAAACTTGATATACTCGAAATTGTTAAGCAATAATCTTGTTTAACTTGTTTAAAAGCGGGTGACCCGTTCGTTCAATTCGCGCGAACTCAGTCCGAAGACAAAATGTCCAAACATTATATCAAATGATTAAACGCATTTTGATTGAGAACCGAAACACTACAACTATAGTGATCACAAAGGCCAATGAGCGCGAGCGAAAAAAGTACAAATAGGTAATGAGAACTTAAACTGAGAAAAAAAAAAAAAGAACTGCCAGATCTGTGTGGTTAAGAGGGTGGTGCAAGGAGTTTCTAGACCAAATACGGACCTAAGAAAAGAAAGAACAATGTAACACTGGATTACATTTGACACTGAATTGAAATTTACGCTATGATATTACTGAATTTAATTTAAGATGGCCCCTGATGATCGATCCGCAAGGACAGGCCATTAAATGGATAAAAAACATGGAAACTAAGAAGGTAGGTAGAACTACTAGTGGAGACTTTTTTAAAAGGTGTCCGGTCGCTTTGCTAGAAAGTCGTTTAGTTACTTCCCTACAAATCTACACCGTTTCGCCTCAATGTTATGTGCTTTCTTCTTTTCGGTGTTCCTTCTAGAGCTAACACGAGTTTTCATCATTCTTTCCTTCAGGGTCTAAAAATAATTGACTTACAACAGTCGGATTACCTGAGGACGTTGGAAAACTCCGTTCAGTTTGGTAACCCAGTTTTATTGCAGAACGTACAAGTAAGTGGCTACACCCCTCACTGAATTTTGTCCTTTTCTCTGCTCGTATCAAACTTTTTGCCCGTTGATCGGTTTGCGCTTTACTTGGATGATAAAAAAATACTACATGGGTGACATTATTTGAAAAAATACTATAAAATTTTACTTAAGTGATTTGATTCTTTATTTAATTTTAATTTTTGCTTGCAGGAAGAGCTCGATCCGTCTTTGGCGCCGATCCTGAACAAATCGATAATCAAGCAAGGTAAGTTGTTATAAATTGTTCAGAGGCCATACAAGCTCTTGTTACAGGTAATTTCAAGATATATGCTGCACTCGACATCGCTTGTATTCCTTGTTTATTCTATAGCCAGCCCTTGCACTTGTATACTGCTAAGTTAATCACATTAATCTAGAAACGAAAGTATTCTAGGATTCTACTTCTTTCATCGCAAATTTTTAACCCCTATTGTTTGGGACTTTTTGAAGTTTCTAAATCTTTATTTAGGCCAAATGTTGAGATTAATCTAACACGTTCAATATATACTTTATTACTTAGTTGGACTCAAGCCTCTTTTTTATTAAAGGATTTTTTACAAACGTCATTGACAACCTTTTTGATACAAGAGTACATAGTAAAACATTCAAGAAACTGAGTTTCTTACCTTTCTTCCTTAGGTGGTCGTTTGTTGATTCGGCTTGGCGACAAAGAAGTCGAGTACAGCCCTGAATTCCGTTTCTACATTACAACGAAACTGAGTAACCCTCACTACACTCCAGAGATATCTACCAAGACCACAATTGTGAACTTCGCTGTCAAGGAACAAGGTTGGCTTTTACCCCTTTTTAATCCTTGCGAAACGTGAAAAATGAATTGCGTTTTTGTTTTATAAAAATATGCACGAACCCTGTCCAGATAAAGCCGTTAGTTATTTACTCTTGAAAATGTTTGCATTACGATTATTTGCAAACATGTGCACCTCTCGAAGACAATCGAAATCGAGCCTTCGTCTCTTTGTGAGCCCGCACGCATTAGTACTTTCCTTTAAAACTTACGTGACGCATACAATTGCGTCATCCTGACGGAACAATTGCAGCGCACGCGCACTTGTCGTTTGCTTGAGTTAAAAAAAATCCGCAAGTGTTGCTAGCTTGTCCGTTAAGATTTTCAGAACAAATGGCTTTCACCTGTGTTAATTTACAACTAAACTAAATGATGCGTTTGTATCTGTGAAACGCAAACCGAGCGTTGGCGAAAATTTGAGGGCAAACAAACTTTTGCCTGTCCGACACTTCAAGGTTTGATTGTTCTATTTATTACTAAAAAACAGTAAAGACAATTTGTTTTGTGTGTTTTGATAGGTCTGGAGGCCCAGCTGCTTGGTATTGTAGTTCGCAAAGAGAGGCCAGAGCTAGAAGAGCAGAAAGATGCCCTTGTAATTAACATCGCGGCCAATAAAAAGAAACTTGAAGAGTTGGAGGATGAAATCTTAAGGTAAACAGTTTCTAAAACGCGCGCAATCTTTAAGCGAATTCACGGAGGCCACAAACCTTGTGAATAGCCAAGTTATGAAAGAAAGGGAAAATTTGCATTAAAAGACTGACAAAGGAGTCGTAACTTGTTTAATTGTTTAAACAATCGATTGGTTGATTTAAAGTACAACTTTGAATGTGATTGGCTTATTGAACTGTCCTATAACAAACTGTGCAACAACAACTTGGCAAGTGAATTAGTGGAAAAAAGGAGTTTTTTAAACTAATCACAATCGAGGAAATTGTAATTTCTATGATTAAATGCGTTATCCATTAAAACCCTGCAGGAGTATAAGAGCAACACGTCTTCTTATAATCTCAAACCAGACCTTGAGTCTAAAGTAGCTTAGGAAGGAGTATCTTTTGTACAAGATCTTTATAGAAAGTCAGTCTCTTAGTTTGATTATCTCTTGATCTTTAACCAAAGCATTGATCACATGGACACTTTAAACATTGCTTTTCCAAGTAGCATTTAGAGCGTCTGTCATACGTGAACCTAATGTTGTTCTTGCTCGCCATAGAATTATGCGTAATTCAGTGGTAGAGCATCGGAGCGCGGAATCCGAAGGTCTGGGGTTTCGTACCTTATGGGGGCTCAGATACTTTCTTTGTTTGACAATCGCAACAAGACAAATAACATCTCTCTCTATCCATGCCTCGCTTTTGGTCAGGTTGTTGCAGACAGCTCAAGGCTCATTGCTGGACGATGAACAGCTCGTAAACACGCTGAATTCGTCCAAAACAACCTCACAGGAGGTAGCTGAACAACTTCAGGTCAGCGAACAAACAGAGATCAAGATTGACGCAGCCAGAGAGGTACTGATACTGTTCACACTGAGATATAAACGCATTTTTCTTTATTCCCCAAACGTGTTTTTTCTTCATATGATCATTTTTTTAAACTCAACCTGGTCTGTTATTCCTCTGCAGGGCTACCGTCCGTGCGCGCAGCGAGCCTCAATTCTCTTCTTCGTTCTGAATGACATGGGAAAGATAGATCCTATGTACCAGTTCTCTCTCGACGCGTACATCGATTTGTTCAACAACTCCATTGAGAAGAGTCAACGGAGTCCCAACCTTGAGATACGAATTCAGAACCTTAATGACTATCACACTTATGCTGTTTACAAGTAAGTATTTTGGTGATAGGATACTTACTATATCTTCGACCTAGTTTGTCTATTTATCAGTGGGGTGGCCATCAAATGCTGAATGATAAAATCAAAGATGTATTATAATTTCTAGAATTAGGCGATTGGGTGGGTAAAATACCAATTTTGTGCCTCTCGCTTTTCTGGATGGATGTATAATTGATTGATTAAGTGACTGATCCACGGACAGACCGACGAACTGAATGATGGACTGACCGGCTTATTCATCAATACTTTGAATGACAAATCGATAATTCATTAATTTATCGATCGACCGAATGAGTGATTGATTGAAGAGTCATCCATTGACTGTTGAAACATAGTTGTCTTCTTGTGAATTACTGTAATGAGCTTTTACACAGAATGACAGCAACGCAGTTAACCGATCACAATGAACTTTTTATATTTCACTTGCTTTTCAGATACACTTGCCGTGGCCTGTTTGAACGCCACAAACTTCTTTTCTCATTCCAAATGTGCTCCAAAATATTGGAAGCTGCGGGAAAACTCAACATGGACGAATACAACTTTTTCCTCAGAGGGGGAGTGGTAAGTAGTATTGACAGCCCTTTCCCACTTTGTTTTGCTTTCCATTTCAATTCGTGCAGCAGGACTGTGGTCTTCCATTTTGGGAGTTTGAGACTTATTCAACGGCAAAAAATATTTTCTCTACCTTCCACGAGTCGATATTTCACTAGCTTATTTTCGACTACATTGTATTAAGATCCACTGAGAAATAAATTTTTAAGCTTCCACATCAATCATCAAGGCAATCCTAATCTTTCGAGGCAAAATACTTATTTGTGGATCTCAAAGGTTAAGAGAGTATCAGCAGCAGCTCCGAATTTGCAAGAATCCCCCTCGGCTACATTCAGCATGGCTGATCCCAGCCCGCGCCAATTTAGTATAACAGACTCCGGGGCTCATTGGAGCGTTACAAAATGGTTCCCTGGAGAACCCTCGATGGGAAAAAACAATGATCATGATTAATCATTTGCTATATATAGGTACTGGACAGAGAAGGCCAAATGGATAACCCATGCACTCAGTGGCTCAACGAAGCATCATGGGATAACATTACTGAGTTGGACAAGTGAGTTCATAGATACCTAATGAGAAGGCCCTCATTATTGCCCCTCATTATAAGCGCTATAGCACGCGTGTTTCTTCGAAAGTACGAGGCCTTGGGCCGACGAAAGGCCTGCAAGGGGTCCAGCGCTCATTTTTAGTGACAGATCCTAGACAAACCCCTCTGTGACTCGTCTCAGATCACTCCGCTGACGGAAAAACGCGCGTCCTGCAGCATTATTAATGAGGACTTACTCGCAAGCTAGTTCATTTACCGGTTGGAGTCCGAGTTTTTGGGATGTTCTCTCCTTGGTGGCCCTCGTTCGATAAGTCAACTTACAATCTGCTTGCTCTTTCTTCTGTTATCAGACTACCTAACTTCCATGGTATTGTCACATCGTTTGAGCAGTATCCCAGGGATTGGAACATCTGGTACACCAGTGCTGAACCAGAAAACACACCGTTACCCGGTGAGTAAGTTAGAATGAAATGTCTTAAATAAGAAATGTTCGTTCTTTAATGCACGAGAAACTTGGCGACCGAACGATTAACGCGGTATATTTTAGATTGTGCGAACTATTCCAGGTTGGAGCCCTGGTGGGATCGCTGTATTATGTTCTTGACCGAGAGAATTTGTCGTCTCGATGCCCCTTACCACCCTGGCCGGGTCGCTTTATTATGCTCTTGGGCAAGATAATTTTTCGTCTCAATGCCCTTACCACCCTGGCCGGGTCGTACTATTATGTTCTTGTGCAAGAGAATTTGTCGTCACGATGTCCCTTACCACCCTGGCCGGGTCGTACAACTATGTTCTTGTGCGAGAGAATTTGTCGTCACGATGTCCCTTACCACCCTGGCCGGGTCGTACTATTATGTTCTTGTGCGAAAGAATTTGTCGTCACGATGTCCCTTACCACCCTGGCCGGGTCGTACTACCCCCTTACTTCACCCACAAATCTATCTAAATTGTCATTTCGAAAAGATTCAAAGTTACCTGAATATACATGTTAGTAGTTAATCGCTTGTCGGATTAGAATTATATCAGAGTTCTTCTCCGGTTTCCTTTTTGGACGTCTTTTCAGAGTATCTCGCTTATTGTTTCAATCGCCCTAAAGTGATTCTATTTGTTTCTTCAGGTGAATGGGAGAACGCGTGTAACGAACTACAGAGGATGCTGATCGTTCGATCTCTTCGCCCCGACCGAGTTTCTTTCACTGCCACATCATTTATTGTAAACAATCTAGGCTCCAAGTAAGTTTTTCTTTTGTATGTTTTTAAGAGACATTTTACCAGACTTGAACATACTTTCTGTGCTGCTGAGGTGCAACCATGATAATTGCTTTTTGCTATCATGTTTTCTCTTCATTCTTAAGCTTCCTTTCCACTGTATTATGTAACGTCCCCGTCTTTATTCTTCCTCGCTTTACATTTGTGCTAGTCTCTCAAGTACATGATGCCTAACTTAATTTTGTTCCCGACATTTTGTTTCCCGTTCTTCTTTCTTTCCTTCCATTATTTGCTTTCCCGTGACACTGATTTTCCTGTCGTTTTTTATCATCCTTTTATTTTTCCAGCCATGAAATTCCTTCAGCGTAATAACACTGCTTTTCCCCCCCTACCCCTAACCTTTCTGGTTATAAAACTGGCTATTTATCTGAAAATTTTAGATTTGTGGAGCCTCCCGTTTTAGACATGGCGTCAGTGGTGGAGGATTCATCAACACGAACTCCTCTGATTTTCGTTCTATCGCCAGGAGTGGTGAGTCGTATTCTTCCTGAAAGTTGAAACATGTTTTGCTGGTTCAAACTTGTTCACAGACCTCCATAATGTGATAGCTTTGTAACTCAACTGGTTCTTCCAGAGAATCCTTTACGTTACATATTTGTGGTAACCAAATATACTGTTACATTTTTTACCCAGGATCCAACTAGTGCTTTGTTACAACTTGCTGAGAACTCTGGGATGTCGAATCGTTTCCATGCCCTCTCTTTAGGTCAAGGCCAGGCACCTATCGCCACACGAATGATCAAAGAAGGAGTCAAAGATGTAGGTTAACTTCCACTTCATATCATCAGATAATAATTTCCAGTCTTTACTGGGTTCTTAAAAAATGTGAATTGCCTCTTGTGCAGGAAATTTATCCTTCGTTTAATACCATTTCTGTAGGGTAACTGGGTGTTCTTGGCCAACTGTCACTTGTCGCTGAGTTGGATGCCTCAGCTTGACAAGCTGGTGGAACAGCTTCAGGTGGAGGAGCCGCACCCGGACTTCAGACTGTGGCTGAGTAGCAGCCCTCATCCAGAGTTCCCAATCTCCATCCTACAAGTCGGCATCAAGATGACAACAGAACCTCCAAAGGTTAGTAGTAACGTTTGTGACCAGTCTGCATAGGAGATCCAGTAAAAATGTATCTCGTGATGCAAGTTGACGCACCATTTTTTTTTTTTCAAACAGTTAAACTTTCAAGGGCAACCAGTTGGAGCCGAGAAGTATTTAGTTTGTTATCCAAACCTTATTGCTATTTCATCATCTCTCCTCAGGGTCTAAAGGCGAACATGAAGCGGTTATACCAGCTGATCACAGAGCAACAATTCAGCCGCTGTCACAAACAGGACAAGTACAAGAAGCTGTTGTTCTCGTTGTGTTTCTTCCACAGCGTGTTGTTGGAGAGAAGGAAGTTCCTTATGCTTGGTTGGAACATACAATATGGGTTTAATGACTCTGATTTCGAAGTGTCCGAGAACTTGCTGAGTATTTACCTTGACGAATATGAAGAGACCCCTTGGGACGCCTTGAAATATTTGGTAAGTGAAAACTTTTTAGCGACAGTTTAATAAGCTACAATGGGCGACACACTGACATTTTTATCTATGGTAATGGAACTAGGTGGATTCCAATTCGGTCTGTAATCATGCGAGTGATGAACAAAATCCGACGATTCCGATTGATTTATTGCGAGTATGATTATAGACAGAATCGGAAGACACGAAGTTCTGTTACCAATTAATCAAAACTATGAACAGATTTGAGACAAATTATTCATCGGTTATAAGGTAAAAGAACAACCTTGTTTGATCGTCGTTGTTAAAGCCTCGCTTAGTCTAGTGTATGAATGACAAGCGAAATTGTTTTGTTGTAGGTGGCTGGGGTCAATTATGGTGGTCACGTGACAGATGATTTTGATAGGCGTTTGCTTCATTCATACATCAATGAACAGTTCTGTGACGCCGCCATTCAGACGCCTTACTACAAGTAAGTTCATGGTTTAATCCTTTTCACATCTAGTATCTCAGTATCAATTCTGTTAACTCTCTGTCATACCGATCCTAAAATTTTAGCTCTGAGAATATGGTGCTTGCACGAAGAATAAGATTTATATCTTTCTTCTTATCACCTCTTTGTTTGACCTTGTATGGTTATTGAAAGGGGAAATTCATGTTAGTCGCTCGTGCGAATGAATGGGTTAAAAGGCACAACCTAAAACAGGAAGAACAGGAAAAAAATGTAAACTTGAGGAAATTTGCCAAAAAAAAACTCGAAAAAAACTTTTCCAACTAATTAGTTCTTGTCTTTCAGGCTATCTTCTCTGCCAACCTATTACATTCCAAAAGACGGTCCTCTTTCCACATACAGGGTAAGAAATCCTTTGGACAATCCATAAGACAACTCATCGTTAAATTTGATATTTTGTAAGACGTCTGTGTGAAAGATGTTAGGGTTTTCCTCTTTTGGTCTCACAAGGTTAAGTATCCGGTGGCGCCTATTTCGTCTGTTGTTGAAGTGACTTTGAGCCCCCCGGTGGGGGGATACTTCCTAACAGTGGGCTAATGGGTATGTGCCGCTGGATGGAGTCGCATTTTCACGACTAGATGGAGTATAATGGGTTGCATTTTTATTAGAGCTCCTAGAATGAGGTCGCACTTTTTTGGGGTTTTTGGGTAAGGAAATATCTCTAGGGATTTAAAGGTATGAAGATTCGTGGTTAAAAAAATTGTTACCGTATTACCAAAAGTGACAAATTTGGGATCAAAGATTGGCCACAGAATAGACTATAATGGGGTGGGGGTTGTGAGAGGTTTCCCCCCCCTTTGGGCTCTAAACAAGAGAAGACCTCTGAAATCCCTGCTCTTAACTTTGCCTTTGCTCACTTCTTCTGACATGTTATAGCAAGGACTAAGCATCGAGGAGACCGGTCAGTGATCTGTTAGTGCAAAGCATGCGGGTGATCATCGTCAACAGCCAATAAGAAACCATTTTGAAATTGATGTTTTACAGGAATACATTAGCATGTTACCAAATGTAGATCATCCTGAGACGTTCGGTCAACATCCTAATGCTGATATCGCCAGTCAGATCATCGAAACCAGGTAAATGTGACAATTACAATTAAGCACTGAGAACATAGCGAGGCGACATCTTTGGGAAAAAATCGCCGATGTCGTTTCACTGAAAATACGGGATTTGCAGGGATTTTGCTCACAGCAAGTTGTCTTTGTGTTCGAAGAAAAGTCTCTCATTAACACACCTTAGAGTTTGGAGAGTATTAGCTGCGACTTTATAGTAAATGCTTTGATTGTGCGATGTCAGTCACAAATTGTTTATTTTTTCAAGTTTTGATTTGTTCTGCCCTCTTTGTTGCTCTTTTGTCTGACCTGGACATTTTTGTGTTCACTAAAGATCGATTCAATGTATTGTTTATTATTGATCTTTGTCTTATTATTTTGTTTTGTTTTGTGTTGTTTTTTTTTTCAGGAATCTGTTTGGTACGTTACTTTCTCTTCAACCCCAGATCCCTTCTGCTGGAGGACAAGGAGAGAGCAGGGAAGAAAAGGTTGGTAGCACTTAAAGAAAACTTGAAGAAGAAAAGTGGGGGAAAATTGAACAGTGCGTTTGGGTTGATTGTCGTTAAACCAAAATCAAATTAATTACAACGGCCAATCAAAGGAAAGGAAAATGTTTAAGAGCCAATGAGAACTCAAAACAAAAACAAACAAACCGCCTAAAGCGCGGGAAAACGCGGGCGACCAAGTCGTGATTGGTGTTAGTTTTGCATCTGATTGGTTGAGAGAGTGGTGCGAGTTTTCTGGACCAAGCTCAGAGCAAAGTAAAACAAAACCGGATTAATTTCGGCACTCCATTGAAAATTGTTTCAACATGGTGTTTGCTCTAGCTGCTGCTTTGGAGATCGCTACCGTTTGATTTCAGTTTCTCTTTCTTTTTTAGGTTCTGGAGCTTGCTGCTGACGTACTGAAAAAAGTTCCTGAGGAGATTGACTATGAGCAGACCGCGAAAATCATGTCCGATGATCCCTCTCCTCTCAACGTTGTGTTGCTTCAAGAGGTACGGGCAATAATCCATGCTTATTTATGTTAGTTGTATCCACTCTTTGATATTCTCTGGCTCTAGAAAGGCAAGAGTACTATAATTTGATGTATCTAAGACCTTAAGCGTGAATTACGCTGATCATTCCTCGGTTGTTCAAAGCGTTAATTACGCTATCCGCTGGATAAATCTCTATCCAGTACATGGCGCCGTGCGTTTTGTGAATATTTGTCTGCTGAATTTCGATTTAGATCGCTTTTCGATTGAGTGTCGTAAAACCAAAGCCAAAATAGTTACAACGGCCGGTCAGAAGGGAAGAAAGTACCCTGAAGAGCCAATGAGAACTAAAGCGCGGGAAAACGCTTTCGACCAAGTCGTGATTTTTTGTTAGTTTTGCATCTGATTGGTTGAGAAAGTGGCGCGATTTTTTTGGACCTATCACAATGAAAAGTAAAGCAAAACCGAAACAACCCAGGATGACTTTAGACACTCAATTGAAAATTGCTCTATTCGTTGGAGAGCGTTCTCTCCATGTTTAGAAACGAACGTTAATATCTTCTGTTTTTCTCGGCGATAGATTGAACGGTTTAACGCCTTGTTGCGAATCATCAAAGCATCGCTTATCGATCTGGAGAAGGGAATCAAGGGTCTTGTGGTCATGTCCTCCGATCTGGAAGAGACATTTTACTGCATCTACGATGCCAAGGTTCCCCCTTTGTGGGGAAAGGTAAGGAAGAAATCCCATGAATAGAGAGTTTTATACAAAGTAAAGAAACGAAATTAAAGCAATTGCAGGAAAGAATCCTTAAAAAATGCAGGCTTCGAAGGGACTCGAACCCGTCTCTCCCAGATACTCGTTGGGTTCTTCTATCAACTGAATAACATAGCCAAATGTTGGGAGCAAGGCAAATGTAAGTAGGTTCTTCTCTACCGTAATGGAATTCACAATGAAACTGGTACCTGAGAGGCTTCTCTTCTGAAACTGCTTTAATCGCAGCAACTCTGCGAGGATTATTTCTGTGCTTTGTATGTTATCCGCGGGTCAAATATCATCTTTTTCATTTCTGATAGCTTAATATTTGAAAATGAACGTCAATCGAAAGTGTTTAAAATTATACACCTTAATGCTAGTTCGAGTGATGTATTATAGATAATTTTGCGTGTACATGACGCACAGAATTACTTCATTTTAAAGGATTTCGATCAGTTGAAAAGCCTTCAGGCGGGTAAGTGTTAGCGTTTGGACGGAAAGATGCTCTACGGGATAATAGCTGGATGTCAAATTTGTTTTTCTTTTTTAAATATCATTGATAAATGTCATCAGTTTTACAAAATACTACTCTGGTTGCCTTTATGCAGGATAATGAGATAGAATTTTAAGAAGTTATACATGAACAGGAGCCCTGGAGGAATCATGTCCAATTTTTTTTAGCTTCGTGATGCGACTTCAAAACCAAGAGTTTGGAACAAAATGCTTTAGAAAATTGATTTTCTTTTGTTTTATATAATGTCTAGAATATATTTTTTCGAGATGCAAGCCGGTAAATATTTTGAACATTTTTAACAGGCTTACCCGTCCAACAAACCGCTGGGTAACTGGACACGTGACCTGATGCTGCGTGTGGATCAGTTTGCCAAGTGGGCGACCACAGCTCACCAGCCCGTCATATTCTGGATGTCTGGCTTTACATTCCCCACTGGCTTCTTGACCGCAGTCTTACAGACATGCGCACGACAAAACAACGTGTCCGTGGACTCGCTATCGTGGGAGTTTGTTGTGTCCACAGTGGATGACAGCAACATCACGCAACAGCCCAAGGTACGTTAACAAACTGTGAACGTGTTGATACCTGTTTTAAGCGCTGTGGGTCCGGAAAGATCCAGTCCCCCACTCGCACTCCACCGGACATATGAGGTTTTTTTATCACTCATCTGACACCATAGTTCTTGCAACTTTAGGGTCGCATATTGTTTCTTAACTAGCGGATTGATAAACGTCACACACTATCACCGACAAAAAGTCCCTTTCCCAGATGATTCCCCAAATGAAAGACGCTAATTCAGCATTAAAAGATAAGGGAACGTATAGTTTTTATGTGAAGTTCACACAGGTTTAGCATTAGATCGAACAGCTCTGCCCAGAGGAAATACCTCTAACCTGCGTACAGGTAACCTTTGAGTTTTATGGAAATCAAAGGCTGAGGAGACGAACTAAAAACTATTATTTGATCCCTTGGTAACTAGTACCCACTTTATTTCTCTCATCAGGCATTTCTGTGGCTACTTCCAGGTTTTTTTCCCCCAAATTTTCAACTTTACGTTCACAATCGATGGGGAAGCACTTTCTGTGTAATCAATGCTTTTGAATCTTCCCTAAATTGTTCTTCTCAACATAGATTACCCGTCGCGCAGCACTATTTCTTAACCATTCCCTCTTTCTTTTACAGGATGGTGTATGGATCCGTGGGCTCTTTTTAGAGGGGGCTGGTTGGGACAAGAAGAATGCGTGCCTCATCGAAGCGGAGCCTATGCAACTCGTTAGCGCCATGCCCACGATTCATTTCAAGCCTGTGGAGAACAAGAAGAAGAGTGGAAAAGGTCTGATATACCCAACTTTCAAATGTGTTTGAGACAAACATGTATCTTAAAACAGGCCAAAAGTATTTTTATTTGATAACTGAAATGTTGCCTTAAGATTTTTTCGCGGTTGGTAGATTAGAGTGTGATAATCTCAATAAAGAGGAAACAATCCTGTTAAGCTGGATTTTAACTGTCGCATTTTTCCACGAACATGAACGTGAGTTACAAAAAAACCAATTACGTTCGTTGAAATTAACGTCTACGTGCGTAAACGCATCCCTTGACTAAACGTTTTTATATTTCCCTTTCCATCTTTTTTTCAAGGCGTGTTCGTACGTTTTGCGCACGTCGCAATCGCGAAAGTGCATAGAAAAGTTGAACTGCCTTCAACTTTTATATGCACAGGCCTGGGTTTGTCGCATCTTTAAAAGAAGCGTGGTATTCATATTTACGCGGCAGTGGAAATTGCTTACGCTCGTTTTTACAGCGAATTTGTGTACAACTTTGTTACTTTCCTTTTGCTATTGTAGGTGTCTACGCATGCCCGTGTTATTACTACCCAAACCGAGCGGGAACATCTGGACGTGCATCCTTCGTGGTGGCCGTGGACCTGAAAGCAGGAGCTATGACGTCGGACCACTGGATCAAGCGCGGAACTGCGCTTCTGATGAGCCTTGATTACTGAGCTGCGGTTCTTTGTTAAAGTCACGAACACAGCGTGTGATATAAACATTGAGAAAACGAATTGTGAATAAACCCAAGGAAATAAGCTTTGAGAAGTTACGTAAGACGTTACACCTATAACAAAAAGTGTGGTTTTCCAGTGAAGGTTTAAAACAGTTTCATAATATTACATAAATTTTAATTTGTACCTTTGCTATGACACATCCATGCAGCATTGTCCTGCTCTCGCCATAAAATAATTTAGCGTTGTGAAAAAACAAACAAACAAAACAAAAAAGGAAGATATGTTCTTTAGTAATTGTAAATCTTTTTTTTATGTTAGTTTACCTTTTCCCTCAAAGAGTGAATTTATTTATTAGGTTTAAACCTGCAATAAAAGTATTTTTACACATCATTTCATTCTTTTTGTTGAGTGGTGCATTTTTCTCTATAATTGTCTTTTTTTTAGTTGAAAAATTTTTAATTGAGCACATGAAGTGGAGGGCTACTGGTAAAATTTCAAAACCAAATAAATATCAAAAAAAAGGTCAAGAAACTTTTTCCTGTGGTTTGGATAGCATTGCTTCTTGTGTCTGTGTATAGGTTCCTGTTCAAAGAGATGTTAAGGTCTGTAAAAAGAGTTCATGGAAAGAGCTATTTAAAAAGATGGGTTTGTCATTTTGCAATAATCATTTCATCAAGGAGGTTAACCTCTAAGCCAAATCTTAGTCGATTACTCATGTACCATATTTCCTCAAATAAGTGCCTACACTCTAGTAAGCACCCTCCCCCACATAAGCAACCATCCCCTTAGCCCTAGCCCAAGCACCCCTCTCAAATAAATCAACCCCCTCCTCTGTCACTTTCTTTCATAGTAAGAATACTGGAAAATCTGCTTCTATTGCCTCTTTATTTAAAACTTCAAAACCTTCAACTATGGCAGAATCATTACAGTTAATAGTTTCTTAATAAGCTCCTCCCTTTTAATTAAGCACCCTCCTTCCAATAAGCACCCCTGAGAGCCAAAATTTTAAAAAAGTGTGCAGGGACTTAATTGAGGGTTTATGCTTTATCCCCACCATGAGTTCCATAAGGACAAAAGTAAATTGATGGTCATTTCTGTGATGTCGGCTACCATTTGCAATCATCTCAGAGTGTGCTGACAAGTAGAATTTGTGTTACAATCAGTAGCTTCTTTGGTTGGTGATCATTTCTATAATTCTTGCAACCTTGATGTTTGATTCAGGGGTGATATTGTAAGGAGAAATTAGTTCTCTTCAGAGTTTGAGCATCGAGATAATGCTCAGTACTAATATCAATAGTGTGTGAATTTTTGTATGGAAAACCAGGATAATTAATGTGGAAATTGGTGTCATTCCAATGGGGTGGGGTGCTACTTTTCATTGTGCCCTTAAGAGAGTTAATGCTCCATAAATGTATTTACATGCAACAGAACTAAACTGTAAGTGGCAGTGACACAGAATGAAAATATTTTCCTATTGGTATGTAAGCACATGAGTGGCTATGGTGTTGTATCTTTTGTTGTAAGGTGTATATGTTTGATATCTGTAATGTATTCATCTCAGCTCTTGAACTTTTCAAGCTTTACGTTTAAATTTCCTCTTGTATTTAATTTAGCCTGTTTTACCTCTAACCCCTAGAGGTTGGTACTCCTGCATTTGGATGGGGAATAAGTTCCCATTTTTCCCAATGGGTCTTTTGGGTTTTCATATCACATGGTGGCACACAAACTGTTATTATCCCGAAAGATGATTCAGTTGTAACAAGTTGTTTACTGTTCTCTGTACCTTTGTTGGATGGCAAAACAATCAAGCTCCTAGTTTGAGCTGCACACCTACTCTTGTGTATTAGTTGTGAATTAAGATAGAAATGACAAGTCCTAAGGTGAACAAATACTGACAATTGGCAGGCCTAATTCTAGCCTGCAGTGCAGGCATCTTAGTTACAATTACAATTTTACATTTAATTAAAACTTATATAGTGCAACTTTCCATAGCGCATGATCAAATGCGCTTGAATTTAGGGCTGTAATCATTTATTCTACTGGCCATTTTCAACTTAGAGTTGGGGGGACCTTGGAGGGAAAAAGTGAAGGGCAAGAGAGCTACTCCACTCTCATTCATCATGACTGGTCTTCACTACCTGGTTACAAATTCAAATTTCCTTCTCTCCCCAGCCCTCCACTGTTGTTAAAATCAAAGAGGGCAGCAATAGTTTTCACCAAGAAAGTACTGAGTAATTGCTTGCCAAAATTTTTTCCTGCTCTGCAGCCTAGCTCAATTGCTATTTGTTTATATCTTAATACATCAGGATTTCCGGCCTTGACAACATGTCTCAAATCTAATGATTATTGGGTGAATGTAACCACATTAACACTAGGAAATCAAAACAAATTTCTTTTATTTACAAGCATTTTTTTTAACACTCAGAATTACATGATACTTGAGAAAGAGATTCAGAACAAACTTATATGTGAAACCATTGAAATATTCCCAGTAACAGATTCAAAGGTACCCATCAATACGGCATGTCTCATAATAATCTTCTACAAAGACTGTAAACAAGAGAAAAAAACAAGATCAACAAGGAAAAAAATCAATATTTTTGCTTCAAGATCAATAAAGTTTTATACAATGAACTTTTAAATAGTACAGTACATGCTCTAAAACAAGGGTTTGTTTATGATATATCAATACATGCACAATGCTTATATCCTATAAAAATAGTATTGTTTAACTTTTTTTGTTTACAATTTCGTAAACACTTGAGCCTTTTTACGTTTAAGCAAGGGAAGGGCTCAAAAAAAGTAAATTGAGCAATAGCATTTTGTTGGTCAAAATTTACCAAATCGAGACAACTAGTGTTTTTAATGATTTGAAACATGCCTTTTAAATCTTCAAACTGTCAAGTGCTCTACAGCAACTTTGAAATTATTCTCTTGTTTGACCACCAAGACCTGATACATATGTCTCCCAACAGCTGTTATTATTTTTTTTATTTTCATCAAGTCAGTTGTTAAGAAAATATAAAGTTATATTATAATAGAAATGCATATGTCTCCCAACAGCTGTTATTATTTTTTTTATTTACCATACCCTCTGGTTGTTGAAGGGGGTAAGTTTCTACAGAAAAAGTGGTGCTGTGTTGGTGGGGGAATTACGAGATACTTTGATTTTATCAACTGAGTTGATAATGTAAATTGGCCAATGTTAAGAGTTTCTAAAACTGACGTTTTGATTAAGCCCTTTGTACGAGCAAATACACGAAGATATAATACTCAACACCTCTAGATGTTGCAAGAAGAGGGTACGTGCCAATCTTTTAGTGGTAGTCAAGTGTTACACAAAGCGACCATAAAGGTGCCCTGCCCTATCCACCTCCCTCCCCCCTGTATTGGCAAAATGGGTAGTGGGAGGGGTTACTTGAAATCGGTTGTCACCTTTTGTCTGAATCTTGAGCCAGTGATCCTTTCATCTCGTGCGAGCAGTCTTTCATCAAACTTGTCCAAGCTATATCTACTGGGCTGCAAAGTACATTTAAAACAATTCTTTCCTTTATCCTTTAAATGACTTGTTAAAAACATCCCCATCAGTCCTTTGATCATCCAAGCCACAAAGGTAAACCGGCCAAATATGCATGCAAATTCAAGTTCAAATATTCAAGACTTTATTGTTTATAAATACCTTGCCCTCTTGGAAGAGTCGATCACAGATCTTCAGTCCCCAGCCAGTTACAGCTATACAAGCTCCAATAATAACAAACGGAGGTAAGCATTCATACCACATGTCGAAAGCTAGAGAGAGTATTTCGCACGGTCGAGTTCAATACCACAAAATTCAAAATGGCCGACTAAATGATGTTACGTCATAGGTCAGTGGAACTCATCGCGGTCACATCACTGGTTACTAGTTTTACTCCATCAGCCTTTTCAAGGAGGGAAAGAAAGTGGGGTGCAATCATGTCATTCTTCACGTTACTTCCTGGCCCCACTGTTGCGCAGTTAACCAACGGTCTCTTGGTTAACCTGGTGGTATAATGCTGCTCAGCCTTTTGCTTGATGGCGACTTTTAGATTTCCCTCCATCGTTACAATGACAGCGTTGGCGAGATTGATGGGGAATACTGCACGAAGTTGTCTTCCAAAAAACGCATGTAGTATTTCTACGACTCGCGTGTTTATGGATCTTGTTGGAATAACTAGGCCTCCGGTAAACATGCAGTGCGCCAGAAGGAACACTTCTACTACGACTCTAGAGCACTGGACTGATATAAGTATCAAAGAGCTTAGAGCAATGCTAACAGCGCATAATATTCAGTTGTTTGATGTCAGAGAACCCCATGAGCTGGTAGAGTCAGGGAAGATTGCTTGTGCTACAAACATCCCACGTACGTTTTTTTCGTTTTCGTCGTGAATTTTCTTCATGTTGAAATGAATACTAATAACTAATAAAAGGTAGCTCTAAAGGTTTATAGGAAACTATTACTGATTGGTTATTTGCAGAATAATCCGATAAGGGTCAATGAGTTTCTGAATTATTAATAATTATTAACTAATTACTAATAACTACTAATAACTAATAAAAGGTAGCTCTAAAGGTTTATAGGAAACTATTACTGATTGGTTATTTGCAGAATAATCCGATAAGGGTCAATGAGTTTCTGAATATTATTCTCAGGGGAAAAAACTATTACACCGGCCTGTTGAGTACTGAACTTACTTCAATGTACAACCACTCACTTCTCAGTGGCAATAATGGCCTTGTGCCAAGTTTTTTCTCTAATACCTTCGCCAATTCTTATGCCTAGTTGTGATTCTCACACCTGTAGATAAAAAAAATTAAATTCCATGCCATGCCTGATAAACATTTCTTACAATTTTACACTTCAAACTACGTGTTTTTCTTCTTTCCCTCCTCCTCCCTTCTTGCTCCGTAAATTTTTTGGTATTCATGACCAGGGCACATGATTTCACAAAATCAGCCAATCATGATGTCAACAGATGTGAATCTTGACATTATAAACTGATGGGGCCACTCTCGCATACTTTTCTTGTGGTTGTTCTTTGGAGTAAGTTTCTAGTTTTTGAGCTGTCTTTCATAGCAAATGTGTTACTTGTTTGTTTTAAAGAGTTTAAGGAATTTAAGGAGTTCTGAAATCTTTTTGTAAGCCAAATATTGTTGTTAGATTTGAAAGGTTTTATTACATTATTTTAACATAGTTAGATTCTAGCATCCTTTTCTGTAAAGGGATATTTTACATGGATGACCAATTCCTTATTCCTAGTGGAAATATTTGAGCTAAAAGCCCCTAACTTGGCATACTTGTTAAAGAGTGAATTGATGAAAATAATAAAAAAAAACATTCACGAGTACATGTGATTATTATTATTTATTTTCAATTTTCAGAGCCTCTTACTGCTATAATTGCTTTAAAAGTTTTTCATAGAGTAGATAACATTGACACAATTTTATTTTTGTTGCATTTTTCAGTGCGTAAAGTTCCTGAGGCCTTTACAATGGATCCTGTAGCATTTGAGGAGGAATACAATGTTAAAAAGCCAGACAAAAATGATGCAAATATTGTGTTTCATTGCCTGGCTGGAATAAGGAGTAGAGCAGCAATGGAGGCAGTTCATCAAATTGGCTACACAAAGTAAGATCACCTCCAACTGACTAGCATAATTTGATCCTGTGTCTTTTAACTCTTTACACGCTAAAATTGGTATTTATATTCTCCACTCTGTTCTCTTTACATTTCCTACAATATTGGCAAGGAGAACTTGTTTCCTTATCAGGAACTTCTTTTGTTGGTGATCATTTTTTTTTTCTTCTCATGGCCTTAACCCTTTAAACCTTAACAACAGTATGTGTATTCTCCATACTGTTCTCTATACATTTACTAAAGTGCTGACAAGGAGAATTTGTTTAACAATCAAGAGCTTCTTTAGTTGGTGATCATTTCCTTTATTTTCATGACCTCAATGTTAGATTCAAGGGTGATATTGCTGGGAGAAATTGGATGCTAGTCACTCTCAGGGGTGAAAGGTTTTTATGTTTGATTCAGGGGTGATATATTAATACTGTTATGCTTTACATTTACCATTTTTTCTCTTAACCCTTTAACTCCCATAAATGAGTGACCAAGACAGAATTTCTCCTTACAGTATCAATACAGAATCAACCAGATAAGTGATGAGAACAACTTTAGGAAATTATCAATTTGGGGATAATTAGTTGATCCAATACTAAATTCTCTGAACTTACATTATAAGAATTGTATGGTTGATGATAAGGAGAATTGCAAATTTGATCTGGGAGTTAAAAGGATTAAATGCTTTTTTTTGCCCATACAATGTGAATTTCTAGATTAGGCACAGAGAGTTTTGGTAAGTTATATGATTTTAGATGAACTATTGGATATGAAAGTTTTTTTTCTTTTCTTCTCAGGGCAAGACATTACCCAGGAGGCTACATGGAGTGGATATCACAAGTTGATAACTCAGAAAAATCCAATGGTTGAACTTGGAAGAATCATTTCTGTTTGTTTGATTTATTTAGTACTGGTTTCTGATTGACCTTAGTGTGCATTAGCATGAGTGAATAAAAACTTCTGACAATTTATTCTTATTAAAAGCATCAGTTTGTTGTTATATTACCCATTATTTAAGGCAAATTTAGTAGAGGAAATTAGATAGCTCTTGTTAGTAACAAGGGCTGTAAGCAAGGAAAAAATATGAACAAGGGAAAGTATTCCAAATTTGTTCTTCACTTCTCAAGATAAGTTACTGTGACCTTGACCTTTTTTTGTTAAGTAAAAAATGTTTGAAGTAATGATGAAAATGTGAAAGCCACAAGCCAGACGTAATGGTATAAACAACTTTAAATTTCAGATTTTCAACAATTTAGCAGTTTTACTAGTGTTTATTTATTGTGTTTACAAACCGTTAAAAAAATGAATTTCCGTTTCGAAAACTGGATATGCGTCAGCATTCTCTGAGAGGCATGCCGATAATCATCACCGTGTGCCAAACTGTGACATGATGGTGTGACAGTCGTAATATAACACACGTTTACGATTGCGTTACCCGTCATATGCATCGATTAAAACCGTGCAATTTTAAGAGTTTTCGAAAAATGGAAAGATTTCTCTTTTTTTATGCTACAGAGATGGAAAAATAGATTTCTTTTGTCTTAGAAGAATTTCAAGAAGCAATAAATTTAGGGCTAATATGCATGCTTTTGTGCGTAGAAATATCTCAAGTGTCTCAGCTGGTGACGTCATGCTATAATGATGCAAATCTTTCGCTAAATGTCACAACCGTGGAGTATTATAAATAAAGTTTGACACTTTGGAAAGCATACATTTTGCAGTTTCCAGCGAGAGAAGCAAAACAATTCACGATGGCATCGCGTTCAGTTGGAAGATTAGCAAAGTCAATATTTTCCAAAAGCGTTTTACCTCGCGCTGTTTTGGGCCAGAGACTTTCCCTCAACTCAAGCGCGTCGCCAGGAGATCGTATATGGTCTTGTAGTAAAGAAACTGATCGAAGCCAAATTGGCTTGGAGTGTTTAAAAGATATGGTGATCGATGGAGATTTACAACTGTTTGACGTACGAGAACCTCACGAACTTGTTTCACTTGGGAAAATACCGAAGTCTGTTAATATTCCATGTAAGTTGTAAATAACGTAACATGCCTATTTTTTTCTCTTCAGGAGTACCGCAAAAGTTGTATTATTTTTCTTGTTGATTTCCTCCAAGTGAAAGAAATATCGGCGTATTCTCTACTCAAATGAGAATTAGACTTAAAGCTCTGAAAAGTAAGCTTTTTTCTTCGTAAAGAAACAACTTCCAAATAATGTTGTACTTGTACTTATTCCCTTCAGTCTCTAATTGTTTTTCAATCGATTTCACACCGCCATGTATTATTCACAATGACTGTAATTTGACTTTCAGTGACAGAAATTGTCGAGGCCTTTAGCATGAGTCCATCAGATTTCGAGAAAAAATACGGTGTCAGAAAACCAGATGTTAAAGACGAAAATCTCATCTTCCATTGTCAAACTGGTCGGCGAGCAGGGAAGGCCGTGGAAAGTGTCAAAGGACTGGGGTTTGAAAAGTATGTTCGTTGTGGAATAACCTAAGAATAAGTGTATGTATACCTGCGACCTTTACAGGTGCACTTGGCTAAAGCAGTTACCCATGGTAACCTGGTCAATCCGCTCTTCTATCGTCCACTTTCCGTCAGCGGAAATTGTTATCTGCATAGCGCTAGATCTGTCAGAACACGCAGCTGTCACGCGATCGCTAATGGAAGTTGTCACGAATAAGCCTACGCTATCCCATGCATTCCTCCCAAAGGAGAAATGTTTCTCCTTGGAGGGGAAGGGTAGGACTACACGTAAAGTATCACGAAACAGTGCATTTTTACTGTTGTCTCTTAACTATCCTATATATTTCTGCATATGACCTCAGTTATTGTCGTTTTTTAGGGCCAGTCGTCTGGTTGGAGGATGGTCTGAACTGGACTTCCATATCAAAAGGAAGCCTCACAGTACCCCGCGCGAAATCACATTCGAACGTTGAAGACAGATGTGCAGTTCGAACAAATAAATATCCCCACTGGGGAAGGAACTGAATTGTCGCCCTCAAACCAGTGATGTTTTATATTTATAATCTAATTTAAACGTCGTTTAAATCTGTCTTGTAATATTTAGTCATCTTTAGTTGATAAATTCATTTTCACTTCTAATATTTTAACTTGTGACCAATACGCATTTAATGTATGGTCCCTAGGGAAACAGTTAGGAGTCCTGATGTTTCCCGAGACGAAGTCCAGGGAGACATCAGGACTCGAGGGAAAACAACATTAACTAGTTTCCCGAAGGACTATACATAAAGCGCTTTGTTATATATTTAGACTTTCCCTTAAACAATCATATGGCAAAGATATGCTGTTGTATTCGAAGCGCGGGCAACAACTGCGCAATTGTATCCCGGTCGGGATACATTTGAATTTGATCAGGGGCACATGAACAAGAATTAACCAATCACAGTGCTCGTTTTGTTGAGTGAAAGTCTTGGTTTATAAAAATGATTTATATTTCATATTTCACCGATAAAAAAAAGAAGTGTCCTATTTTTTTAACTTCTCATGAGCTTATTGTACTGAAAATATTTTATTTATTGTTATTGTTATTTCCCAAATTTTGTCTGCAAATTGTAATATATTTTTGAATGGATTTGTCATTGTAAATAACTCTGTTATCTACATTAGTAATGTCATTTGCCGAACTCTGTGGAACCCCAGGTAGAACTCATTATGTGAGAGAAAGTCACATAACTCCGGGAAAAGTGGCCAGGCAATTGAGTTAGTTCACCTGGGTCTCTAGATGATGACATATTTTGATTTTTTTTTTTATTATTATATTACATTGTTTCAATTTTTAATGGATTGGTTGCCAAGTGTATTGTAAACTGCTTCATTAATTTATTATTAATAATTTGCAATTTTTAAAACACCATGTTATTATTTAAATTATTTTAGCATTTATATTGATGTAAAATAATTTCATAGTTTTCAAAAGTGCAACACCAAGGTTGATAACTACCTTACTGGTACACAATCTTGTGTTTGACCTTTTGATTGAAATGCTGCTGAACAATTTGCACAGTCTGCAGTTCCAACAAGGCTATATTTTATAACAGAGTATTACAGAAACATTGCATCATCACACTTGTTGAACTATCATATTTTTTTTTTTGGTATAATTTGTAATTTAGATGTAAGAAAAAAAAATGATTTGTAAGTACTGGTAATTCACTCAATAAATCAGAATGTAGGGAAAGAAAAGATGATGAATTTTCTGGATGAATACACCTATAAGCTCTGTTCAGACTGAGACTTTTGGATAGTTGATCCTTTGAGACCCTTATGTCATGCTATTACTCCAGAGTATGCACAATTTTCATTATGATACTGCCAAGGTGTGATGGTTAAGAAATCGGACTCTGGTCAAGATTAGGACCCTGGCCAGGTTTAATATGGAGTCAGATTTAACAGGTGCACTTCTCAATAATATGTTAATGGGGATGTGCCACTGAATGGAGTGCATTTCCATGACTGAGTAGACTAGAATGGGGTTACACACTTTGGAGATTTGCAGGGGTAAGAAAACTCTGATAATGGAACGATTCATGTTTAAAAAATTGTTACCATTGGGAGCATGAAATATTACATGTGCCAAAAAGTAACTGAAATGAGGTCCATGATTGGCCACAAAATGGACAATAATCTATGGGTTAGAGGCTCTGAGAGGCCAACAGTAGATACTAAGCAAAATTTAACTAAGAAACCTGAAACCCCCCTCCCTCTCTCCTCCAGGAAATGATTACAGGAAACCAGACAAAGATATAACAAAAGACATAGACCTCCCACAAATGACCAAGATGTAATTTCTCCCTGCAATATCAGCACAATGTCAGGCAGACAAGTGATGAGAATAAAGAGTATATTAAAATATTATCAATTGCTTCAACACCAAATTCTCAAAGCTATTATCATAGGGATTGAATAGCAGACAGAAAAGAGAATTACAAATAAGATAGTGAGTAGTGTGAAAGGGTTAATTAAGTGAGCAGTGATAAATTACCATCCCAACACCTAGATGCTTCAGTAAAAACACAGGAACAAGATCTAGGAATGAGACAAGATAACTTGGTTTAATTAACTTAGTTGATAATTCAATTGGCCTGTGGAGAATTTTTAAAGTTGACATTTTGAGTGTTAGCCCATTGTAAGAGCAGATGTAAACGTCACCTTTCCTCAGCCAATATACTAGAACAAAAGATAACCATACACATCTATTGCCAACACTCAAAAGTAACTGCACCTTACTTACCTTTACCTCTTTAGGACACAGGATCTAAAGAGGTCTTGAAAAGTCAAACAAAAATTGAAGTATGACCACACTTCCTGCAGGAGAGTATTTTTGCAGTTTTTATTTCATACTGAACCACTAATTCTAACATTATGTAGAATATGGTTCTTGGAAACAAATTTTGTACCAATCCTTTCAAAAATTGTTTCTCCTGGTGTCCTAAGATAACAATAGTCCTTTGTACAGTTGTGTGCTTGGTTGCCAAGCCTTTGAACAGGAGTGAGGCTGAGGTTGACCTTGCTATGACACAGAATTTGCTGCTTTTCAAGTACAAATTACTCTGTTATCAATGCTGGCCTCCACTATAGCAAGGTCAGCCTCACTCCAAATCAAAGGCTTGGCAACTAAGTACACAACTGTAAAATGGCCCATTGGTGATGATGCACTAGTTGCATAATAAGATTAAGTAAATGTTCTTCCAACCTTTGGGACCTTTGGGAATATTTCTCGACAAGAACCAAATTGCATTTTCAATTTCTGGGTGCCACCATTGTAGCTATTTAGTGATCTACCTTAACCCACCTTGGCAAATGAGTGGCCAAGTTATAATCTGGAACATCTAAATCAAAACCTCACTCCTACCCAATCCCCTTCATCTTCAACTGAGACAACTGATAAATTTACGTCAATCTTTTTCTCGCCATATTATTCAGTATCTCGATTTGTGCCGTCATCTATAAGACATTCTAATTCTTTGCAAATTGCCACGCCAAGACACGAATTTGTTACATAAGCGCTTCGTGCGAAGCTTCTTGCCAATCACAATTAAGAGCACGTGTCCTTTGAAGGCCTCTCGTGATCCACCAGACTTAATATTATAAAATGATTTACAGTTGATGTTGAAGAGGACAGCTGTCGGTAGATCGAATGTTCAGTGTCGTGTTTACTAGTTGCAAACCGGTAGTTTAAGAGTCGCTCATTTAAGTCTGACAGGTTGATCAAAGGGGGGTTGGTAGCAATCAAAACAGCGCCTATTCAGATCGGACTGTAACGTTGCGTACAAGAGAAACCCTACAGATTATATTAAAGTTAGATAGGTTACAGAACAGAATACCAAGAGGGCGAGGATTTGGATCGGGTTACGAAATAAACTAGTCTCAAATACGGATCAGGTCAATCCTCAAGATTGAGTGTAGGATATAAAGGGCGATGGGTAATTTTCAGTTTTCTATTCACTTTTTAGATGCGAAAAAAAGATAACATCACACAATCACTAAAGTACACACAAAACCGTCGCAAATAACCACTTCTCAAGCCTCAGCGATGACTGAATAAAACAAGAAAAAAAATCACATTTATCATAACACAATGAAAAGAAGAGAAGAAAACCTCGAAAAAGGAGAACCTTTCCTTGTAAATGTTCGATCGAAACCACGCTTTTCGAACAAAAGATATTTATGGAACCTTATCGCACAGGAGGATTATGGTATATCCGAGGTCACGTGGTGTCGACACATCGTGGAGGCGCTTGAGCTGCGCCCCGAAGCAGCTCTTAGCAAGGGCGCCATAATGGATAGGGAAAAAGTACCCCTTCGTTCTCGTAAACGAAGCAAGTTTCGATTCATTTAAGCCCATAAATCCACGTATAAGGGTGGTATCGGGAACATGGTGATATTTGTTTTCGTTGTCGATACCTCTGCGTCTATGAACCAGCGAACGTCTATTGGCACTACGTTGCTTGACGTCGCCAAAAATGCCGTGGAAACCTTCACAAAGGTAATTTATTTGCCCTCTGTTCAGTCTGAAGGCTTAGAACAAAAGTTTTTTTATTTATCTGACTGGTAAAATTTGTCTCATTCAGCTTCGGCAACGAGATCAAGCGAGTAGAACTGATCGATATATGTTGGTGACGTTGGAGGAGCCGCCAGGAGCAATAAAGGTATGGCCCTATCGTGAGCTGCTATGAAGCTCCTATCTGCCGAGATTGTTCCATAATACTCTACCTTGGGAAGTCCGGTCACTGTCAGAAAATCGCCCATAAAAGAAAAATTATCTGTGGCAAAGTGCATTTCTAGCCTTAAAAGTTTGTTGTTGTTAATTTTCAAGAATTTTGTTGTCTTTTAAGACTTTGTTTAGTCACGTTTACAACCCGAAAGGAACCATGGGTATTGTTTTGAAATAATCGTTTTAAAATCCTAAACCCGCTGCTGACAGTCATTTTTGTAGCTATCTTGTCTTGTTATCATTTTACTATAATGAAATAAAATTTTTCTTGTAGATTATGAAGGATTCATCATAATCATTGATATTTTGTAACACAGCTTCTTTCAGGGGAGGGGAGGGGATAAAATTGTCCTTCTTTTTGGCTAATCCAGGAATATTTTACCCAGTTTGTGTGGAGTTTTTGCATTTCAAAATGAGATTTTTTGTTCTTTTATGCTTTGCCAAAATGTAATACAGAGTACCAATGAATCAATGTTGAAATATATTCTAGCATGTTTACTCTTATTGTTATGTCTATAATCTTTGAGCTTAGCAACCTGCACAACATACTAGTTTTTGTTGAAATGCATTGATGATTTTATGTATGAATAATTCACCCTTAAACCTCTAAGAGTGACAAGGATATAATTTCTCCCCAGAATATCACCCCTGAATCTCAAATTCAGGTCACTAGAATAAAGGAAATGATCACCAACTAGAGAAGCTCTTGATTATTAAAGTAATTCTCATAGTCAGTACCCTAGGAAATGTATAGAAAATAATATCAAGATTATACAAACTTGTGTTAGAGTGATAAGAACCTTTGTGGATTTCAACTTTGATTTCCTTCTACCAGGCTGGTTGGCGAGAAAACCAAGTCACATTTATGAATGAATTGAGGAATCTTCAAGCAAATGGTCTGTCAACTCTAGGAACTGCCTTGAAAGAAGCATTTGATCTTTTGAACTTGTACCGTCTCCATTCAGGGATTGATAACTATGGAATGGTAAGATGAACTAAAATTTGGTTAAAAAGGTTTTTGAAATATACTAAAACCTTCTGATACACTGAATAAACTTTTCTCTTTCAGGGTCGAAATCCATTTTTTGTAGAGCCAGCTATGGTTGTTTGTATTACAGATGGAAGTAAACTTTCTTCTCAAAGTGGTGTTCAGGAAGAGGTAATGAAATTGTATTTCTGGGGTCAATTTCAAGCAAAGGTGGTTGTATTGAAGTGGATAATTGATCAAGTTGCTGGTTTACTTGCTTGCTGTATAGCTGAGTCACTGTTTAATTGGCATATTGATGTTATCAACTAGCTGAGTGATTGGCATACTAACCAATTTGTAAACTGATTGATTTATAATGTAACAGTAGAACCCTGCTAACTTGAGCTGTGAATAGAAATAAAAAATGGCTCAAGTTGATGGGAGTTTGAGTTATCGGGATTGGTGTTGAATTTTAAATTTCCCTTTAATAATTGATAAACAATATTGTTTTTTGTGCAATCAGCAGGCCTTTTCACACCTTGAGTTTTTTTTGTGAAAGTGTTTTTGTAAGATTGTTTATTTTGGGAAGTTAAGTTAAATGCACTACATTATCACTTTCATATTAATTGAGTTCTGATACATTTATCAACCAAAGCTTTCGGTCAAATTTCAAGTTAACCAGTTAAGTCCCATTAGTGACCTAGACAGAATTTCTCCTTACATTATCAGTACAATATCAAGCAGACAGGTAATGAGAATAAAGAAAAATATCAATTAGGGGATTATTGGTTGATACAATTCCAAATTCTCCAAACTAGCATCACATAAATTGCATAGCAGACAGTAAGGAGAATTACTCATGAAATATCGGGAGTTGAAGGGTTAACAGTGTACATATGAGCCTAGGGAAAGTAAAATTAGCTTGAGTTAACAGGGATTCTGAATTAACCAAGTTTGTGTTAGCTGATAATAAATGACTCAAAAATACAAGGTCAAATCCAAGGGAAATTGCACTTTGTGCAAGGTAGTGGGGAGTTTGAGTAAACCAAGTTCTAGGTTCAAGTTCTGCTGCATTCATATATTTATTGATTGATTTTTCTTTTTTTGCAGCTTCATTTGCCTATGCACACAACTTTACCAGGACATGAGTTAACTGCAGAGCCATTTCGTTGGGATCAGCGGTTGTTCTCAATCATACTTCGCATGGCTGGAACAAGAAGTTCAATGTTGGGAAAGATGGGAATGCAAAATATTGAACCTGCCATTGCTGCTATGTGTGATGTTACAGGAGGTACAGTTATTAGTCAACTGAGTTTTTGGATGATGTTTTAACTTCACAATGCTCTTTAATTTCCAAACTGTATGGCCAGTGTTTAATTTGACTACATTTGCATTTGCTTTTTTTATTTATTTCTCTTTTATTTTGTCTGATGTCTGATGTGTTTTTATCAGGGCGATGTTACAAGGTTACTTCATCAAAGTCCTTAGGACAAGCATTGGAATCTCTTGCACAGAAAGTGCAGTGTGGTGTGGTGATGAACTTTGAGAAGATTGGAGGAGCCAGTAATCTTCCTCCTCCACCCCCAGAAGGTACAGTAGAACAAGAGTCTTCCAATTCATGAAATATCAAAAACTGGATCAAATACGTATCTCTTAAGAAATAAAACCTCAGAAATTTCACTTTATGTATATGTATTGATTGAAGTTTATCCTTAGTTTTATCTGTGTTAAGCAAATGTGAAATGAATACCAGTATGTGTATTCTTGCATTATCATCATAGTAATTTGAGGAAAAAATTAAAAATTTAACCAGTGGGAAAAAACATCCGTGAGACCACAACATATGCACTGTATGTATCCTTCTTTTCTTTTTCTGGGGAAATATATTTCACATGGCCTTTGTTTTGTCTGTTATTGGGCTCAACAAAAATTTGCATAACTGCTGCAAAAGAAATAATTGAATTAGTTGCTGTGAGACAACTACCAGTTACCCTGTTTATGTTGTAGTAGAAATAGAAATAGAAAGCTAGAGGCCAAGTAGGTAACAATTTTTAGCACTACCAAAGAGTTTTACCATGGATGTGGGGAGAAACTCTAGCTTTAGATCGGAGGGAGATTCCTGGGAGTGTTCTTTCAGCTAAAATGCAGGCTCCAAACCACTCTAACATCCTTCCTCTTGCTTCCTGCTTTATTTCTTTTCTTGCTATTTTTGCTTCCTCTCTTCCTGTCCTTTATCTTGCTAGTGTAAGCTGCACTCTTCATTTTATTTCTGTTTTCTGTATCTTTTTTTATTTGGTTATCTAACTTTTAGTTTCAAAGAGCAACATGGCTGATGCACGGGAGACAGATTCTCCAACTCCACCCCTACATAATCATGTGATGAATAATGTGGACCTTTCCAAGGAGGACGCAAAAGAGAAGAACTCCCATGGTAATGAGGAAAACCATGTAACTGGAAAAATGGATGGGTCAACAGCCAGGCAAGTTTTTCATGGAGAAGGTTGTATGCTATTGTGTGCATGGTCACCAACTTTCATTTGAATATATAGAAAATAGTCATCTTCTCTTTGCACACACAGTTGGTAGAATGTTGCATCAACATCAAGGAGGTTGGTTGTTTTAAAGGTTTCTTTTTCAAGTTGTATTGATTGATAACTTCTGAAGGAAGACCAGTCCACTTCATTTATTTCTCTTCGATTTCTTAGGATGGAGTCTGATGAATACAAATGTTAAGGTTTCTTTCAGAATATTTTCCCATTTTTGGAGGTGCCAATTTAGCCTCCCTTTGTACCCTTTTGATGAAGTGCAATTAGTGAATTAAAAGTTCTTTAATCCGTGTTTTTTTTATCATTTAAATTTCACAGTTCATTTTCCAGACCTAGGTGGATATTTAGTCTTCATAAAATTTTTAATAACCTTTCTTTCCACCAACAGGAATCAGCAGGTTGGAAGTAACCATCTTTCCCCCCCATCTATGAACAACTCTTTGCCTGAGGACTCTCCTGGTGCCATGGGGATGCCAAGATCAATCACAAGCTCCCCTGTTCCACCAAGTGTGCAGTCAACTGCATGGATGAGTTGTCGCAGGATGATCTATATCAAATCCTCTCCTCCGTCTGGGCATTGGCCAGTACCAGAATCTTTCTGGCCTGACCCATCTATGCAAACACTGGTGAGAATACTTTTACAGAATAGTACTTAATTGACACTTGCCTCCCTTGGAATTTCTAAGACTGTACAAATTTCTCATTTTTGTACTTTCATTTTAAGCTTTAAGCTTACACCTTTTTGTGTAAGACAGTATATTTTTTCTGCATTTTGGCTGGTCAATAGAAAAACAGGAGTGTGTTCAGTAGAGACTTGTATTGCTTTTGGCAAATGTCAATGGGAGGTTGTAACAATTATAAGTGAAAGTGAAAATGTTGTTTCAAAGATTTTGCTTAATGTTCTTTAATCAATGAAAAGAGGAATACTTTGTGAACTTATTTTGGCCTTTAAATGAACTACATTTATGTGTAATCAGAGGGTTATACGTTTTTGTTCTACACCAGTTGGAAGTAGTCCTAACTTTTCAGTACATGTGTATCACAGAAAAGAAGATACCATCATTTATGTGGCTGAGAACTTCACCCTTCTTAGTGGCTTTATGGGGAAGCATTTGTTTTCTAGTTTTTGTGGGGGTGTTCAGATGAAAACACCTGTCTAATCACAGCTTCACCAGATGGGGAATTTATTAAAGGATGATTTTTTGTCAATGTTACTAATTTTCTAAAATGATATCGCAAATCCTTATTACTGCATCTCAATGAAACCTTCTTTTAATTAGTGTGTTTTGTTTTGCTGACAACCTTGAATTGGTTCAATCATCCAAGTTCTTATCTTATCTGTGTTTTCAGCCTTCAAGAGATGCCCACCCCAATGTGTTGTTTTCTTGCAATAATTCTGAACCTATGGTTCTTGATAACTTGCCATTTGACAAATATGAGTTGGAGCCATCACCACTCACTCAATACATTTTAGAGAGGAAATCACCATCGACCTGTTGGATGGTATGTCAAGATCGAGTTAACCCTTAAACTCCCATGAATGATCAAGACAGAATTTGTCCTCATAATATCAAAACAATATCAAGCAGACAAGTGATGGGAATAAAGAGAAATATCAATTGGAGGAATAGTAGCTGATTCAAACAAATATCATGAGAATTATATAACAGATTGTAAGGAGAATTACTAATATGATCTCAGGAGCAAAAGGTTTAATCCACAGTTAATATAATAGCCCAAAATCAAAATATTAATCCTTTGTGTAGTTTATGTTACATCTTGTATAATTTTAGTACTTAAAATTTTGGAATCGCACTATACCCTTGGGTTGATATTTTTTCCTTCTCATCCTGTTCTGTTGAAAGTATCTTATGAGGATATCAGGAGAAATCCTTTCAATCACTCCAGTGAGTGGAAGGGTCAATTAATGATAGCCACTTGCATATCTCGAATTTTTTCTGCATGCAGAGAAAGTCCTGGTTGATAGCCATGGCTAGTTGATTCCCTTCAGGCAAGTGGATTTGATTAATCGCTTGCTGAAGGGGCAAGTAACAGATTTTCACTTTTCCGTTTTAAGATGAGAAAGGTCAGTACAAAGAGCCTTAGGGCTAGAGAAAAATGGTTCCAACTTGCCCAAAGGGCAAACTAAAATTTCAATTAACTTTGCGCCTGGGCTTTGAGTTTTACAAACGCTTAAAGTTTTTATTCCTGCCCAATAATCCAATGATATACTGATGACAACAATAGCTACATAATATTGCGATTCTAGTCATAGTAAAAAGGCATTCATGCTGATATAAGACTCTATGATTTGGCCTGGATTGCACTGTTATCTGGGAAAATGTTTTGATATGATTTTAAACTCTGTTGATACTCAGTAGGTAAAAATCAGATTAAAAAAAGGGCACTTGAGGAAGCCGAAATAAATGGTTTTACATAGGTGAAAATGCAGTTTCAAATTAAGATATTATATGCAAATGCTTGTAGCACAGAAATATGAGGGGGAACATGATGAAGCACGTTGACTGTAGTTTAATTACAGGATGGTTTAGCCATATTTTTGTTAATGAAAATTTTTTTTGTTGCTTTCAGACTTTCATTCATAACAGTTATAAGAAATCAGGTGAAGTGGGACATCCCTTTGGATATCTAAAGGCAAGCAGTAATCTTCAAACAGTGAATCTGTTTGTTATGCCATACAATTTTCCAGTGCTGTTTCCTGTAATAGGTAAGAAAATTGAGTGCAATTTGTGGAGTTTGAAATTGCTATGAACCTGGAATCCTTACTGATACCGTATGGAAACATTTACATTCTTTACGTTAATTGTGCTTTTAAAGGGTCTTGATATTAGCAGGCAAGTGAAGAATTTAAAGAAAGCAACAAAACTTTTGAGTCTGTAAAACATGTTTCAACAGAAACTTCTTTCATCTTCAGTTAATTACTGTACAAAGCATTGGAAGTTGAATTATAGTAAGTAGAACAATGCTAATTATGATGAATAGTGACAACAAGAAAAGAGGTAAAGCATGAAAGTGAGAGAATTAAAAAGATATGTACAGACTCAAAAGTTTTGTCGCTTTCTTTAAATTGTGCTTTTGTACTGATAATAATAATACCATTATTTTGTGGTAATTGAGAAGGGAAAATTGTTGGGTCCATAATGAATGAACTGAGGAAAGTGTCGGTAATCAGCTTTTGTGTTTTGTCTAGAAGTTGAAATATTAAGAAACATTGTGTACTTTTGAAGTGGAAAAAACTTTTCTGGAGTGTGGCCTATTCTTGTCTGTTGTCGCAAATAAATGCTTATAATTAAAAAAGGTCACAAAAATTGGACAGAAGAGTGGGTAGTAAACACAATCAGGATTTGTTTGTGACTAGTTTTAACTTCTTGTAAAAGAGTAAGTTTTACCAGCTGGCTGCCACCTCTGTAGGAGGCTGACTCTCACAGCTTCTGTCTGCATATGATGGTCTTGTTGGCCTATTATTGTACATCCTGTGCACCTTTTGAGGTTGGTTGGTATTCCTGTGACCTGTAACTCATTGTTATTTTTCTTGATTTTTGTGCACAAGCATGATAGATAGATTATTGTGCACATGAGAGATTCTACCTCAATGCATGATTCTTTTCTTTCTTCAATTTATAAAATGTATGATCATTTTTTTTAATTGATTATAGTTGACCTCTACTAACTCAAACCTAGTTCACTTGAACTCCCCTCTAACTCAAACAACATCCAAGTTCTCTTGAATTTGATCCCATTTTTCCAATCATTTCCTATCAGCAAACCCAGATTTGGTCTACTCAAACTCTCCTTAACTCAAACTTTTTATTTCCCTTGGCTCAAATTTACCATGATAACCCAAAATTAATGTAAAAACATCAGTCTATAATTGTGCCAGAATGGTAAAAGCATGATTCCATATTTACTATCCACAGGATAATAGAAAGTCAAACCAACCCTTATAAATCAACACCACCACCCCCCCAACTTAAACCAGGTTTTGCAATGTCATGAAACTTTTTTGCCAGACGTTAAATTGCAAAGTTGTCTTGTTATCTTGAAAAAATAGGGGTTGAGGATGTTTTTTTCCCATATTTGTGTCAGGCTTGTTAAAACAAGTGTATGTGTACATCTTTCAGATGAACTTGTGAAAGTTCTCAAGATGAAACCAACTCCAAAATGGAAGGAAAAGTTTGAAAACTACCTTTCTACAATGCCTAATTACTATGCTGGGGTGAGTGACAGGAACAACTGTTGTTTTAAATTGTATAGCAACCTGATAGTACACATGTAAAGATTTTTATGACTGATGGCTTACTGCTATATGTTACTGAAAATTCTAGCTCATCTTTTCATCAACATGTATTAATGTCTCCATGATAACTGTATTTTTTTCTTTTTGTTCACACAATGTGCAAAATGTAATAGATTACTTGGTAAATTTTGCAAAACTGACATCACCATCACAAGTCATTTAATAGTCTTATTATTAACCAATGTTACCATTTTTCTGGTTAGTAATAGATCACAAATGACATCAAAATGTGTTGAGAACAAAAAACAGGCTCAGAAGGTGCAGCTGAGTTTGTCACTAGCACATTTCTTACCACATTTGGACGTCTTCTGTGATCTATTACTGAACAGACCCACACTATAATTGTTCTATAATTATGTTGTTCATGTTGCACTTGTCTTTTCATAGATCCTAACCCTGTAATTCCCATGAGTGACCAAGACAGAATTTCTCCTTACAATATAAATACGTTATCAAGCAGACAAGTGAGGAGAATAAAGAAATATATCAATTAGGGGATTATTTGTTGATCTGAACCCAAGTTCTCCTGACTAACATCAAAAGAATTGTATGTGAGACAGCAAGAAAGAATTACTTAAGAGCTCTTGGGAGTGAAAGGGTTAAGTAGTAATCAATCTATATGTGTGATTAAATTCAGCTTATCTTATAAATTAACTGGACTGTAATTTTTTTACAGCCTCTTCGCAATGCATTTCGTCGCATGGGAATCCCACCCTCGTTTGTTCCAGATCACTTGGACTCTTTCCTAAGTTACACAGTGGTGAATTATCTCAAGAAAGTCAAACAGCAGGTGAGGAATTAGAGTTGAGAGGTGGCAGGGGGGTTATTAGGTTTTCTTCAGGGAAAGAGAATTTTTTTATTTATACACTCAGGTTTTGGGAACCATGGAATACTATGGATGTTGTAGTGTCTATACTAAGAAAATAAAACAAATGAACAGCATTGTCTATATCAGAACAGGAAAGGTGGCCCGTATTCAATTATACAATTGAATATACAAAAACCCTCCTGATTACCTATGTTTTTTATAGTATAAGTCTGTGCAGAATATTATGAGATGATGCATTATGTATTTAAATTGTAGAATATACAGTATAAACAGATGTTAATCATCTGCTAAGCAGCTGGTTTCTTAAAAAATGGTACATCTGTATCATGGGTCTTTTTCAATTCCATCCTCTCTGGTTGTATTTTAATATGATTTGTGTGGAAAGTATTGTTGTGGTTTGCACATTGTTTGAACTTGGGTAATAACATAGTTCTAATTTTTTTTTTCAGAGTAAAATGGAGACAGAGAGACTGATTTCTCTTGTTGGCAAAAACCCTGCAAGGGAAACTGTTCCAAGACCACTTTTAAGGTTGGTTATTAATATTGATAACATATCAGGAGCATCAAACACTTGTAAATTTGTTTTGTTTTACCGGTCAAGGGCCAACTTGTATGTTGAAGACAACTTTATTTAGCTTTTGGGTATTTTGAATTTCTGCACCAATAGTGTTTCTTTACCAGTAGAAACAGGTATTTAGAGTTTAGTGGCCTAAATATGTCATTAGTGTTTTGTTTTTTTTTTTAATGAAAAAAAAATTTGGCGGAAACAAACTTCCTTATGCATATATCTTAACACACCTGTGCACGTAATAATTTACATGTTTATATCTTGCAGTGTACGGACACCCCAGCTACCCAAAGCCAAGAAACAAGACTTTCATGCATTGTTACACAACAGAAATTTTTCTACTAGCTCTGAAGATCACAGAATATCAAGGTAAGATTACTCTTAGACTCCTAAGAGTGATCAGCTCCTAATTTCTTAGAATGGTATCACCCCCAAACACTATCAAACACTAAGGTCATGAGAGTAAAGCAAATGATTGCAAATGCAAGAAGCTCTTGACTGTTTGACAAATTGGCCTGGGAAGTACATGCACATAACTGTAGGAAATGTTTTGAGAACAGTCTGGAGAACCTTGAAACCAATGTTAAGGTGTGAGAGGTTAATGTTTTTATGGTAACCAAAACCACAATAGAGTAGCAAGGTGAGAGGTGAATGGTTACTGATGTGTTAGTCTGGCAAATTGGATTAAAAAATCTGTATCAGCATCTTATCTGTTTCAATCTGGGAGAGACTGAAACAATTATCTTCTTTTATTTTCTTGTATTTTCCTATTTTAGTGAGACTGATATCAGTATCCCCAGTGCCTCACTGCATAACGTTAAACAGGTTTGTATCAATTTGAAACGTTGAAAAAATAAGCAAATTAGAATTTCTTATTTCTTGATTTGATTGTTGTATAGAATATTTTATGTTGTTTTTTAGAGTGTCAGAACCCAGAGCTACAAGAATCCATTTGACATTTCAAGACAAGAACTTCTAGATCAAGTATCACGGATGAGAATAAACTTTTTCCACACTGCAGCAACATCAACCAGACTACAAGATGAAGGTTTGTAATCACCTCTTTATCACTCATTGACGTAAAACTTTTCATTCTGTTTGCTTCAAGTGTTGTCACTTGAAAGATCCTCTCTTCAATCCCCATTGTAGCACAGGTATTGTAAATAAATAGAAAGCTTCTTTACTCTTTGACTAGGGTTTGTCGTCAGTCTCTATTACAAAGATTATAAGTGTAAAATACATTTCTAGTTTTGATTAGCTTAGCAGCCATAGTAGTGGTGGTGCCCAGATACATGTAGTAGGGCCAAGTGAAAGTCATGAATTTTCTCAATCAGAAATGAGCCACCTTGTTAACTCTTTGAGCTCTAAGAGTGACCAGCATCTAATTTCTCCAACAAAATCACCCTCAAATCACACATTAAGGCCACGAGAATCAAGGAAATGATCACCAGTTAAAAAAGGTCTTGATCAATAAACAAATTCTCCTTGTCAGCACCTCAGAAAATGTATAGAGAAAAATATTGAGAACACACATACTGATGTTAGAGTTAAGAGAGTTAAAGTGAAAATTAGATAAAAATGCTCTTTTGACCATATCCCAACAGATGCCCGCCACAGTGTTGCAATTGCAGAAATGGGAAATTATCAAGAAGTACTGAGGCAGATGAGTCCTTTGCGTGAAGTTGATCCAGGACAAAACAGGGTGCACATGTTTGGAAACCCTTTTAAGCTGGCAAAAGATCAGGTAAAAGTAACATACAGCCTAAATTTAAGGAATGGTTATTTAATGATGTAACCATTTTAAGTAAAAGATTTTGGCTTTTGAATGGGTTTGTCAATGCTTTTAGTGCAGTGTGTTTTTGTAATCTGTTGAAATAATATGTATCGTTAAGAACTTTGCTCTTTAGTTTAAACTGCAAAATAGAAGTATTGAACATACTTGTAGTTATGAATTGGAAACATTAAGCATTTCATAGAGAACTCTTTTTCAAATAATGATACTTGATAAAACTGGATTTTTCAACCCCACATATTTGAAAAAATATTTTGGTAAACATCTGCCATAAGATATTGTTTTTATTTATCTTTTACTTTTTTCAAACCACTGATGATACATACATGTAAGTGGTCTGTAGGATAGGTGTCACTTATAGAGACATATAGAGTGCTTAAAACATAGAGGCATGGTAGACTTTCCAACTGCCAAATCAGATCTAACATTCCAGGGGATTGTTTTTGTCATTTAACAAAAGACTCCATGTTGCTGTGCATCTTTTAATAATCGATCCCAGATGTCATCAGAATGTGTGAGAACATTAGAGCTGCACATCAGTTGTAGCAAAGTGTGTCACTGATGTCCTTTCCACATTGTGACATTTTTTGTGATCCATTACTATACAGACCCACAGTAACATTAAGTCTGTTTGTTTTATATGATAACAAAGAAAAATTTTGTTAATGGTGGCATGATCTTTGCGTCTATCATCCAATAGATAGATCTTAATAACCAATCAAAATGCATGCATGATGCAGTTTATCATATAAAATTGTATTCTCATCTTCCCCTTTTACTTTGATTTTCTTTTTTTGGTTGTTGTTTTCCAGCGAGTTATGGTTGATGAGGCAGATGTTAATGAAGCAATGGCAGGTCCTCCATCACGTAAAAGGCCTCCTATAGATAACAGACCTGGATCTCCAAGGGACAGAAAGAGACAACAGGAAACACCTCCTGTGAGGTGGCCTAATAAAGCAACTCAAAATGGAGGAAATTCTTTAATACCCCCTCTGAACAACAAAGTACCTTCTGACAAAAACTTAATATCTCAGGATGGAAAAACGAACAATGCCTTTTCAGGGAGACATCATGGATTACATGCAATAAAACGGAAGCTGAGTGAAGGAAATGACAGAGAACACAAGTCCCTGAAGTCTTCAAAAGGTTCAATTAAACCACAACTCGCAATACTACAACAGCAACACAATAAAGGAAAGTTTAATAAGAAACTTCAACCTTCATCAAAGACTGATGCAAATAATTCTTCCAAGAATGATTTTGTCTCCTCAATTTTAAAGGAAGCTGTGACTTCACAAACTAGAACGTTTTCAGGCCAAGGGCGGCCAGTTATGAATTCTAATGAAGGCATGCTGGATAAAAACAAACTTACAAACTCAGAAGTGGCAGAAGTGCTTGCTGATGAAGTTGTGAAAGAAAGACCTAAGGGCCCATCTCCAAGGCTGCTTAAAAAGCAACTTGCTCGTGAAGCCTCTGAAGAAAACAGGCTAATACGAAACCGTATATTTAAGGAAATCAGACGACCAGAGATAAGTAAGTTTTTAGGTTGCCTGTCTATTTGTGTGTTTTTATGTCTGTTCCAATCTGTCAGTCTACCTGCTTGTCTGAATTATTGAGGGTTAATGCCTAATCAAATTGGTGCCGGGAAGATTAAGCCTGTCTTCAAGATCTGTACAATAATGCACCATCTTATTTTCTTAATGGTGAGATCAATCAGTGGAAATAGATGAAATAACAGGTGAGGTCTTGGAAAGGTGGAGGGAGTTTGTTAAAAAATTATTTGAATATGTGAATTGCATTGATAAGGAAAGAAAGTGAAATGAAAAAATTTCAAAGTTAATTTTTTTATATTTGAACTCAGTTAATTTTGTGTGCAGCACAGATTTTATAATTCCAGATCACCAAGAGAAAATCAACCTTTATCCTCTTGAGGTTACCTTATGCAACTTAACTTGAATAAAACCTCAGGGTTTTCTTTAAGGTTTTAAGTAGCCAAAGCTTTTTTAAAGGTAAACAGTTGTGGGTCTCAAAATCCAATATGGCGGACAAAACGTCCTATTGTCCTTTCCTGCCATCACAGCAAGATTTGTCAAAAAGACAGTCCCCATCAGAATATTTTTAAACTAACCTTGAGTCAGATGTCTTTTTATGTTTTCAGAAAACATAGGCAGTGCAAATTTATATTTTTATTGAGCCCAAGTTTAGACCTGATAAACATCATCTCTGTACGGGCTCTCGTAGCAATGAAAGTAGCCGCCAAAACCTTGCAGAGCAGAGAAGCCGGCATACTTCGCTGGCTGCTGGCTCTTATCTACAACCCTGAATCTTGTGATGGCTGGGAGTTAAAGTAAAAAAGTGTGGTTTGAAAAGTCTGTTATTTTTGGAATTGAATCACTCAAATAATAATACGATTCAAGTGGGAATAAGAACAATACCTCAATATCAGGGGTCTTTTAAAAATGAGTCTGTTGGTGGCAAGTCAAACAAGGTGTTAAAATGAGGAAAAGATGTATGTTGTTTTTGGTAGTAATGATGATTGTAATGTTGTAGTGGCCATATGGCCTACTTTTGCCCTCACTAATCCTAAGTAGTGACCTATTTTTCGATATTCTCTACAGGTGATGAAGATATCTTTGATCATGTTTTAACCTTGAAAGGATCACTTGAAGTGCAGGGCTCCTTCGTACAAGAAATTATTGAAGAGGCAACCCTCTTCAAGAAGAAATCGTTGATCGAAAAGCTTTCATCTCACCTCACCAGCTTAATAGAGAGAGACTCTCCCAAATCTGATGAAATTGAACTTTCAGAGAAAAAAAGATAGCACATGTTTTACATTGCCAAATTGGAAGTGTGGAAAACTGCTGTCAATGTCTCTGGTCATATTTTGTGGATGAAATTGATAAAAGCACTTATTGAGTTGCATCAACTCATTTTATAACTGTAAATTACTTCTTGCTTAAAGCAACAATAGTTGTGATTTCAGTCACAATTTTCTAGTTCCTCTTTCACATAATTCCAGCACCACTTTAGTCATTTGGGTGAATAATTGCATAAAACTTCCAGTAGCTGCTTTTGTTTCTAAAACAAGTTGAATTACAAATTCCTAAAAGTAAAGTGTCACTGTGACATGACACTAAACCACATATTTGTAAGTTGTGTCGTGCTAGTTGTGCATGCATCAGTATGTCTCCCTTTGGATTTGTACTTCATGGCTTTTTGATAACACCAATTTTTCCTCCTTTTGGTAGAGTCATTCATGACCATAATGTTATTACTGTCAGAAAATAAAGCAAACAATTTAATAACCCTTGTGTCTTGTCTTTAAACACAATATTACAAATACATTCAAACCTAAACCATAGATTTAACTGTTTTCTCCCAGACTCTCTCCTTATTCTCCAATGTAATAGTGTGTGGATAAAAAGGCAGGCTAAGGGGAGGCTCAGTAAATTCCAGAGCTTCTAGACAGTGCTAAGGGCAGGGGGTAGGTGGGGGTATTATTTAACAGCTTATTTAGGGCCAAAATGCAATTCACATCTCTACTGAACAGTTACCCAGCATACACACTTTGAATTTCCTAGAATATTTAAAATGGAAATTAAAACAATTAATTCAAATATTAGCATATTTTGCACTGCAACACTACCTGGCCCCTGAAGTGCATCATTTTAAGCTTTCTGAATCATGGACCAGATTTGTCTGGGTATAAACACTCTTTTTGTCTGGTGGAGTATTCACAAAGATTATGGAAAGCAATTTCAAAGAAAAAGGTCCTGTGCATTCTAAACTTGTGTGTGGCCCTTGGCCAGGTTCCAAATCCTGGCCTTTTTCACTTTAGCAACACCTAGGAAATTCTCTCTACCTTTCTGTTGACACCCCACTCTCTTGTTGGTGATAGAAATGGGGGAAGGGAGGTGATAGGAAATATTATTATTATTATCTTGAAAACTATGAAATTGAGCATAACAAAAATCTAAAAATAAATATTGTAATAATTCATCATTTCAGGGTGATGCTTGACCCTCCAACTCCCATGAGTGACCAAGACAGAATTTCTCCTTACAAATTCAATACAATATCAACCAGATTAGTGATGAGAATAAAGAACAATATCGATTCAGGGATATTTGGTTGATCCAATACTAAATTCTCAGCACTAACATTATAAGAATTGTATGGTTGACAGTAAGGAGAATAACAAATTTGATCTGGAAGTTAAAGGGTTGAAAAGGATAATGCTCAAATTTTTTTGCATAATTTATCTGACTCTTGTATCCATAATAATTCTGTAAAATAGTATTCTTTACTAGGCATATTATTCAAGTTACTGTTCCTGCCAGCTTTTTACATGTTTATATAAGTCAAACACATGAGATATTGGAGCTGCTGAGGGTTCTGGCAAAGGTTCCTCTACGTAGAACAGATCATAACCAAAATGTGCTGACTGTGTTTCAAACTCCTCAGAAAAGAAAGCCATTATGTCTGGCTCCTGTAAGGGAGGTTTGTACGTTTTTGCACTGCTTCGTGCCCTGACATGCGCATGCTCAGCAAATGCATCTTCAGCATCGACATTTAGTGAAACCAAATCAGAGTAAATGTTATCTCCTTTCTTCACATTGACAGCTTGAGCCACTTTTTCACAAAGGTTTGACCTGGTGATCTCAGACTGTTCAAGTTTCTTAGCTATTGCCTCAGCTGGATTAAACTGCTCTTCCTCTAGAGTCAGTAGTTTCTTGTTGACTCGTTTCGTGGAGTTCATTGATGGCTGAGCAAGACTGCAAGATCACAAGACAACAGAAGAAGAACATTACTTAAACTCTTTAGCCCCTTGGAGTGATTAGCATCTATTTTCTCCTTACATTCTCACCCCTGAATCAAACATTAAGGTCATGAGAATTCGAAAACGAATTCTCCTTGCCAGCACTTTAAGAAATGTATATGGAACAATATGGAGAATAAACATACTGATAACAGGGTGTAAAGAGGTGAAGGTAAATGTAATTTTTACACTATTCCAATTTCTTAAAAATTTTTGATTGGGTCAAGAAAGCAAGATAACAGCTTACGAAAGTTTTACGGGGTGAAATTATTGATCAACTTTACCTACCATGCATGAATCTCTTTCCCTTCACCTGCATCGTTTTCAGAGGAAACCAATGGAAAATGCCTCTCTTTATTTTGTTTAAGTCCGATTGCTTTCTTCTCCGGGGTGAGATCCAACAAAGGACTCGTATATAGAGCGGTTGGAACATGGAAAGAAGGCTTTGGAGGGGATCGGACACCATCAAAATCCATAAGATAATAAAATTTTTGGACCTTTACGTCTCAAATAGGATAGCGAAACGAAAAGAAATGGTTCACAGCTTTTTCAAAATGTGATTTTCTTTGGTCGACGCATGCAACGAAGTCGCCATTTTGAATTTACGCGGATATTTACACACAACTGCCCGCGCAAATATAATTCCGCTGACTTAATGACTGCGGTAACAAACGACTAAGGCAGGAAGGGAAAAGTGTATTGAAAGCGACGTTTTCCGTATTCAACAGAAATTTTCTTCTGAATCGATCCTACTGCTATTGACTCTGGCCAAAATAAAATAAAAAAGACAGTGAAGTATGAAAAACAAATATAAAAATGAAAACTATCGTCCCCGGGTGGGCTTGAACCACCAACCTTTCGGTTAACAGCCGAACGCGCTAACCGATTGCGCCACGGAGACCTTCACGTTCCTAAATTGATTTCTTTTTGTTTATAATAATTTTTTTCCATATCACTTTTAAAGCCTTCTGTATAAAGTATTAGATTACGCAAGGTATGAATTACGCAAGTAATCTAACAAATCTTAAAGTGCAACGGTGAAATAACAACAAAGATTAACATATACATCGCTGATCTTGAGAAATTGAGGTTATACATTCTCTTACAATTTTGTAACTCCTTTTCTTCTTTGGAATTCTTAATCGTCTTGTTTGCAGCGAGTTGATAAACTTCTGCTTATTTTTTGCTATAAGAGACAGATAAAATATAACTGACCTTTCGATTCTCTCCCTTAACCCTTTAACTCCCAAGATCTTATTAATAATTCTTCACACTGTCTGCCATACATTTCTTGCGATGTTAGTTTTGAGAATTTGGAATTGGATCAACTTATAATCCCCAAATTGATATTTTTCTTTATTTTTGTCACTTGTCTGCTTGATATTGTATTGATGTTGTAAGGACAAATTCTGTCTTGGTCACCAATGGGAGTAAAAGGGTGAAATTCGATAGCCTTCATTGAAAATAACATGAGGAGAGACTCAGACATAGTTTGATTCTACTCTGGTTTGCAGATTTAATGAATGTAACCGAAGAAATTACAATTCATAGACCCAACGTTTCGACACTCCTGTCTAGTGCCTTCATCAGGGGTGATCTAAACGCTGCAACAAGAGGTCTTTTATATGATCACTAATAAGCGGCCTTTTTTCTGACGAGGTGTAAATAGGCGTCAGGAAGCAAACCGCCATCGTCACGATTTAAAGGAGCGTGGGCGGAGTTTATATGCCAAGCCTCCAAACAAAAGCGCTGGTGGTAACGCCATGAGGAGAGACTGTTTACCTTTTGAATGGTGAGCATCACACGCTAATGCAACAGAGAACAATAGAAATTTGACACATACTCGACAAGTTGGAAGAATTATGAACCTGGCGCCCATACTCTTGGTAATTAAACAAATTCTTTTAGAGCTTAAAACACCTTTTTACTGTTTCAGTTATTTGACAACAATCGAACCGCCCTTTCTCAAAGAAACAAGAAGTGTTTTTTTTAGGCGCAAAATCAAACTGCTTGTGACAAATGGGGTTTTTCCCTGTTCTTGCAAGGCAATTACAATTAAGAACACCGCGTAACTTTTGAAATTTCAGCAACGTTCATAATTCATAAAATCAACTGAAAACGGAAGACTAATAAAACGGCATTGGCATAATCTTCATTATCTTGACAAATTCTTGGCTGAGTTCAAGCACCTGGAGTTCAATTTCAACTGTAACCCAGGTCACCATGTTTTAATGTGAGTAAACAAATTTTCGGTCATCATCGTCCCTGTTCATTAGTTTAAATTTTGTTCCACTTTCATTTGAATTCTGATCTTGGCAAAGTTGACACACTGAAGTTAGTGGCCTTATGTTTACATATTTACACTTAAAGCTGTGAAAGATCACAAGATTTGAGCGCAAACTGGATTAAGTGATGTGGATTGTCACTCTCCTGTACTTGATTTCAAGCGGTGGGTGTTCTTGAATAACTTATGCCAACTTCGCGATGGGTCTTCTGGTCCTAGCTGATTGATTTTTTATTCAGTGTTAACTTAGTGTGGCATTAATGCCTAAAAATTTCATGTATATGCAAGCTTAATGAGGCAACTGAATAAGACGTTTCTTGGGGTCGTATATCCCATATCAATTAGGACTCAAACAACAGAGCAGTTCCTGGATCTTCTGCCTTCGTTTCGAACCATCAAATAACCCTCAGCAATGATTAGCCTACGAGTATATGTCTCCTGTTTTCATTGACTCGATCAGGGGAATATCTTTAGCCTCTTTGTGTAAAGGCGTTTCTTAATTTCGCGGGAGGATTTGCAAATAATGAAGGTCGAGTCATGAGCCGTCAGCAATCGATTCGGAAGAAGATGCGTCACGCGAAATTTGCGTTAACAAAATTAAATGGAAAAATTCGAGCGAGATCCATTCGTCAGTTTATTTATGAATTCTCTCATATACTTTTTTAGATGCCGCAACATTTGGAGAGGCCAGCATTTTGTTCCCAGAAGAAACATTGGGTAAGATTTCTTACGTCGAATGTTTTCCTTCAATCTTCGCCTTTTTGCTCTCTACTGCAGCTTCCAAAATTGTCACTGACTGTGAGACCGAAGGTCGACGGCCGGCAGCTAAAACTGAAATCAGGGTTGTCGATATTAATTTGACAAATGCTAATAGAAAGAACTTTGGAATCTTTTTAGGATGAAAAAAGCTACAATGCTTACATTACCTCGCGGAAGTTTAATTTTGGAATTTAATATTCTACATAAGTATAAGTTACAAACCTGCAGATCAATATCACTGTTTGCTGTTTGAGATTTCGACTCAATACCAAAATAGATTACGACATGCATACGTTCATTGGTTAATTAACTTCTGCTTTTCGAAACTTGACCTACGAAATATCTCCTTTTGCAGACAGTACGGAGCAAGATGCTGAGGTGGTTAACTTCAGCTGGTTGTTAAATAATAATTATTTTGAGGTTTCGTCATCATCTTGTCTCTT